TTAGTCGGTGGCACTCAGTCTAAACACATTTTTCCTTCTGCTAAAAAAATAAGGGGGTTTCTTAAAAGCAGTGCAGAAGAATGTAATTGATTCTCAGCAGCAAAGTTTTCTTTTTTTTTCTTTCTGCAACACAGGAGACATTAGAGTTGGACAGAGTGTAGGATGTGTTTAGACAAGCCAGGTGGCTTCTCCCTTCATGCCAAAATGAAAGTCCTAAAATCTTTCAACTTACTGGCACATCAGCGTCAGGGAGTCTGTATCTTCCGCTGAGTCCAGGTGGGATGAGCTGCTTTTGTCAAAGACAGTCCGAGACACAAACTGACCTACGCGTAACTTATTTTTTTAATCTTTACAGATGATACAAAAATGCGTAAAGCGAGTCCAAATGTATGATATCACTGCTCTTTAGTTAGATTGAGTGAGAAACAATCAGAGAATTTTCAGTTTTCTCTTGTAGTTTTACGAAATAAAATCCCATCTCTCCTGAAAAACTGCGCAAATGTTTCAAAGAGATCATACTCCCCCAAAATTGTAGTTGCACCTTACTCTACCAAATTCATTAGAACACACATTTAAAGTTTGGTATAAAAGGAAGAAGGTGATGAATTAAGCAGCCGGTAGTTTGTGTGCACATAAAGAAGTGAGAGATGTTAAATAGGAGCCAAGAGCAGCGGCTGGGAGGCATCAAAGCGCACAAACGCCGCTTTTCACTCTTTCCCCTCTCGCGCTTTTTGGAGCAACACGCTGAGCTGCAGCAGCCGGCACACACACACTCACACACTAATACACACACACACGAACTGTAACACAGACAGAGCCGAGTGTCCCTGTATAGACACCAGGACAATGTGCTGAATGGGCAGTCTAATTATAAATGTGCCATTTAGACTCGCATTTGGTCTCCAGAACCGCCTTACCTTATGAGGAAACCTGCGCGCACAAGCTTCACTACGGGCAACTGTTCAGGACAAAATACCACCAAGATTAAAAAAAAAGAACTTCTGCTTCCAGGAGAGTTTCTGTGTCTCACTGAGTGGAATTAAAACACAACATGTCACTGTCTGAAAGGGTTATAAATAGAAAAAAAGCAGGTGACAATTACGCTTTGATAATTATGCTTTCATTAATTGGCCACAGGTGTGAAATTTATGTGATCAAAACGCACATCCTCGTTTTAAAATGTATAAGAAAAGCCACAGAGTGAAAGGTATTTTTTTAATATATATTTTTAGCTTCTTACTTTATATTTATATAAACCTAAAACTCTCACAGATGTCTGAAAATCTGTTTGATTTAATTCTGATTTTTATGCAAACATTTTTATTGTCATCTCACGCTGCCGTGGATGTTTTCCCTACTGTAAAAAAAATAAAATCACTCCATCCTTCATCGTGATTAAAACGAACCTGGAAAATACTGTATGTGCACTAAAAGAAGAACAAAAAAGTTGTGTCAAAATACACTCCAAACATTATTTCACCCCCCTTTAGAAATATCACAACCTTAACTTTTCGGTCAAAGGGCCAAGATGGATGTATTTTTCATGTAAATGAGACACAACAAGGAACCATTCTGGAGAACATTTAGACTTTTGACAAGAGATCCTCTGTGTGTTCAATCCGGGAGCGCCGAGCTGCACAGGCTTCGGCTTCAATGGAAAACACTTCAAGTACATCTTCTCCAAATGGACAAGCTCTGCGATTGTTGAATTTAATTTATGGCTTATGCATTCTTCAGGGGTCGATTCTTCTGACCTCTCCAGAAAGTTAAGGAAAGAGAGATTTCCCAGGCTGCACGGCGGGATTGTGACATTAGAAAATCAGGCATAAATGTGGGAGGAAGAGACAGTTTTAAGATGTAGAAAAAAGGTATAATGAGGCATGAGCTAAAAGCTTCAAATAAACTTGTCCAGCACCTCGCAGGCACGAAGGGGGAACCTAACAGGGCGCGCGTCAGTGCCAATGAATAGTACCGCTGTGTGGACACCAGAGAAACTGCCTCCAGCCCGAGAAAGTTACGGGACATGTAAACACAAACACAAGAATGCTGTTCAGTTAACTTAACGAGTATCAGAGCGAGAAGAAGAAGCGCTTATTGCTGATAATGATGAATGTAAATGTTCTCAGTCTGAGCGCTCTGCCTTCGTCTTTACATTCAACTGTGAAATCTGTCCACTCTCCGAGCTTCGCCCTCGTGAAAAAAAGCAAAGATAGAAAAATTAACAAGGATCTCAAACCTCTTGAAGCTATTTTAGGTTGTTTCTGCGTTTTTCACATGAAGTTTGATGTTTTATTGACGCGTGTTTTCCGAGTCTGAGGTGAACCCGGGCGCCTCAGACTCGCCAGCCCCGCGCCACACTCTCTCTCTCTGTCGTCTCGCGTGTACTCTTGCTTGTTTTGATGAAAGCGACACACACACAGAAAAAGAAAAAAAAATCCTAATCTAAAGCGTGACAGTCATTCTCCCGCTCAAAACACGCGTGTACCGGTTTAAACACGAAGCACAAAGAACTTTTTGAAGGTTAGTTTGCTGGTAAAGTGCGCGCTCTGTCCCGGAACATTTCAGTGACAGCGCGCTCGACTTTGAGGAATCAGCCACACAACAGAGGGAGAAAATGTCAGGACAGCAGAGAAGAGAAGAGCGTGTTAGAAAGTAAAGCCAGTGTGTTGTTTACCTTGAGGATCAGAGCCGTGGAGACGAGACTTCAGCGTCCTTTCCCGTGCGTAAAGACTTCTAGACTACGCTGTGTTTGGTCGAAAATGCTCACGGAGCTATCTGTTGAGCGAAAACTTAAGTGTGCGCACACGGGGCCATATGAGGGGATCCCGTCTGCTGTCTGTGAACTTCAGCTGTCCAAAAACTACAAGTACCTTTTGTTGTTCGCCTATGTCTTCTTTATCTCTCCCTCTCCCTCTCTTTTCTCTCTCACTCGGACAAGAGAAGACGATGGGTAGAGCCGCTGTCAATCTTGGCAATCAATGTGCGCAGCCATGTCGCAAGTATTCAAAGCATTTCCCGTCGTGCAACATCAGAAAGTGAGTGGCCAGGGCATTGATCTGAGGAAGGCAAAGAGGCAGGACTCCCCCCTCCTCCCCCTCCTCCTCCTCCCAGACAAGAGATGCGAGAGAGGAAGAGAGAGAGAGAGAAAGAGAGAGAGAGGGAGAGAGAGAGGGAGGGAGAGATTTGTGGTGAAATAAAAGTGCAGTCAGGGAGGATGGTTGTAACTGTCCACAGTTTAGTCCGTTTAATAAGCCCAAAATGAACATCACTCACAGGCACCGCGACTGTCGAGTTCGAGCTGACTTTCCCCCCCTCTGCAGATGAGGTACTACTTTCTTTTTTTGATTTTCTTTGAAGACAAATAACGCGCTGACCTTTCTAACTTCGTGGAAAGAGTCTCCAAATCGACGTCGAAATTAAGAGAAGTTTGAAGGAACTATAAGAAGATGACAAGAAGTAAAACAAAAAGACAAGTTAGGACCTGTGTGCTGTAACAAGCCAGTCATTTTCATAAACTGAGTCTGCACTTGAACTCTTATATGAAACCTTGTTTTATAAATTTGAGGGGAAACTCTGATTTTTTATCTCGAGTGGGTCTTTTCTTTAGGAGAAAACAATTTCACTTTCTTTTTGTTAAAATCTGAGCCCTCATTTTGACAGATGATCCTCTTAAGGAGAGTCCGGCTCACTGTAGACACTCAAGGCAACATTTTTACGCACAAGTTAATTTCCACGTCGTCTTTGAAGCCTGAGAGCAGACGATTAAATCAATGAATCCAAAGAGAGATGGTCAAATTCGAGAGGCATGGAAATTAAATAATCGGACCGATTTTAAGAAATAGAATTGATGTGTGTAATTGTTTTAAATTGTATAAAATAAACGGGTTGTGGAAAAATAATTTTACAGCGTTGAATTAATATTTTTTACTTGTGTATCATTTCCTAATGGCTTTTCACGCACATGCTATTAAAAAAATGATCACTTTGCTGCCTTTACGCGTTTACATTTACTCAGTTTATGATCAAAAATATCAGAATAAAAACAGAATTTATATTTTTTACGAGAGATTTAGGGCCAGTGTTTAAACACACCTGAAATGAAAGCAAAACTGATCGACTCAAGCAAAAAGAGAGGACATATGAACAATCCTGAATAAGTTTAAATATGAGTCAAATTTGGAAAAGACTTGATTTCCTCAAACACACACAGTAAAAACCGGAGACAAGATGTAGCTACAAGGACAAGAGCGAGACAAGTGATGGGGGAAAAAAGTCACATAAAGCAGCAGCAGCTTGTCAAAGACATAAACCCTCCAACCCTTCATACAAGACAGCAGATCAGCATCCAAGGATCAACATGACATCCGTGTCAGCACAGAGAGCAGCTACTGTCAGGAGTTCAGATAATAGAAATGAAAAGTTACTTACAAAGAAGAGAGAGGGGACAGCAGGAGAAACACTGATTGTTAAGAGGAGAAGTCACATAGAGTTAAAGAAGGAGAGAGAGAAAGAGAGAGAGAAAGAGAGTCACAAGTCATATTAATATCCGCTCAGACTTCTGTTCGCCTCCTCTTTCGTGCAGAAAAAAACGCACCACATCTCCACAACAGAGCTCTCCACAGTCAAGTTCAACCCCAATCTGAAGTCTAATTTGTCACAAGTTTCCCTATAGTTTTATTTTTTTTCAGCACGTGTGTCAGAATGGACATATCCTGCTTGAATTATGCTCCTTAGTAGACCCGAAATAAAGTGAAAGAAGAAAAAGAAAAAAAAAATCAGAGAGACTTACCTTTCCGGAGAGAACTTTCTCTTCACTTCTCTGCGTCTGGACGTCCTCAGACACTTACAGGACTCTTTGTTACCTGCCACTTGTTTCAGCTGCTGGAAATCGCCTCACAGTGAAACACCTCATTGGCTTTAGCTCTAAAGAGTCCTCTAACAATCTAACTGTAACTTTCACATCCATGCATGATCATTCACATGAGATATCTGCTCACTGAGTGTGTGTGTGACTGTGTGTGTGAGTGTGTGTGGAGTCTCTCCAAGAGGAGTAAACTAACCGAGACCGAGATGTGGGTTTCGTGTGTCTCATGCGCCACCTTTTGGACATTACGGTAATTACAGGCAGAAAACCCTCTCACCCGCAATAATCAGAGGAGTTAACGAGGTAAAATCTGAGGTTTGGGGCCACAGTCTTTATTAGGGAACTATAATAAGTTGCACTATTTGCACTATTGTGTTCACATCAGGACTGCCACACTGTTTACATTCACCTTCTTTCTTATATTTATACTGTTATGCTGTTTATTTTGTTCTCTTTATTTTGTCAATTGAGAGTATTTAATGTAGTCTTTTGTTGAGTTTAGTTGTTTATTCTTATCTTTATACTTTTATAGTTTTATTCTTATAGTTTATTCTGTGCTGTATGTTTAACATGTATAGCATATTTGACAATGAAGTTGACTTTGACTTTGATTATAATCCAGAAGAGGATGCATTCATTGTTTCGTTTTTTGAAGTGTGGTATTTATTTATAGGCTTTCATCTAGGACTGGGCGATTAATGATTGTGATAAATTTCAGTCCGATCACGGTGATCAACTGTGAGCTTATTTACTCGATCAAACTTGGCGAAAATGTGCATCACAACAGCCAATCAGAGTCGAGCTTTTCCTGCTCGCCTCTGTAAGTTGCTGGACAAGTAAACAGAGTAACCGAACGTGGAGCTGAGGGCAGTAAAATATGTGTCAGCCATGACTTTGAGTCATCCTCCGAAGACGTTATTGTTGAGAAAAAAAGTTATTTAACGTCTTATTTGGTATTTATCCTTTTGTTTGTTTTAAGTACAGATGCTTTAAAACTGACAGCTAAAAAAAAAAAAATGGTGATAATAATCGAGATCGGACAATATGACAAAGTACATCGTGATCATCTTTTTGGCCAAATCGCCCAGTCCTACTTCCATCTACACAGTGTGACACAGGATAACCTATGAATGAAGTTGTTGTATCTCTTGAAAGGAAAACTCAAAGTCCCCCAGTTTGGAGGTTACTGTGTGTAATGGCGTCCTCTTTGCAGCTCAGATGGTAGAACACAAAGTCAGCGTGAAGAGCAGAAGACAGTCCAACTTGTTGGGGGGTAAGGCGGACCCATTTGCATACCCTGTGAGTCTTTGATGCATCTTGAAAATTCAAGTCTAGCCCATAAATATTTGAAAAGGAGAGTGCATGAAAATCAACATTTTTGTTACATTAAATTAACATGTGTTCTTCTCCTGTTCTGCATACTTAATTAGTCAGTGAGTGAGGACTGAGGAGGAGGAGAGGGGTGCTCTGATTACAGTGCAGCCAGAGCAGGTTTTAAAGGTGTGCAGCTGAATCCTTCTCACTTATTCACTGATTTATATCCACTGTAAGGACTCATAATTATTTTATTACAGGAGACAATCTGCACTTCAAACTTTTTCTGCATGACAATAAACAATTATGTTTCCTTTAACAGTAAGAAAGCCACCGTATGAAGCATTCATAAACAAAATTTAAATGCATCTAAATTACACACACAATTATTGTTTCAGTGAAGAAAGAGGACATTCAGATTTATCTGCAGCTGCCCCTGTAACAAATGAACCTCATTATGATGCATTTAGACCAGTTTCATGAATTAGATTAGATTAGATTCAACTTTATTGTCATTGAACACAGCACAACTACAGGAACAATGAAATGCAGTTTAGCATCTAACCAGAAGTGCAAGGTGGTAAAGTGCAAGGTATGTACATATGGGCAGTGCAGGTATGAACTAAATGTACTATATATATGTGCAATGGATATGCTAAAAATATATACATGGTGTTGGTTACTGCAGGTATGAATAGGCTTTACAACAAAATAATATATATATAATTATGTATATTATCTATATATTCAGTATACTGATAAGTGCAGGTGTGAAAAACAGAAAAATGCTATTAAACATGTTTAACAAACTAGTTGTAGCTGAATAATTACATACTTCAATATTCTTGAAAATATGCTCATGTTAACTCACAGTAAATAGATGCTTCTAAACTGTAAGGTATCCCGTTCAATAGTCAAGAGCATTGATACACACTACCCAATACTTTAAATTAAAACCCAATACCTTTCTCTGCAAAACTGCAAATCACTTCATTTAAAACAATTCTCATTTATACATTCAGGTTCATAAACTGTATGATTATTTTTCCTGACTTTGTACTTGATTTTTACACAATCATGCAAACATATTATAAGGTGATCGAGAGAATCTATAAGGAGTGTTATCTGCAAACTCTGTGACCTTCCATTCATGAGATGAACTGTTGACATGGTCCGGCTGTAAGCGACCAACACCCACAAATCCAACACAGCTTAGTCATTATAGAACGCCAAGTTATGCAATTAAGTCAAACAGTATTTGCATACATGCAAATGGACTCTCTCCCAATTGGACTTGCAAAGTGGGACGCTCTGTTCTCATTAGTTGACCCAAATCTCTTACTTGTAACTCTGAATTTCATCAAAGTTTAGTCAGGATCTAATATTTCCTTTCAAGTTAACAGAGGAGCAGTGATTAATCATGTTGAAATAAGGAGTGCAACATGCCAATTTTAATTATATACTTATCAAAGAGACCGTCATACAGGCAGGGCGAACACTTCCACAAATATCAACACTGTGGTTATAGTAAATACACAGTAAATGATAATTATTTATAATACTTTGTGTTTGTGTGTTTGTGTATATACAGTTCACATTAAATTAAATACCTTCAGAGTTTCTTGTGGATCTGTGAAGACCAGGATCAGGGGAAAGGTTTTTGATTTTTGTGAACAGTCGACAGGAAATGATGAACAAGTGTGAATTCTTGTTCTTGAGCTATTATCTGTATGTTTTAGAGAAAAAAATAATCACACAGATTGAAGTGTGTAAATTAAAATCCAAGTGGGTCAGGTATGGCACCATTTTATGAATAAAGGTATCGACTCAATATTAATGTCCATAAAAAAAGAACAAATACTATGTGGATCAGTAAATTCATGTCCTTCATTAGAGCAGCTGCATGTAGAAAATTTCATTTCTGTGTGTGTGTGTGTGTGTGTGTGTGTGTGCGCGCAGCAGCAGCTAGATTAAAGAGGAGGCCCAGGGGCATTTGGTTCATTTACAAAGCAATTGCTTTTATGTACAAAAAGCCCAATTCACTGTAGGTATTGTAAAATCCTTCCGTTTAAGGGACATGAGATTAATTTATTGTTTAATGTTACACAGCACATTCTCAACACAACTTTAATCATTAATGTTCAGGAATATTTAATATGTTTTCTCTTTGTGGATCGTCTCCCGATGATATCACCGTCTCAAAAGCTTTAATAAAGAAATAAAAGATAGCACAAAAGGCATTGTTTTAGTGAGAGCACACAGTAAGGCGACTGTGGAGAGGCAGGACTGTAATCCAGCTCTCTCTTTCTCTCTCTCTCTTTTCTTTTTATAGTGTGCACACAGCACATTGGGAGGAATATTCAGTGATTCCTAACTCTTCAATTATTAAACAAATCACGATTCCATTTCTTACATATTAAAAAATGTACCATATGTGGAGCCTGGAAATGATAAAACAGCATAAAATACTATTTTGAAATCAAAGCACCTATTGCATGGGCTTCCTTGGTTTTGTATTTGTACAATTGGACTACAATCCGGATCCCCGCAGTGTGCAAAGGAGGCGCAGGCTGTGCCTCCACTATAATCTAAATCCTCAGACACTCGCGGAGAGGAACAATAATATTTATGTGATGGAAATCGGTATCACTGGGAATCAGTGTAGGCTTTCCTCCTTTCTCTTCTCATGTCAGGGGGGAAAGTGTGAATATGTTACAAATGCAGTGCGCTGTGCAGTGAACAATGTAGACCTGAGAACAAGGTCGGACTCCTCAGTGTGGTCTCCATAGACTCCTCCTTTCAAGCAGAGAGAGGAGAAAAAAACTGACATAAAAAGAAGCTGGCGTCAAAGCTTTAACCTCATCACTTTCTTTTTAATCATAAACAGACAGGAGGCACTTTGGCTCTGTTGAGGTCTTAAAACAAGACGTTTTATTCACCCCTACAAACTTATTATCCTAGATTTACTTCTACAAAATTGACTCTTCCACAAACACTCCCGTCAGGAAACTGAACAGTATGTGTCTCACCTGAAAAAGCATCTCTGAAGCCAGAGAGTGTTTAGTGAAGGATTAATGCAGGAGGCCTCGATTGCGTTTAACAGAACAGGACCCAATTAGCATAATAGGCCCTCTTTCATTCTCTTTGAAGTCCAGAGCAGAGAATAACAAATGTATATGAACCAGCAGCCAAACGTCAATACATGGAAATGCCACAATCCTCAGTGGAGGGTCCTGGGTGAGTTTTTTTGCTGGAGGAGGGAAAAACATCCCATTTTATTGCCAAATAAGCACAACAGAGGATGTGAGGGGTCTTCTTCTTCTTCTTCTTGCCACTAGGGCCAGCAGGCGCCAAGGGGCCCCTGATCCTGGAGGACAGACAGAGGCTAAGAGGAGGAGGATCCTGCTTAGGGAGGTGCAGCCTCCTCTCTCAGGTGTGTTCAAAGCACACCATGAAGCAGGCGAGGGAAAGTAATTACTCTCCAATTAAAGATGAAGATGTCACCCGGGAGGGAGCCAAACACAAGGGCTGAGACAAGCAAAGGAGGGCGAGGGCGCCGCATCTATTAAACATGTTTGAATTACATCATCTTTGCACATGCACCGGGGTGATGTATGATAAATATTTGTGTGGAAAAATGCAAAGTTTGATGATAATAGCGCCCTTAAAATGAATTTTTAAAAACAATCATTTCACTTATATCCCTTTCTTTTAAAATCAGAAGTTCAATACATGAATTTCTCAGAGGTTTCTTCTTACAATTGCAATGGAGACATAGTTCATGATTTAAAGATATGAATTCTGTTCTTCAGAACCCAGAGTTATTAGTATCCACCTTCTTGCTTGAAAATACAAGGAATTAAAAATGCTCTTTTGAGATGGAGAAGCTTTGAACTTAAGAAACATTTCAAGAAGCCCCTTTCTCTCCCTCTCTCTCCCTCTCTTTCTCTTTTTTGTATTGAAAGTTCACCTCCTTTGAGCATGCCATAGTTTGGTTCCCTTTTCAAATAATAGCATGAAGTTTAATGGGTCAAGGCAATCAATGTAGAAGTTCAAACAGAATCTTGAAGCTCTGATGAGTGCACATTTTGTACATTTTCTTTGTACATGATTAGAATTACGATGCGCTCAATGAGGGCATCAGTGAGATATGTTCAAAAACAAAGGGGCCTTTCTAGACGGAAGTTCACTTTTTAGTCTTATTTCTCAACCAGAGAGAAAATACGAACTTTATCTTTAGAGTTGATATTGACATTTTCAACTTCTATGCACCAAATCCTCTAAAACAGACAGAACAGCTGAGCTCCAAAGTCACAATATTTGACAAACTCAGTTTAAACGTTTTGTGTTTCTACCTTTGTGGTGAAGTATGACGCAATCTTTTTGAAGTCCCATTCCGTTCCAATTTTTTTTACTATTTAAAGTGTTCTCAGTGGTCTTCAAATCGTGATTATGAAGTTTTTAGCCAAAATCACGTTACCTGTGTCACTTTCGAGGACATTTCTTCTGCAGAGCTCTAGTAGCTCATTAGCGATTCGTCTCTGAGTCGTGGGCGGAGACAGCGCTGCTCTGCACACTCCACTTCACGTTAGCTTGTAGCCTAACATTGCCGGTCTTTGGAGACATGATGAAACCTAATATCTTAATTAGCTTTCTTACTAGCATTGCAATCCGCTGACGCACACGCTTGTTCCGTGATCGTCGTATCTACTTTTTAGAGTCTGGCCTGCAGAACGGGGCCCTGGGGGCGGAGCTTGGAGTTGTGACGTAGGAATTCTCACTGTGTCTGAACCATAGACTGTATATAGAATGTACACCATCTGCCTCCTCCCTGGGTGAAGCCACCGTGAGAACAGCACCCTCTGGTGACAGGTTTCAGTATAGGTCATAAATCCCACCTCCTCCAGCAATCCCTATGGAGCTGTGGACAAACTTTAGAAATTAATTACACAGAAGAAACATTTTTCTCCCCCCTGTTTGCGATGTTGACATGTAGTTACAGTAAGTCCTCTTTTTTCTGTGCAGCTTCATTTTTTGAAAGTTATTAGGAGGTTCATGTTTTCTATTGACACTTGATACAGCCTAAGATGCAAAGATTGCGTAGCTCACCCGGAGGATGCGCTGTTTGAGCCGAGTTTCATCACAACGACTCGGCGACTCTCCCACTGAATGTGTATAATACTACTGCACAAATGGTGGTTCCAGGAAATGGAGGAAAATCCCAAATATACGGACATATAAGGCGGAGTCAAGCTGTCCATAGTATATACAGTCTGTGGTCTGAACCTGCTGTTGGGGTCTGTGAGACATTCAGCGCGATTTGAATGCAGAAATACTCAGAAATGCAGTTTTGCTCTTAGTTTTCTATGATTATGTCCTGTAGCATAAGAAAAATGCCACATGAACATGTAAACAACAAGAAAAACATGATTTTCATCGGAGTGGGTCTTTAAAGGAGGGAAGTTTAAAACTTTGACTCTCATTGGTGGACAGCAACCAATGAGATTGCACCAGGAAAAGAGTGACAGAGATGGAGACTTATTATGAAAAATGTCATTTAGATCATGAACAACCTTTTTATGCTGTAACAGGATGAATATTTAGTTTCTCTGCTCACTACTTTAACAGCTGTAAAAAAGAAGAGAGAGATCCATGATGAACCAGATAATGTGTTAATATCTTTAATATTCACATTTTTTATAAATGTCCATTGTGCAACCTTGCCCCAGTCACACAGAAGATATGTTAAAGGTTACTTTCATCCTGATGTACGCAAAAATAAAATTCATTTGGCAAGCTAAAAGGAGACTGGCAGTGCTACAGGTACATACAGATGATATTTCAAGTGGTTTGGTGTAAGAATATTATCTGAGTTTTGACAAAAATACTACCATCATGATGCTTCAATACCTCTGCTTCTTAACATTGTGTACCTGACAAAATAAAGAAAAATACAACCAGGCTCCCAGTTGAGAACATACTGCAAAGAAAAGCCTTTCAGTCGTACCTTGAAAACATGATACAGTGTACAATTAAAGTGCAATGACATGTAGAAAATATTTTTATTACTATGAGATTTACATTTATTAGACAGTTCCATAATTATTAAGCACAACAGCTCCCACCGCAAAGACCCCCTCACTTTTAGAAATACTCAATGCTGCATAAGCCTCAGAGATCAAGTTAGACACGAAGTTCAGTTTCAGTACTGCTGAGTAAAAATCGAGACAAAATCCTGTTTTCTCGCAGAATCCAGAAGTCTTTTTTCCATCGTAGAAAAGCACCTCAGTGTCCAGAAATCGCTTGAGCTAAAATAAAATAGAGAAGACAAAGTCAGAACAAAATCAGCGCAGTGTGTTTTTTCATTTCTACTTTATGAAGATGATCGTTCTGTTGTTGAAATGTGGTGTTTGTGCAATACTTGGACAAAAATCCTGACTACATAACAATTCGGAGAAATGATAAGAATTCATCAAATCAAAAACATCTTTATCTAAAAACATATTTATCTTTTTTATATCCACAGTAATTTAAAGAGCAAGATTAACAAACTAAATCAATACTGTTGAGTAGTGGGTCTAACTCTCTAAGAAGTTTGTTTTCAACCGTGAAGTTATCTTTGACAGACAGAATAAAGAGTAGAAAATTCATTTTTAAGATACTCCAGCAGTCCTATATTACTGGCAGCTGTGTACTCTGATATTATTAAGCACTGCATTTTATTGATAAAGCTATAAACTCTGTGCAACATGACAGTTTCCTGCTCTAAAGGTCCAACATTTCATCAGCTGTTGCCACACCCTCATACCAAATTTAATGAAAACCACTCTGGTTTTTCTGTAATCCTGCTCCCTAAAATACCATCATCATGGCGGGGGTGAGAAAAGCCCTCAAACTTATCAAGCAAATGCCGTCAAAAAAAAGGATCTTTACCAGTGGACACAAAGCTGTTTTATGGCAGAGCGGTATCTGAACACCTTGACTTTTCTCAAACATCAGACCTGAACCAGGGGCTAGAGAGCTGCATACAGTGTGTATCACACAGAACACTACAGTAGGCATGCAACCACACCAGATTTCAAAGGATGAAGTTTCTTCATCCAGAAGCCGATAACACATTCAAGTCATGCAACACTGAAAAGAGACATTTCATGCTGTTATTCCTCCTCAAACGCTGCACTTACCAAAAAGTTAAAGGTCACAGTCGCTCAGATGGGCTCATTACTTTATCGGTACCTGATGATTGTACGTCTTTGTACCTTTTCTTTGTGACACCTTCTTTCAAATCTGAATGCAGAGTTTTATTCCTCACCTGTGCGTCTATGATGATTTTATTCTCTGATGTAGAAAGAATTGAGGAATAAATTTTAGTAATCAAATATCTGCTGGTGTTAGCTGACAGATGGATTTTTTTTTAAAGGGAATAAATGACACCTTCTTCCTGTATTTACACTAACAACAGTGATGTCTGCAGTTTCTTCTCCTAACTAACTCTTCCAGGCTGCAGATGGGGAGCTAATTGGTGCTGAGGAATGCAGCTGTGCTGACTACTGAACTGTCAAGGCGCTAAATCAAAAGGTGTCTCCTTTGTTAATTATACACAATGCTACAAACAGTCTTGTTCGCTGGAGCCCTTTCTTTCCTCATCCATCCATAAATATTTTGGCAGCGATACAAAAAGAAAAAAAAAAACAATTTACAAACAATTATCACAGCGGGATGAGCTGACTGCCTGCAGATGTTTGTTTGGATCATAATGGGAGCAGAGGTAGGGCTTCCTAACCTGTTTCCTACAATCACAGCAGAGCACTGAGCATGCTGGGAGGTGCAGAGCGTGCAGGAGCGTTCACTTCTAAGAGGGGATGAGTGAAGCCTTGAAAACATTAGCGCTATAAAACATGCAGATAAGCCTTACTTTATTTCTTGGATTATTAGACAAATGTGTAGTGAATTCCGTTGCTTAGAGGAGAAGGAGGCGCCACAGACACAGCAGATACAGGGGGAAGAGGAGGAGGAGGTGGAGGAGGGGGTAGGGGCGGAGGTGAAGGGAGGTTAGCCTGTGGTGAAACTATGGCGGAGAGGAAAACAGAGAAGGAAAAAAAACACAGAGGCTGTCAGTCAAAGGGCCAGCGGTGGGACAGGTTTTTGGCACAGAGGAAGGATCAAACCCACGAACAGAGCACGTCGTCTTTATCACAGCAGATGCTGGTTTGACATGTATGGATACCCTCATCATGAGCTGATCTGCCAATAATCTAATCTAATCACCCAACACCCTGGTGCATTTCACTCTCTCTGCTTTTTTTGTCACAGCATCCCACCAAAAACCCACAGAAGTATGAATTTTACTGTGTAAGAAAAAAAGCAGTAAATTTGAACCTAGAACACTGTGGAAAATTTGGGGGTCTGTATGAATCAACGAACCAATCTTAACCCTTGAATGCCTTTTGTATCATATTTGATACACACTTTTATGATACTGCCATCAAATCAATATAAGCAACAAATTACTTTAAAAAACACCTGAATACAGTCTGATAACTGATGAAAATGACCTCTTGTGGTCTTAAACATCTAATGTATCAAAAGAGATAAATATTTATATTTGTTAAATTTTAAGGACATTTTGATTTTTTTCAGTTTTCAGTAGTACGTGAAATAAACATTTCAGCTCCAATAAACACCCTTTAATTTTCTGGCCATAATTTGTGGTTTCAAGCATTAAAGGGCGAAATAATGATCCTCCCTCTCCCCTTATTAGGCATCTAAAATTGTCCACTAAGGCTGAAACAGGGTCAGGTAATAAGACGTAATAAGAAATAGGGGCGGGAATCGCTAGTGGCCCCACAATACGACATCATCATGATACTCGGGCCATGATACGATATGAATGCGATTTTTAACATTTTGCAATACAGTCAGTATTGCGATACCATATATTGCGATTCATAAAATTTTTTTCAACTGTTTAGCTAACTTAGCATTTGTCTTTCCTTTATGTTTGTCTTGTTTACGCTGTATTTTATTTTCATGTAGCACATCTTGCAAACCTTATATCTATATAAATTTGTTGTACTAACTTCCTCCTGCTCTATAACGTCACCTCTGCCATCCTCACTGGACAAACAGTTGAGTTTATTTTTTTCTACAATCATAGATTTGACTTCATATTAACAATTAATTTGAAAAATAGATACTTGAGACGATACGATATATCACCAGACAAAATATCGCGATACTATGCCATATCGATTTTTCTCCCACCCCTATGGTCTGTAGTCCATAACTTCGTTTCAATCTTTAATAAAAAAAAGGGCAGCTGTTTTTTTTAAAGGGAGGAAAATTATTGAGCCACTATTAGAGACATGAAATCTTGTAGAGTGAATAAAATGTATTTCATTTTCCAGCACAAAGTTAAAGATTGCTCTCTTTATTCCAAATGATTTGGTCCAAAATGCCAAAATGTTTTAAAATCAAGAAAAAAAAGATTAAATAAAAAAACACACAGCCCCATGATATAAACTGTGAGTTATTGCACTGCTGCACATTCCTGCCTGTGTGCCAGCTTTCATTGAAGTCTCTCATGCATAATACGGAAAAAAAAGACACTTCTTTTAATTTCAGGGGTTTGAAAGTGCACAAGCGTACCTTCTTTTAACACCAAAGAGAGAGAGAGAGAAAGAGAGAGAGAGAGAGAGAGGGTGAATTAGTCTCTTCTGACAAGATGCCACCAGTTATATTCCCTGACATTTCTCAATGCTGGAAATAATGTTATAATTGTTGACTTTGCCTCACTGTGCATATTAAGCTTCCACACACGCTGACAGCTTGAGTGTTACTGTGTGTGACATGTATACGTGTGCGAGCGTGTGTGTATGTGTGTGTGTGAGGCAGACAGACTGACAACCTGCTGCAGCTACAGTGAAAATGAACTTGCCTGTCTGCTGTAGAGTATGAGAGAGATGAAAAGTGTGCACAGTGTCTTTTATGAAGGTTCAGAGCTATGTTCAAAGCAGCAGCAGCAGCAGCGGTGCGCAGAAGGAGAGTGGAGTTTGACTGGGTCATTGATCAGCACACAAAACGGCCTCATCAAGTGATTCCTCCCCTGTCTGAAAGATTCTACATGGATTGCAATTAGAGGCTATCTGCACCCCTAAGAAGGAATAATGTTCACTTATTAGGAAATGAACAGCCTTATCACTTGACTCTGCACCTAGTGCCCTTCTCATCTCCACTCCATCAATCCAGAGTTTTCCCCACCATCCCTTCTTGAACCAAAAGGTGTCAATTTGAAGCCTGGGGGAAAGTTACTGAACCTGTCAGTGCTAGTGTGTGTGTGTTTTTTTTACAGTGTAAATACAGTAATTATTTCTGTAAGAGTTTCAGAAGAGGACAGGCTTTACACTCTTTTTTTAAAGCACAGATTCCTTATCGTACAATTCAAAGGACTCAAAGTAGGGCTGCACGATATTGGAAACAACTAACATTTAAATTTTTTTCAACCCTGCGATATATAATACGATATTAAGAAATACAGGAATTTTTACCAGATGACCTGAATAGCACTTTATGCTGAAATCTAGCAGACAATTAACCTGCACTGATCTTACCTCTTTTTGTGAATGTTAGAAAAACGGCTTCTGTCTGTCTTAGAGATATTTTAGCTTTTAGAGATATTTTTAGCTCCGAACTGTTTTAGTTACCAAGTCAGAAAAAAAGCCAAATCAAAGGCGGAAACAAGATGGCTACATTTACGAAAGTTACTTTAGCGCCTGCCTTGTCCGAATATAAGGCAAGTGCTGAAATAGCTTTCGTAGATGTAGCCATCTTGTTTCAGGCCTCCGATTTTGCTTTTTGGTCACTGAAATGCTGGGAACTCAGGTGTGACATCATTTTCAGCTCAGACTTTTGACTTCCGAGGTAACTCGAACGCAGCAAAACCCATACAATTCTTATTTGTGGAGCTAAACAGTGATGAGTAATGTTCCGAAAGTCATTCTCGGCAGGCAGGCGTTTCTTGGCACAACACCGGCAGTGCCAGCAACTGACTCCATGTGCAGGGGCGTGGTTTCCTCCTCTCTGATTTCGATTGACAGCTGGCAGGGTAGTCTGATTGGCAACTGAGTATAGAACGTATATGATTGGTGTATCGCTTCACAGCACACGCAGTGTCTACACACGCATTGTATGTCAATCAGCTACCCTCGAAATTAGAAGAATTCACCCTACATCACAGGCTCTGCAATGTGACTGTCGCACACATGTACATCGCGATGATGATGCTTAAATGATATATCGTGCAGCCCTAGTTTGATTTGTCATTTTCATCTGCAAGCGTTGGGATGACGACTGTTGTGAATTGGTGCTATATTAGTCAAATTTGATTGATTGATTGAATGATTTGAAGAACAAATAAGAAAAAAATAAAGTCAACAATTATATTTACAATAAAAATATAATAATATTTACAGCAGCTTTAATCTAAATAAAAATAACATTTACAATTGACCTCATCTGAAACACTGTTCACACTGGGGTACGAAGCAGCAGAGTAAGTGGAGTGCAAACAGGCTGACTGACCTGCAACCAGTTTGCTCTTGAGTGAAGCTTCTGAGGCCAGAGCGTAGGACATGGTGATGATCCGCTCCTGCTCCTGCAGAGCTGAGTCAAGGGCCACAAGCCCTGCATCTGGTTTATCCACAGTTACTGTAGATGCAAGGTTCTGCACACTGATTCACCCACAAAAACATTAAAAAACAAATTAACCAAAAATGATTTACCGGGAGTAATGTGCAATTTGGTAAAGGCCTGCCCAAAAAGCCAAGAAGTCCTCGATCAGGAACACGGTTCACCTCTATGTTACTTACCTAGACTTAGCCAAGATGTTCTTAATGCGCTCCACTTTGCGATGGCGTTCCTCCACCTCCTGAGGACTGAGAGGCTCCTCTGGCTCTGAATCCACGTAGCGCTCTGGTATCAACACCTTCTGGGGCTTAGAAAGCTGCACAAAACAGAAACAGGGTATATAAACATCTCTGCCTCTTTCTTGAAGGAGGGTTACCTGGAAAAAAAAGGACAAAATCTTTCCATTTGCCCAGTTGAAGGATATGAGGATGAGTAAATTAGACTAGAGATAAACAGTTTTTCAAAGCAAAGCCAATAACACCAAACTAAACCTTTCAGAAAGCAGAATAATGATCCGGCAGCTAAAAGAGATGGATTCAGCAGAAGATATTCATATTTGTAATGTTGCATTGGTACAAATATATATCCAGCTGTTTTCTCCTGACTTGTTTGCTAATTTCATTTCATTTATGGCCTTTTAATGCTTTTAGCTCTAACTGTAACACACCTCTTTGTTAAGGTCCAGGTCATAGTCTAGCGGTTCCAGGTCAGGCTCATGTGAGGGAGGGGTTGTGGCCGTGGAGCGGAAGGTTAGCCATTCGTCCGAGTGTGGGCGGGGTCTCTCTTTGTGTTCAGGAGGTCTTTCCTCTCCCTGGACGCTCCTCACCCCCTGTGCCTCCTCCCCCTGAACAGCCCTCTCCAGTAACTGCAGGTCAAACTCCTGCTCCCTCTTCCACTGGACAAAAGAGAAAAAATGTGTTTTATATTTATATATTGATATAAAAACACCCACAGAGTCCTCTCCACAAGTAAATGTTCGATGAGCTTTTTTACTCATAATTTTTTGTATCAAGTCCTGTTCAAAAAACTCAAGTGATTTAAAAGTGCAGGGTGTGTGTGTGTGTTTGTGTGTCTTTAGGGGAGAAAAGGGAATAATGAGGGAGCATGCATTGCTATGCTATGCATGCTTAATAGGCCCAAAGTTCTAAAATCACTGCATGCTGTAGAGACCTCTACAGAAGACAGCACATCACCGCAGAAACAAACAGCCCAGATACCACACTCAGACACTCACACTTAAGGCAGACCCACCAAACATGACAATAACGTACGCTGAGAAAAAGTACGATCAATAAAAAAAAACATTGAAATTTGAGTTCATTAGAAAATGTTTATTTATTTCCAAGCATTCACATAAAAAAAGATTCCTCAAACTAACAATTAATGACCGAGCAGACGCTGATATCAAAGTGTGTCATACACATAAGTAGTATCTCAATTAAGAGGCTTCATCTCACAAACAGAAGCCCCGAGTTATTAACACGTAAACAGTCGACAGTCTGTCTTGATGTGAGTGAGGAGAATCACGTAAGAAAAAATGCTATTAGGTGTGGATGAGAGGGGCTTTAATCTGCACGGCTTAGCGAATGTCAATGTTTTGGTCAGTAGAAAAATTAGAAGGCACTTTTCTCACTCACACACTCATACACACATTCGTAACAAATGAAGAACAGGCTTAATAAGTGGAGACAACACCAATGAACACACAAGACACCGTTATAGGAGAGGAAACAGTTTGCTTGTTAAGTGGAAAGGCACCAACAAAGTGGATAAAAACAGCCATGAAATGGAAAAAACCACAGAGGATGGATGGCAATGATTGTGTAAAGGAGTATTAGCATCTATGAGAGAGAATAACTATCCAGGAACAAGTGAATATGAGGTGTCATCGGCTGAAAGGCCTGTGTCTAAGGTTATTATTGTGTTATGAGATTGCTAGGCAAGAGCAAATATCATGAGTGAAGAAACGATTCTTAATTATAATTATTATTATTTCAGCTTTTTCATGAATCCTTTGTTTTTATACAGTTTCATAAGTACTGTGAACACTTGCGCTAAGATTAAGTGCTCGGTGTAAAGAGTAAATCTCGTCTCCCCCTGTACGAAAAGGCCTTACATTTTAATATGCCACGTTAGGAAAACACAGGATTAATAATACAAACATGGTTATCATTATCATTATCATTATTATTGGTAAATCTGTGTTTTTCTTGCTATGACAAGTCAAATGCTCTCTGTGAACAAAAGTCTGAAGACAACAAATGCATGTGATATGCACAGTTAGAGGCACACAGTGAATAACCATACTGTTGTGATTTATTGGATTATGTTGAAGTCTGTGTTGTCAGAAACAGAAAAGACAGACTAAAGGCATGCATGATGTCGACCATCGCTCTTGGGCTGGTTGTCGTCATGCATGAGAGGGTGATGTGTGATATTGTTCTAGTGACATACTGATCCCATGTCTGCTGAAAGGGGGCGCGAGGATGAGGGCGAGGGGCGCGGCGAAGCGGAGGAGTGGCGGTCTCCGTGACTCAGGGTGCGTTTGCGCTGGCGGACAAGGGCCTTCTGGTGCCTCTTCATCCTCTCCAGCTGCTCATCAGCACTCATCTTCCCCCTCTGCTGCTGCTGCGCTGGGTCCACAGAGTACAGACGCTCCAAGGCACTTTTTGGTCTCTCCTGAGAGGAGTGGGAGGAAAGAGATGAGAACATGAGCGAAAGGTGCAGCAGAAGGCAAAGATGGAGAGAAAAATAACAACAAACTTCAGATATAACCCTGATGCATTATCAGTGGTGATAAGGAAGGAAGAAAAAAGAACTGATGGTCGTCTGTATTTTATTTTCAGTAACAAAAGCTGTTGTTAATTAGACCTTTTTTTTTATTAACAAATGCTTAGTTCTACTTAAATATCACTGATTTCCTGAAGAATTATGGCCTCACTTTGGTGAATTTGATACTTTCATCTCCTTCTTTACTGGACTCTAACCCCCAATTTCCACCGTATCTGAAACGGCTCTGCTACTGAACGGCAGTGATTTTCGCCGTCCGCCAATTTCCACCAGATGTGTTTTTGAGGCGAATTTCATGGCAGAATCATGAGAACTCACAAGAACCCATGGATTCACATGCAATCGCGCAATAAAGTGGTCTCTCTAAAGACAGCCACATAACCATAAAAACAGTAGATTGTGTCCTTCTAGAGGAGGAAATCTACTTCCTGAACAAGCATCTCCTCATCCATGGTGTCGTTGGGGTGAAATGTTGTCTGAAAACCTTTTCACTTGTTCGTCCCCGCCCGTTTGCATGGTGTGAAATACAATTCGCCTGAAACACGTGGTCTTTCATTTTGAAAAGAAGACGGATGTTTTATTTTCTGTGTTTTATTTTCTTCCTCTCCAGCACGGGTTAATCTGTGCTGAATTTATGCGCCGTGCTGCGGCGTCTGGAAAAAAATAGAAGTCTTGTGATCGGTTGCGGAGTTTGCTGAACCGCAAGGTGACGGAAAGAAGCCGGTGGAAATTGACACATTAACTTGAATGCAAACGGCCTTGTCGCAGCCCTTCCTGATGCGGTGGAAGTTGGGGGTTAGTGGGTCGTACCTTTACGCCGGCAGCTGATGCTGCTCTGCGGAGGGTAACATACGAGGAGATGCTTGAGGACTGATTTAGTCTGAGTGAAGAACCAGCTGCTCCTGAGGAAAAGCCAAACACATTCATTTATTGGCTGAGAGTGTGTACAGTAAAATTCATGAGCTTTACTGGCTTTATCAACTGTTCACCTCTACCAGGTAATGTCTGGTAACCCTCAGGTCCAGGTGTTATCACTACACTGGTGTAGCTGGAGCCGTCCCCAGCTCCCATGAGCTCAGGGTCACTCAGGAAAGGTCTTAGTTCCACCTGAGGTACAAAAGTAGACGTTAGAAACAGACGAGACACAAACATTTCCACATGCTAATAGCACAAACACAAACCTTGCCGTCTCCATTGGTGTACTGGCCAATCTCTCTGTCCCTTTTGCGTTCGTCTGACTGTCGTTTGAGGCCACGTACAGAAGTGTGTCTGATGACTGTGGTCTCCCGGGGCAGGGGGGGCACAGCAGGGGGATGCTCTTCAGGACTGTAGAGCTGAGGTAGAGGAGGTCTGGGAGGCACGTCATCCTCACCCTGAACATTAAAAAAAAAGGGTCAACTTCTGATTAATTTGAGGGAACAAGAAATCTTCATACTTCCCTGGAAGTGACACCAGCCACTTTGAAGACCAGCAAGAAGAATTTGTAAATTGACCATTAATTGTAAATGACGCTCGTGTTAATGTCACCGTTGATTTAAAGGCTTCTAGTGTGCTGGGTGATTATCACTCAGCTGATTTTTAGCATTTATTACCCCTCATTGTTCCTTTTTCTATAATGTTTTCCACACGGGAAGGGTGAGAAAAGTCAAAATGAGTATCCTCAAACCAAATCTATCAGAAGATTAATCTTTTCTCACTCTTTTCAGACATTTTTTATACAAAACACAATACAAAGGCACTTACTAAAAGACTGATGTTTTCCATTTTTAAATGTAAAGATTATCTACTGTCCGCTGTTAATAATCTTCAAACGTTAGTATCTTTTTGAAAAGCTCTTTTTCCTATTTCATACTTTCAACAAAACCATTAGGGTTGTCCCAAGACAACTTTTTCACTTCCGATACAATACCTATATTGATCAGATATTGATAAGTTTTTCGGACTTAAACGAAAAATACTGCCACAAGGCCGACATATTGCTATTTTGTTAGTACCTTAGTACACACTGTTGTTATGATTCTGTGGGCTCAGCTTGCTGGATCAGGGCGCTGCTAGCTAGAGGTGCTGGAGTGGAGTCTGGAATTGACTGTTTGTATTGGAGCGCTGATATCGGAGATTTTATGCTGCGTTCCAGTGACCTCGGAAGTCATAGCAGGGAATGACGTTACACCCGAGTTGACGGCGTTCCAGTTAACAAGTCGGTAAACCAAGATGGACGCCTACTGTTAGCCTTTGTTAGCTGTTGTTTACAGTTGTCAGCTGTTGTTAGTTGTTGTTAACTATACCAGTAAACAGCGTATGACACAGTATTTTACTCTTACAAACACCATAGCACCGTGTTCACAGTTAGACGTTGGGTAGTAAAACATAAACCACTTATTTAATTTCACAAAAACAAAACAGAAGTGCTAATAAAGAACACATTACGAGAGCTTTCACTGTTACTCTTTACTGTTGATGTACTGCGCTGCGATCTTGAATTACGATGTTGTCGTCAAGTCGGGGTTGGTGAGGATCATCCAACTTTCTGAGCCGTAAATCCGACTTCAGGGGGGCGTTCCACATGAATTTCCAACTCGGAGCTCAGAAATCCCGACTTCTGAGTACAACTGGAACGCAGCTTAAGATGCAGGCCGACATAATCCAATATTTGTTTTTTTGCTGATATCGGACCGATGTCAATATCGTATCGGGACACCCCTAAAAACCATTATTTCACACACTGAAGTTGAAAGACTGCAGACATGTAGATCAAACAAGGAGATTGCATCCCTTTATCTTACATTGAAAAAGGTGTTGACAAACCATGAGAGGTTGGAATTATGAACAATCGAGGTCAGATAAGCCTCATAGTTAAGAGAACGATACGCAGTCCATTTTTTCCCTTATACTGTGTAAAAACCTGCTTCTGTCAGCACCTTTGGCAGGGTGAACTCACCCAGTTAAGCCCACTGGTGATAGTTGCAGAGTGCAGTAAAGGCTGCTGGCTGGGGCTGGAGAACAGAGTGGGAGTGTGAATGTTGGGGCTGAGGTGGGGGCTGTGCTGCGGCTGCTGGGACAGTCTCATCTCCATTGCAGACGGGCTCCCAGACACAGAAGGCACTGATGATGCCGACACTGAAGGCACAAATTTCCTCTCTGGGGAATTTGGTGTATAAACACATGTAAGATTAATACACACACACGCGCACACTGTAAGACAGTGCTCTGTTTTCCCATGTGAAATGTTCGAGGCATTAGTAACGAGTGTGTGATTAAGAGCTTTAATGGTGAGTTACAGTGGTGTGAACACGTGGTTTGGTTGCACTTGACTGACCTGGGTTGGTAACAGAGGAGATAGTGACTTTGTAGTTGGCTTTACTGGTGCTGAGGCCTGCGATAACATCCTCGATCCTCCACAGCTCTTTTCGGACCTGGACTTTCTCTTGCTGTGCGCAGAGAACCAAACATCAACTCAGACAAACGTAAACAGACATTTCATAAGCTGTGCTGTGAAATGACTTCTTACCGGAGTGTTGTAACACTGATAAAGTCATTAATTCTGCTAGAATATAACTTTTAAAAGAAACAACCTCATGAAAGTCTTGACTTTGTCTGTATGTGTGAAAACAGCCTCATATCTGATAGTGAACAGGGATCACTGAGCCACAGACCTGAGTGAGATCACTGCGGGACATCTGTGCCTGCAGGGCCGACTTTAACCAGTCCACATCACTCTCCAGGCGGTTGTACTCATTCCACGCGTTCTCCATTTCCTGCAAATCAACAAAGAGCACCCTCAGACTGTTAAATGTAAAAGTAGAGCAGTAAGAATAAGAATTAGAAGAACTTTATTTATCCCCGAAACAGAAATTCAAACCACATTTGGACATAATCAGTAAGCATGTTTGCAGTAAAATGCTGTTAAAAGAAGCCGCAGGTGTTTATTCTTATTATTTATTCTGATCATGCTTTTACCACTTTGATTATATTACTTGTTTTTAATCCTCCCTGAACTTTGAGCCAAACCGATCAACAAAAAAATATGGACACTGTCCTTTTTGTCTTTGTGGTGTATCTGTAAACGCTCCGTTTAAACTTGTATTTTCTAATTTGAATCCTGATTGTTTTGAATAACAACACACATTTTGACGACTCTACTTTCCTCAGTGGCGAGGAGATTTTCATACTAGTGTTTTTTTTAGCCCGGAGTTAATCCCCTGATAGTCATTTTGACAGTGACAGTCAAACTGAAACACTGCACCAGTTGCGGAAACCATCAAAAGAGAAAAACTAAAAATAGCAGGACACGTCTCGTTCCAAACCAACAGAAACTCAAGGGGTGGCACATGGGCCATAGAGAGGTCAGCCTGAGTAATGTCATTCACAAAGAAGTCAAAGAAGGTGTACTTTACTTTACATACTGAATCATACCGAGGCTTTAGTCTTACTGTGGAAACTTGGGATATTTCAGCTCTGATGTGCACCACATCCTCCTGTAATAATTTCTGCTGATAGGCAATCTTCTCAGCGTGGGCCGGCTGATCCCTGTACTGCTCCATCTGCTGGTGGGAAACATCCAGCACAGACTCCAGCTTGTCCTGGACAGTGATCACACAAGAAGCCCTTAGAGTCCCACAAAGAAATAGATGGAAAAGAAAAGGACGATTTGTTACCGACATAAATGTAAAAGCAGACCTTGTCCTCTTTTAAAGTGCGTATCCTGGTCTCCAGCTCCTGTAGGATCTTGTCTTGTTCACACAGTCGACTTAATTTCACCTAAAGAAGACAAACCATGTTGATATATTAAGATTGATCACACCTTATTACTCCTTTAACCTTCAAAGAACCACAAAGTGGAGACATAATACACAAAAAAAAACAGAAACAGATAAAATATCGACTGAGTTGATGAGATAAAGTACCGTGTCCATTATTTTTATTCTTCTCTTTCTTTCATTATATCCACAACAAGCTGCTAGATGAGACGAATTGATCGTCTGCTGCAGTCTGTGCTGTCTGTAAATATGTCAATAAGGCTTGTCTATGTGCAAAGCCCAGAGGGACTCCTCTCATCAGCGCACAGAGGAATATCAAAAGGCTCTATACTGTCTGGTTTGGGGGCAAGATCTGGTAATACCCATTATGAGTAATCATAATCAAAAATCCATATTTTCACATTCACTTTTTGGAGAAAAGCATGTTGATTAAGAGTGACAGATTTGTTTTCCCAGAAATGGGTTATGTGTTTATGAAAACAACATAAGCTTGCCTAGTTCACAGTCTTCCTCACGCACAGTTCTTTTTTCTCAGATCTAGTTATCATTCTGTTCAATTAATAATTAAGCTGTTTTTATTTTGCTGCCGTATATTGTTGTTTTTAATTGCATGAAATATTAATTGTTCAGACAAATTTACTGGCAATCTCTTATAAATTGTTAAAGTGGAACAATGCTAATGATGAAAAGCCAGGACATCCATCTTATTTACCTCCATTCAGCGGAAAACAAAGAGTGAGAAAGGCGCGATCAGGCAAATCAAACTGAAAAATTTAACAGCTCGACATCTAAAACTCCCATTACATGTATTTTTCCCTTTAAATTGCAGGGTGGAAAATAAAAGCTGTGGTCGATGCTCTCAGGCCCTCACTGTGCAGAGTGGATGGGTGTCCCCACAGTGTTGCAGTGTACATACGTTCCCTTCCCTCAGCAGCCTCTGTTTACCACAACTTAAGAACACACACACACAAACCCACACACTAAAACACACAGTAAAGTCAGACTAGAGTCAGCTGCGTCTCTGTAGTGGATTGTAAGAAGTCGGAAATGAAGATCATAAAGAAAAGACGGAGACAGATAAACAGGCTGCTTATCAGACTCTGTTTTGAAGTCCTGAGAACACAAGGATTCACTTACATCAGCATCGCTCTCTGCTATTTTCACAGGCCTTGATGATCTCTCCGTTTTTAAGCTCTCACGTCCGGTGACCTGAAATTCAAAATAGCCACAAATAAAACAAAATATTCATCAATCATCTGACGTGATAAACAGCTTTTCTTGACTACTTAGAAATAACAAAGAATGATATAACTGTATAGGGGTTTCAGCATTAATTCAGACTGGTAATTAAATCAGGCTGGATGGATCAAGACAAGATAATGAGGAGAAGGAAACAAAAACACAATCACATAAAACATGAGCTGGAGCTGATTTGATAAAAAATGTGCAGAAGCAGAGCGGAAACATTTATGCAGGAAGAACTTCTGCATCTTTTTGTTTGAGGAAAAACCCCCAAAAACCCAAAGCTGCTCATCCCTGGGATTCCCCGATTCAGAAACATTGGTTTATATAATGTGAGGTGTAATGTTAAATTTAGTATTTCTACTTCAAAAAGTACATCTAGGTTAATGGAAATAGTCATAACTGAAGGCATCTAGTTTCATGTAGGAATGGTAAGGCAGAAAGTCTGACGAAGTGAAGGAAGGAGCAATGCCAGTGTTCAGAGCATAGACTGTATATAATATGGACAACTTGGTTCCGCCTTCTGCCAGATTTGAAGCCAAAAAGTTCTCGGTATTTCAATTTTTTATCAACTTCCTGAAACCAAGAGTCACTGTGATGACACTCGGCTCAAGCAGCGTATCCCCCAGGTGAGCTATGCAATCTTTGTACACCAATAGGCTGTATCGAGTGTCAATCATAGAAAACATGAACCCCCTTCTAACTTTTAAAAATGGAGCTGCACAGAAAAAAGAGGACTTGAGCACAAACCAGTCTTAGAGTAACTTCATGTCAACATCGCAAGAAGGGGGAGAAAAATTTATGTTCTGTGTCCACAGCTCCATAGGGATTGCTGGAGGAGGCGGGATTTATGACCTATACTGCAGCCCGTCACCAGAGGGCGCTGTTCTCGGGTTGGCTTCACCCAGCGAGGAGGCAGACGGCGTCCATTCTATATACATTCTATGACCATAACACAGCCTTGTTCAAGGTATTCAAGTTTTGGTTCACCGGTAAGATTCAGCCACCTCCAGACTGATGTACTGTATTACACCTAAGAGTAGCTTTAAGACGAATTCTTACATTTAAAAATATTTCTGTTTATACCTGTTGTGACTCTGTACAGGAAGTAGAGTGCAAATGAAACTGAATAGTTGCAGAAAATATAGAGGCACTTTTTGAATAATGTAAATAAAGACCCTTATTTATTTATATTTATATATATTTCATATATTCTAATAGTCCTCAAAGAAACAGAAAGTATGTGTTTGAGTTAGGGCTTTAATAATGAGCTTATAACACAAAACTTTTAAAGGGAAAGGGCATCATGTTATACTGTGCGACATTTAACTACTTCCCTGCCATTAAGACAACACAAGACAGTAGTGTTAACATTTGCCATAGTGTGAGTGAAATCATAATATGTGTAGTGAACATGTAAATCCTCTGGAATTGTTCACCCTATTTTGTGAAACCAAATTTGGACAGTCCAGAAAAAGGACTCACTTTCACATGGACTCAAAGTCTATAATAGGTTTCCTGCATGCATTAGTAACTGTCTCTGTAACAGTGAATAATGCATAAAGCTGAAAATGTGGGTGGAATATCCATGACACACCACACCCAGCACAGCTAAATGGACTCTGCAACAGGAAGACTGGATCAAATGGACACTCCACCTACTTTACATGTCAAAGTCAACAACCCGTCATGTCGAGTACTAAACAGAAAAGTTCCGTCATGTATCTGTAGTTTTGGGAGGGGTTTACTACAAGTCTCTTAATTCTAATGCAGTTTTAGGTTTCTATTTGTTTCTGCCAGTCACCACAATGAAACTAGAGGCCCTTACGTATGACTAGTCATTACATTTCTATTAAGAGCACCATTGGGTCATCACTCATTCTCAAACGAGTAAAACGAAAACAAATTAAAGATATCAAACCAATGTTCAACACATTCAAATGTGCTTAACAACATGCAAGGGAGCTTTCTAGCATAACAGCTCCCTTCCTCCCAAATCTCATAGCAGTGCTGCAGTATCACACAATGAATGATTGGATTAAGGTGTTCATGTGCGATATCCTGCATAACTTTCAGGGATGCATCACATTCCTTTGGAAAAAGCAGTGAAATGGTTGGTTTCACTTTGTATGCACACCATCCTTACATTCCAACAGTACCCAAAACTCGGAGTGGAGTTTTCAAACACATTGTGTATTGAAAGGATCATCGGGTCAATACTTTGGATCTGTTTTGACACAGGAAATGGAGAGGTGTTATAGGTCGTACTTCATCAGGTGACCCCACTCCATTCCAAAACAAAACCAAGATGTCTAATAATTAATGTATTGTGGTGTTAAACATACAAAACAGTTAGCTTCAAATGTGCGGATACAAATGGAATATATGCCGATAGATAGCTTAATGAAACTTACAGCTTTAAAACAGCACAAACAAGCCTTTACCGTGACTCTATTTGTTATTCTGTCTTAATTTCTTATAACAAAAACTACAGCTCCAAACAGGAAACACTTTACATTGACAAGTATTATCCCCATAGACCGTTTACAAATCAAATACCCTGAAACACATAAGGTTTTGAGGATGTCAAAGCCTTAACTACAAGATCCTCATAGTGATTATTACTTATAACCAGAATGGACCATATTTGGACAAACAAGTGTAAACAAACTTGAGTATATCCATCCAGATCAACACTTACAATCATTTGAAAGCAACAGCTGTGCCCTTAAACATATACTGTTTTATTGTAAATACTTATCTAAGAGGGATAATAAATCAATAAATAAACACAGTAGAGGTCTGTCTGTATGTATGTACGTACCCACTGAGCAATTAGATGTCTAGTTGTTTTTTAGACCTAATTTCAACCGTCTCGATTCTGTATATTTTTAGACAGAATTAAGACGTTGCACTTTAACCCGTTATTCGATAACTATCTATTTCAAAACGCAACTTTGAGTTGCATAACTGATCTCCAAGTACTTAACCAAAATGATTATGACAGCTGTTGAGCAATATACAGTGAAGTATAGATATAGTACAGATTTAGATTTAGTTTAAACTTGGTCTAAATTTAGACGTCTAAAAAAACTTTCAATATTAGACCCATGGTAGCCTGATTTTAGACCAGTCGCCTAGGCTACATTTAGACATCTATTAGACCAAAAAATGCTCAGTGGGTATGTACTCTAGAAGACTTGAAACAAATCATTTAGAACATGAACTTACAAGGATCATAACAGAGATCATAAATCACAGGAGAAGTGAAGTAACCTTTAAATACTTAACCCTGCTGGTCATAGGCGAGAAAGCAGGTTTAAGAGACTAGTGCCTAATATGAGGCTAACAGGCTTTGTTCGCATCTTATAAACAGTCCATGGTTAATTTAGTCTCGGTGTTAACTTGAAGTGTCACAACAGTAGTGCTCTTGTATGAAGACGGCATCAAAGCACCTGTCTTTACTTGTCAACCAGTCCTGATTGGTAGAGCATTTCTTTATTCTTTGACTTCTTTTAGTATTTCTGGTCTTTTTTTCTGATTAAAATAGTGTTTAGGATTGACTCCATCTTGGATTACTAATCACTTAATTATCTGTGAAAGAACAGGAGTGAAATAAAGAGTATTTGATCCAATAAAACAAAATCAAATAAAAGGAGAAGATAATGGCAGGAAATGTAAAACATTGAATAGAAAGCAATAACATAGCTATAGAAAGTAGTAGCATCGGGTATAAGTGTAAAAACACACTTATCGGTGGTCTGCTGCATCAAAGGCAAACACTGCACATCAGGTTATTAAATGGAAAACTTCCATAATAAACAGGCATTTAAAAGACATGTTGATTTCATCATAAGGAGACAGTTGAAAGCATAGCCCAGGACAGGAAAGACAGGAGAAGGGGGGAACAGGGAGGCAGGTGTTAGAGGCAGCAGGAGAACAAGATTGCAGTTCACAGGAGGAAGATGAGGGAGAGATGAAAAGGATAAAATGGCATTTACTTTGTCGGGGCCCACCTTCAGATCTAGATACTCCAGGTCCTTCTTCAGTTGTATGTAAGTATCATCAGCCTTTAAATGAGCAGTGGAGAGACACATCATTTGAAATGAAGCTGCAAAGAGTTAAAGGTGACCAGATGACTCAAACCTTTATTTGCTATATGGGCTTTAAAAACAAGATTTTGATTCACTCGGTTGAAATGGCAGTTTAGTTCTACCTCTGTGTTTTGTTTTGTTTTTGCATGGGAAGCCAAACTGTAATAAAGTGTTGAAGTTTTTAACTTATTCAATATCTTGAGTTTGACCTCATTCACAACAGAACAGCTTAAGTCTCTTTCTCTGTCATGTGGTCAAACTGAGTGGTTCATACTGGAAGGTAAGGATGGAAGATGGCTAGAGGATGGTAGGATGTTACGAACTAGATGGAGTCATTACTGAGCACCACTGCAGCGTCACTGTATTTTGTCAGTCTCATAGACATATACTGTTAGTGAACAAACTCAAAAGGAGCCTAATGGCCACTTAAGAATAATAACAAGAGCATCAGACTTAACAGAGTTCAAAAAGATAAAATTACAGTCTGTGTTGGTGGCTGTGCAAGACTACTCATCAGTCTACAAAGGTTGGTCAATATCGCAAGCACAGTCTACGAGCAACATGCTGCAAAAATGCCATTATTCTTCCTATCAGTAGAATGAGCCAACTCCTGGTTTCTGCTTTTTTAAGTCTCTATAAAGTTGGATGAGTGACGTCAATGAAGGATGTACTGATGTGAAGTTTCAAGACAATCTGGACAGCCTGAGGTGCAATACAGCTCATGCCAAAATGGTTGACTAAACAGGACAACCAAGCAATACTGACAGACGGCACACTATCATGAATGACAGGGAGGTAATGTAAGGAGTGGGCTGGGAAAAGAGGGACCACAATGCACTGGCAGGGGGGTTGCAGAGTGCTGCAGAGGAGGTAAGGGAGGTACGAGGGCCCCTGACCTGCATGCTGGGGCCTAGAAGGCCGTTGTGCTGGTGGTGCTGCAGGTGAGCAAACGCATCGCTGGGACTATGCACACCAGCCATCTTAGCCTGGTGCCTCCGAAGCTGAATGAGGAGCAGAGTCAGCTCCTCTGGCTGTAGCCAAGCCCGAGGTTTAGGGGCGGGAAGCGCAGAGGGATGAGAAAAAGTACTTGAGAACCATATGGGTAGTACAATAGCTGAGAAAGCTATTTGGCCGAGAGGCCAGTCTGCTTTGTCTTGATTTATGTCCTCATAACAGCTGAAAATGTAAAAGCTAGGGCTGCACTATGAAGACTGGGAAGATGAGGGTTTTAATAAGAGATAACACCTTTGAGTTCAGACTGAATGAACATTTTAATGTTTTTTTTTTAAGGGGGTGCTCACAGTGTCAGTTTGCTTGATCAGGTCTACATTTTTACATAACAGATTTGTCACAGAAGTGGACATCTATGCATCAAATTTCTAACCATACTCTTTTTTTTTTTTTTTTACAAAGACTAGCTGAACTACAATTAAGTTTTACAAATATCTTTGAAATTGATAAAAGTCATAAAAAGAGATGAACATACCGTCTTTCCGTGCAAGCTGGGTGCGCTGACAGTGTGAGTGATGTAGCCCATGGCTGGCATGGACCTTCTCTCTATTTGTGAAGTCTGTGAAGAAACAAAATTCATCAACTTCTCACAGCTGAGATAGAGTCCAATCAAACAGAATGCTTAATTCGCTTAGTATCCTTCAATAGATAGACCACTTTATCACACTGAATCAAAGTTAAAACATTGCCTCCAAGTCTGCAAACAAATTTGACTACACAGCAGATTTATTTTTTCATCTATCCTTTTCTCCCTTTCATCGCTCCGTCTCTCATTTAAAACAAGGTGTGCCCCGAGTTTGAGATGCTACAGGGCTTAGAAAATTTGACATTTTTGCTTAACACACAGAATTAGCGAAAAACCAGGCCCACTACAGAACCTTAAAAGGACACAAACAACAAGAGATTTAATTAACTACACATAAATTATACTGAACCTGCTTTCTTAAAATAACATTTGTTTGCTACCAGCAAGAGAAGCACTGTAAGCCATTCCCTTTGAGATTCCCATGCCACTATTTTTTTTGCTGTATAATAGGTTTTTTATTTAAATGTGAGATCAGAAGAAAGACACCACTGCTGATGTTTGAGATCGAGTGGAGATGTTTATAGGGTGCCGAGGAGCCCTGGGCAAATTGGATTAGCCGCTAATAAAACATACTTCTTAATGATATTCCACAGAGGTATACACATTGCTATTACTTAAGCACACTCCAGTCAAAGAGAGCCTCAAAGATGCTGGCTGTACCAAAACAGAGTCCAATGCAGACTTTCTTTAGTTCCCATAAACACAACTCTCTCGGACAAAGTCATGGCTGCGGCTCCCTTTGTCAGACATGTTTCTTCTTTGAAGGCTTTTCTATAATTGTATGTCATCCTCTTTAACAATTATAATTAAAGTCTTGACACTTGTGTGACTGATGGAAGAAGCCGTGCATCACTTTGTTAAACTTGTGTACGGCCCTCGGGGTTGGTTATGAGGCCTGTGTGTGTTGGTGAATGAGGCGTTGGTTCAGAGGGAGAGTTTTTCACATGTGGAGGGTGTGGTTGGCAGACAGCGTAGGGTGTGGATGACTGGACGGCCTCCTTGCTCTGTCTCCTGCGGCAGTGGTGGTGTTGTCTGAACGCTGGAGAGGCAAGCTTTGCTGACACCACCTGCCGAGCGGGGCCAGGGTGTGGACTGTGTGAATCTGTGGGTGATTCACATGACTCTAAAAATGTGTGTGTGCACTCCGAGTAGGCTGTCTTCTCATGCTCCCTATGCTTATCTTCCCATGAAGTCCCAATGAGCGGACAACATCCCTCAAGTTCACACCAATAGGAGAGAAAATCCAAATTAATTTCATATTATGTCACTCCAAGGATTATCCCTGCCAGTCAAACTATATCCACAGACTTTTAAGGACGCAGTACCCATTTTAAAGACCGGGCTGTGTGTTTGCTTGAGACGATTTCACACATAAACTTACATCACTGCTGACATGAAATACAAACACATGAATACATACTTATTATTTAGGTTGTAGTATAATTTTAAAGTGTCTTGAATTAATTATCTGGAGGAGATTTTAGACAGGCAGCCCTAATGGAGTTTTCTGGAAAAACTGTCTTTTTCGGGCGATTGTAAGGCGCATTAAGCATTGGCGCATTGACGCATTGATTGGTTGATTGGTTTATTGTTGCTAGTGTGTACTCCGGGCCGCGAGCGATAAGGCGCACCAGATTACACAGCGCACTGTGAATTAACTTGTCTGTGTTCACACATAGGGCACATTGGATTGAAAGGCGCATTAAGAATAGGCGCATTGGCGCATTGATTGGTTTTTAGACAGGCAGCTCTAATGTCTTTTTCAGGCAATAAGGTGCACCAGATAGTAAGGCGCATTAAGCAGTGGCGCATTGATTGGTTGATTGGTTTATTGTTGCTAGCATGTACTCTGGGCCGTGGGCAATAAAGCGCACTGGATTATACGGTGCACTGTGAATTAACGTGTCTATGCTCATAGTAAGGTGCACCAGATTGTAAGGTGCATTAAGCATTGGCGCACTGATTGGTTTATTGTTGCTAGCGTTGTACTCTGGGCCTGGGCGCGATATTTTTTTTCATGGGATGGTAGGGGAAGGACCTGCCTCCTTCGCCTCTGATTGGCTGTGAGACGTCATCACACACTCAAGCGGAGTGCGGGCTTCGGCTCTGTACATCGAACAGAACATTTTCATAATTCTGAATCTCCAAATCAGAAAGACGATGATGTTTCAATGATGCCATAAGGAATAACCAATCGTAGCCCAGCACACCGAGCCAATCAGAGGTGAAGGAGGGTGGGACCTTCCCCCTACTATGCTACGAAAAAAAATCCTGCGGCCCAGGCTGCCTTACATGAATGCACTTCTTGTTTCGGCATTACAGTCAGGCAGTCTTGTAGACTGCTCGGGGGTCCTGTTACGGGGTCAATCAGGTAGTGACACAGCGTATCACAGATGCGCATTGTAGCACATAAAATCAGTCAGTAAGCACAACAAGTAACCAAACATAAGGCACACTAGATTATAAGGTGCACTGTCAATTTTTGAGAAAATTTAAGAGTGCCTTATAGTCCGAAAAATAGGACCACAAATGTCCTGAGTTAATTTCCTACCTGAGAAAGTTGGGCACATATATGGCCAGGGGAGCTGGCTCTTGTGCTGTCCCCAGCGAACATTTCATCCAGAGGCCTGACTGTGCGTCTGTCTGAGGGGGTGTGCGGCCTGCGAGGGGACAGGGGTTTGAAGGAGGGGAGCGACGGTGGGACTTCACATGGCGACGGAGGGACAGAAATGGATCGTGGCATCTCCACGGTCACTCGAAAAGATGAAGAGTCTGTGAAGTTAGGACCGGTGTAAATGGGCGCGGTGGGACTGCCATGACGGAACTGCTGCCGCTGCTGCCACTCGTACAGCTGCCACACCATCCCCTCCTTGGTGGCCATTCTCTCATCGGTGGACATGCGGAAGTGGCTGAGCCGGTCGTGGGCGTACTTGTAGTCACTGGGCACGTTGCCTGATGCTGGAGGAGAACCGCTGCCGGATTGGAGATGGGGAGACTTTGGCAACGAGTGATAGGTCGAGTCCACTGTGCTGGCTTTGGGTTTTAAAGGAGGGGTCCGCCGAGGGAGGTTGAAGTCAATAGAGTGAGCACTGGGACAGAAAAACACATACAGGAGTTTTATTTTATGTATTATTTATCCATAGTTATCTCTCTGCATAAATCAAATTAAATACAAATATTGTACAAGTACCCCTACACGCCACCAGAGGGGGCCATTGACTTAGGTTTGTTTATCATCACTGATGCTGCTGTTAGGGAATTCTTACTGATTGTGTTTTTTACACTGACCTCTTCGGTGGGTCTGCTTTCTGAACTTTGACCCACTGCTCCACCTGAGCCAGCGTGTTCTTCCTCTGCACATTCTTCTCTGAGTCTTTCCGCGAAACGAAGCCTCTCTGATAGACAAGATTTCCGTTCTGTTCAGGGGGCAGAGCCACCTGGACCACAGTCTGCTGTCCGTTCTTGTGTGCTGCTCCATCGAGTGAGTCTGGAGAGAGTCTCTCTGCTCTTTCCTCTGAATGCCCGGGCCTCCCTTGAATCTCTGATCCGTACCTCACTTCATCTTCGTGAGACAAATGGACGCCATTATCTCGAGGTTCCTCTCTGTCTATCCTGCGATGGCTTTCTGACTGGGCTGAGTGCTGGTTGATGTGGACGTGGTTGGTCTGTGGGGCTGTATGCTGCACGGCCTTCTTTGGCTTCTCCATCTCTCTGTAAAAAAGTCAGACAGGCTGATGAATCATTATAGTTAAGTCCTCCTTCTGCCTGAATCTAATACTCAAGTTTCAAGAGTCATTTAACTGTCATATTATTTCCACTCTCCTCTGTATATTATGATATAGTGCAGCAATTTAAAAGGGGGATTACAGAGTATGAAACAGTGGATAAAATAAATGATAATGGAAACTCAAATTAACCTTAAGTGTCCCTCCCTGAGCGGTAATTAAATTTTCTGAGACATTGTTACATATGGTCGAATTCACAACTATGTTTCTCTCAGAAAAGATCTGAGGCCTCAAGGAATTATTTAATGACTTTTCATCATTTGTTTCACTCTTTTAACACTTTTCAATCAGGACAAAAAGCAGCATAGGGACAGTGAAAAATGAGTCGTCAAAGAACAAAAGGACAGAAGCTGTGTCTTCAGCAACTCCGCTCAGTGTGTTCAAGTGATAAGACTTGAAACTCATTAGGTTTCATATTTTAATTAATTCATTCTTTTCCCTCTTGAGGGGGTTCAGCGCGATTCAAAACGTCTAATTTTAAAGCTCTCATTGATGGTTTCAAAGAAGACTGTACACGCTTGAATGTGGCCGTTTCTGTGGAAACAATTTGAGGGAATATATGAAGATAAGAAACTGGTTGGTAGTGAGCTGAAGCTGAAAGTCTCCTGAAAATCTTGCACATAATTCAAAATAGAAAATGTGTTTTTATCATTCATAATTCCCTCATCAGTGTATTAAATATTTCTACTGACCTACATCAGCCTCTAGGTGGCATAATAACACAGATCATATAAACTCTGCAGCCCAACAACATGACCGATAAATGCAGTTAGTAATTTTCAGTACCCTTTTTTTTTTTTTGCATTTTACAAACAGCTGCAGTCTCTCATGTGCAGTCTATGCTCCACCAGCAAAAGGCTGAAATGAGCTTCATGAGGACAGGACCCAGATGTAGTTCACTCACACAAACACACACACACACACACACACAGACACATACAAACAGACTGCAGACATTTCAGTGAACAGACGAAAAGGTTTGGACCTGCTGTTGAAGACTGTTCATGCTGTTAAACTAAAGACCTTAAAGCAAAAATAGGAGCAACATTAAGTGACAGAAATAATGTTTCACCTTAGCTGAAACACAAACACCTGTACATGTAATCATGTTTACAAACAAGGTTGTAGTTTCACTATTGTAACTCTGTGAGAGCGCCGTTCTTCTCATGATATTACCTGAAGACATATCTAAAGCGCTGAGGCTGCTGCTTTAGGTAAGACCAGATGTTGGTGCTCATTAAAATTCAACCAATCAGAGAAGGCGAATGTTACTCTGTAGAGTGCGACCAACCTCTTTACAGTGTGACTCTGCTGCATCAGCGCAGCCTGGTTCATGGCCCGGATCCAGCCATTCATGTCCTCCTGTGTGTCCGCACTGAAGAAATATGTCCGCATCCCGCAGTGTTCTGCCTGTGAGCCAATCACAGAGTTCTTATTGTAAATGTAGGAGCGCATTCCAGTATGGCTCGCCTGTCAGAGAGGGAGAGAGAGAGACAGACTGATCAAAAGAGGGCAAAAGAGAGAGAGAGGACAGATTTAAAAACTTCCTCCAGGAAACAGGAAAAAGCTGATGAATGGGAAACTTTGCTTTCTTGTTTACTGAGACAGGCAGCTGTCAACTGAATTTGGACAAAGTTCACAGCAACATTGAACTGAAGAAAAAAGAAAGAGTAGAGAGAAGTTCTGCAACAGAAACATGTGAGAATTGTGCTGTTTGAGGAAATAATAATAATAATAAAAAAAGCATTAATACAGGTTACATTTTCAGACTGCTTGAGGTAAGCTCTGCCAGAAAAAAAAAAATCTTTAGTAGATTGAGATTAAACAGAAACTGCAGCAAACAACAATAAAGAGGGAACAATTATAAACAAGTATAAACATGTGTCACCGTCTTGGTCAGGAGGGTCTGATGCAGACATCCAGGTGAGCAAGAGTTAAGGAGAAGTCAGCGATTTGATCTTCTTATTTTTATTTATTAATTTTTTTTCTATTTTTGTTATTTAGCTTCTGTTGGTATGAAAGAGGATTCGGGCCACATTAAGAGAAAAAAATGTTTACATTGTTACATTTTGTAAACAATGTTTACAAAATGTTTAAATTTCGAGATTAAAGTCAAAATTTCGAGATTAAAGTCAAAATTTCAAGATTACAAAATGTAGAAATATTGTAAATAATGTTAAAATTCCAAGATTAAAAAAAATTCCATTTCAAGATGAAAGTCAACATTTCAACCTAAATGTCAAAATTTAGATTTTTTTCATTTTGACTTTTTAAAATTTTGACTTAAATCTTGAAATGGGAATGTAAAAAATCTCCCTCCTGTATTTATTTTTTTCTCTACTTGTGGCCCTAATCCTCTTTCGTATGTTGGTTTACTCATTCTATGTCTGTAAAAATACTCAAGATTAAGATTTGTTTATATCCATTAACATTTGGTGTTTATTTCATATTCATCCTTCCTCTAATCACAGAAAACATGAAAAGATTTTTTATATATGTGCAGTTTAGTTTAAAAACAGGTGGGAGATGCAGCCCTTTCTAAGACATGAGTCTAAAGGCCAGAGCTGTACCATTTTAGTGTTAAAGTTCTCAAGTTGTGACATGCCAACTAACTAAGGAGTTCAAGAGTCCAAATGTTATGGAAAGACCCTTTAAACCCGTCATAAACATGAATGAAACAGTCTGAAAACTGCAAAGTTGGTCAAACTTTGGTTGGTTGGTTCATCTTTCTGTTGAAGACGAAATACTGCAAAATCAAGCCAACAACAGACCTGCTGCAATAGAGTTAAAAAGTTTGTTTATTCTTGTAAAACAAAGTGTTTAGATAATTAATGTATGTCAGAGGGAAAACTGCTGATGACAGCAAATGTTCACAAAAATGCAATAAAATCAGTGAAGAAGAGCATGGGACCCCACCGTCCCATCTCTCCTACGACAATAAGGATGTGATGAGCGATGTGCAACTTGACAGCACAAATACCAGAGCAACTGAGCATATAAGTGTGATGAATGAGTAACCATGGGAACTTGAGCTCTACTCATGGACAAAATTTTAAATAAGCCATTAGTTTGTGTGGATATCACACAAATGTTTCCTGTCTAGTTTTATTTGAAATGAAACAAAGACTTTAAAGTTTAAGTGCAGAGGTTCACTTTGATTTGTAAAAACAATGCTGGATTAACGGAAACACAAAAAAGGGTTTTGGGAGAGTCCTGAATATGCAATTTTCCCAGGATTCATCACAAATCCAATTAGTTGAAATGCAGTGGCCAGAAACAAATTTGTCACAGTCCAAATATCATGGGCTGCACTCTGCACCTCAAACAGGACTCTTTATTTTCCTTTATAACCATATTTTACTTTAATTTTTATACTTACAGCTCATCTTAATCCTATATGCTCTGGTATTGTCTAATTATGACTGAAGCGATGTCTACACTGATTTGACATTGATGCACATTTCTCCAAATGTGCATCCAGCAGCCGCCGACATGACATGAAACAAAATGAACTGAGGATGGCGTTCCACTGATGAGGCTAGAGTGAAATCAAATACCTAGTCATGCAAGACAGGAAGCCTGTTTGATTCAGGACGGACGCCCGCAGAGAACAGTACTCACTCCGCCCGCCCGCGCACACACACCGGGTCACAATGGGAGGCAATTGACCAACAGGGAATGAGAGAAACACAGTGAGATGAGCAAAAATAAGAAAACAGAAAACAACAGGAAGTTACAGCCGATCGGTGCTGACTCAATCAGAAAGAGCGGGGATGGCTCCAGCTGTGGAGGTGTGGTAGTCATAACAGAAGCACCAATGAGTAACAGAGAAAGCAGCACAAAAAGTGTGTTCATACTTACCCATAAAAAACAGTATTTTGAAAATCAGTATTTTAATTCAGGACATGATAGTATGACCCAGACTGTTATGTCAAAGTTAAACTAAAGCGTAAATGTTCAGAGATCTACTCTACTGACTCAGGACATGGTTTCTGTTATCTACCTCATTCAACCAAAAATCCAAATGGTTTACAGAGTAACTTCAGTATCACTTTCTCCAGTCTATATAAAGTTTGAATAAGTTACTTTGAGTCAACTTTGTAATTCACCTCACGTTCCTGCAGCTCATGTAGCCTGAAACATCCCATTGTCCAACAACACCTGACATCTACTAAGCTGTTGTCATGCTTACTTAGCAATAACAGCAAATTTCAAAAGGACCTCAGACATGTAATGAAACCTGCTCTTTGATGCATGATGGCTCAGAGAGAGAGCTGAGGGGAATAGGGATCTCTGTAAGTACAGGCTGGTACAACAGTAGAGTGCAAGCTCATTGCACCTCACCTTACATTTGCTTCTCAGCAAGTGGTGGGAGGAGACGCTGAATAGGCTGAATGCATAATTAATATTCCCAGCAGCACAATTATAATACAAATCCTTTGTATGTTATACGATCTTCAAAACCCAGGAGATCTCCACTGTTCATACTCACGCAGACATGCACTCAACACACACGTACACATAGGATCCAAGAACAAAAGCCAGAGTACAAAGGAGCTGAAAGGATTGCAACAGAATGCCCTGAAGCTGCAGTGGTGCATCAAACATCCAGGCGCTATTGTTCTTTGCAACAAGCTCTGTTTCCACAAAGGAGGAGCTGGATAATGTTAACACTCTGGCTGCACCCTCCATCTCCCCCACTCCTTTAAAAAAAAAACATCCTGCTGCTGTCCTCTGGAAGAGTTCAGAGAAAAGACGGTGCTGCATGCGGGGGAAAGTTGTGTTGCACACATTCAGATAAAAATGGCACCATTATCACATGCCGGCTGGTTCTCTGAGGGTCAGTGCGAGAAAAAAGTGATGTGCCATTCAGGTGTCAGTGAAAGAAGGCACCTCCTGCACTCAGTACTCTATACTGCAGCCCCTTTAACACACTGGGCCCCTGAAATGCTGTGAAAACATGAGCGTATGCGCTTACACACAGTTATCTCCAACCTGGATGCATACAGTGATGTACTGCAGCTATCCACTGGATTTGTGTATGAAAAGGTCCACAACCAGTTTAGAATTTTCATTTATATACAGAGCAATGGCTGGGTCGAGCAAAATGTCTGCATGAATGTGAAGGAATTTCTGAGTCACAGTACAAAATAAGTTTGTTTTTATGTTTACATTACTTTGACAGTTAATTTTACAAAGACTTATTACTTTGATTTGTAAAAGCAAACTTCTCATTCATAAGCAGCACATCAGAGTTTTATACTGTTATCTGATTATCTCGAAGGCGATTTCAAACACTATTCTAAAACAGGGGTGGGCAAGCCTAAAGTCTTTAATAATAAGCGGACTTTGCAACTATGAGGCAGCCACGTATATTTTGCAGATGTTTAAACTTGTCTCTGTTCACGAATGCAGATCTAGGATGTACACACATGCATCCCAACAGAAATAAAACAACAGCTAGGTTTTCAAAATAAAAGCGACACACTTTTATATCACGTTGATGATTTGATTGACCTCGAAGGGCCGGGCAGGCCCTTTGACATCCAAAGGGCCGGAGGTGGCCCTCGGCCAAATGCCCAGTTCTGCTCTAAAATCAGATTTAAGTGAAGAAAAAACTAAATCTCTAACCTGGTAACAACTCTGAACGATGTTGTGTACATGTTCTGGATAGTAATCATTAAGGATGGGAATCACTGATGGCCCCACGATACAATATTACCACGATAGTGGGCCACGATACGATATAATAGCAATTCTTAACATTTTGCAATACAGTAAGTATTGCGATACAATATATTACAATTTAGACAATTTTTTAATCTGTTTAGATAATTTAGCATTTGGCTCTCTCTAAGTTTGTCTTATTTAAACTGTATTTTATTTTCATGTAACACATCTTGCAAACATTTTATATATTTGTTGTACCAACTTTCTCCGGTTTATTTTCCATTTTCATAGATTTGACTTCATATCAGCAATTAATTTGAAAAATTGATACACGATAGGATATATCACCAGACAAGATATTGCAATACTATGCTATATTGATTTTATCTCCCTACCCTGGTAATCATGTTGTTATTCAATATCCAGCCCCTATAGTTCATTATTGGCAGTATTAACACAGATAATAGTAACAGAAATGTGGGAAAGATCATTTTTAAAGAAGGAAAATCTTGAGGTCATGATATGAGCATGTTATACTAGCTTCACAGACAGGATAGCATCATTTTCAGATCTGATTCAGCACCATTTCATTGTTACCTTAAAGGCGTATTTGCGGTTTATGTGGTCGTCAGGCTCGACTGGTGCGATGACATAACTCGGCAGAGGGATACTTCCCAGCACTGTCTCCTCTCGGCTGTCTGTGAAGCAACAACACACAACACACGGAGTAATTCATCTCTGGAGTTCAAAACAACAAACACTAATCCTGCCAATAGTTTTTTATTATGTTTACGAGGCCGCAGAGTCATGAGCAGCAGGAACATTACTCTGGCATAATTCATGGGTGCCTCTTGTCCTGACGAGGACATGGAGCAGCGTGTGGCAAGAGGTGGCATGTGGCTTATCTATTATTCAGTGTGATTGATGGAGACGAGGTAGATGTTCTGGCTACACAAGCACAGATTATATCCCATAATACAACACTTGAGTTAATAAAGTGGAAGAAGTGGGAGGAAGGAACAGCAGAATATGTCATACATTTGATTATAAGCTGTAGCTGATTAAGAAATTTATCTACCCTTAAAGGAGGTCATCAAAGGTTTAAATATCTGACACAACGATTGAGAAGTTAAAGTTTGACAGTGGAAGCATGACCAAAGCACTTTCTGCAGACTCACCTTTGTAGTAAAACAAGCAGTAGTCTGATAAAACAAACCACTTCCTTTTCCACAGCCGCATACCAGAGCTGTCCTGGAGGTGAGGGGGGGAAACACAACAGCGTGTATTTGAAATTCCTTCTCATAGAGACATGTTTGAATTCACAATCTGATTAACTTTGATTGATGCAGAGCTGAGGGTGGGGTGGGAGACTTTTGTGCAAACCAATTAAAAATTAATTAAATTTCATAAAAGATTTTTTTTCTTTGCAAGGTTTGGCACAAAGCTGCAACCTTCACATTTTACTCCATCGCTGCTTTTTGTCTCCCTTAATCACTTACCTGTGCTTCTTATGTGCTCTCATGAGACTCTCAAATCCAGATTAGAGGGGATTAGAAGGGCAGTTTAAGTATTTACACCTGTTGTTCCTCAACTGTAATCTCACTTCTGCAGAGACAATTATCACCGGCTATGTAACTACAGAAACACGTTTTGCAATAAATGATATCATAGCATGTACTGACCAAAATAAAAAGTACTAAAAGTACTCATATAATGGTTTAACAATCTGAATGACCACTTAAAGCATGTTACACTATTTTGACATCTACAGTGGGCTACCATCAAACAAATTCAATTCACATCCATTCACCTATTTTGGGCTCTGTACATAACCTCAGGACACTTCAGTAGGGGAGACCGGGGCTTGTTGTCACACTTTTTACTCTCATATATTTCTTGGAATCAAAACATTATATGTGTACCAGATGAAACACCAAAGTCTCAGGTATATATTTTGTATTCATGTCATTTTCATATCTTGTGTCAGTGCAGAGTTGGAAGCGCTCAAATAGAGAGTGTTAACATGTGACATGTTGCCCCACCATGGGGTAAGATGTCACAGTGGATTTTGCAGCTAATAAAACAAGGACAAAACTATTCTCATTTTTTTACTTGAATGTGAACATCAGTCAGGCACAGGAAATGTTTATCATTGAGCTAGAAAAAGTTGTAGAACAAACGTTACTTGTAGCTTTTATTATTTTATGTTTTTCTCCTGTAAAGCACTTTGTCTGGCCTGTCCTATAAATGTGCTATATAAATAAACGTGACATTGACATTGACATTGACAAAACATTATGCAACATGCACCTGAGTTTGGATGTTGTCTGACTCTGTAGTTCGGCTGGGGTGAATGTTTTGCAGTACCGAGCGAAGGTATGGTAGTTGACATTAAAGTCCTTAATTGTCCTCCAGATTGATTCATTAGCTCGGGTCACCTGCCTGACTGCCCTCAGTGTCACGTCAGGTACTGCACTTCCTGGCTCTGTTTTTGTTTTGAAATTCCTGACCATATCTTCTCACTTTCTCTTCTCCTTTAAACCACTCTTTTTTCTGTAAAAATAAAGTCAAAATTTCAATGTGACAACTGCTGATAAGCAGATGCTCTATGTAAATTTTAGTCCAAAACATGTGACAACTAACCCAAAAACGACTGAGACATGTTGCCATGTTTGCTAATTCTAGCTCTAGTTTAAAGTTAGCTTAAAACAGAACAATGACTGAAGTATGACAGAATGCCGTAATCTCTCCTTAAACAAGTCCACATGTATCACTGCTAGGATTGTTATCTGGAAGAAGCTTATTTTAAAATATATAAAGTTTATTATTTTTATTTTGGGTTGTGCAAAATGCTTAATTGGCGCTTATCTTAGCTAACAATGTTTTCTTCTCTTCTCAGACAGGACACGACCCCTGACCACGTAATGGAAGAAAACTAGTATTCCACATTTTTGTTGCGCCCTCTGGTGGCAGAGATAATTGCAATGTGACAACTTACCCATGTGACAACAAGCCCCGGTCTCCCCTATGTGATGGCAGGAGATGGGATCAGACTGCGAACCCTCTGACAAAGTGACAACAGGCTGCCCCTTATGAGCACAATAAGAGCAGAGGACCCCTTACTCACCTGTTTGTAAAGCCAGCCTCTCACCACCACGGGGATGTTGAGGTTTCTTTTAATGGAATGATCCCTCTTGCCAAAACTGTGTACTTTCCCCGGACCTCTGGAGCCCTGCAAAAAAAGTACAAGAAGAGCAAAAGAGTTCAGTTTGTGCTTGCTTTGCTGAAGGCCTGTGAACCAATTTATCTGGTTTACCCAAGGTAACATACAGCAATCAATAAAGTAGAGCACTGTGCATACCTTTGGTATATCTGTAGCAGGGAAGCATAGGAGACTAGGAATAATTATGTTTAGAGAAACAGAGAATTAAGCGTGTTCTTAAAGCAATTATTTAAGTACCACTAATATTCAGATCTCAGAAATGTGTTATTGTTGAGCAATAGCTCCTTATATTGAGGTGTTATACTGTTATTATTCCAATCAGCTACTTTGGCATCTTTAAAGGAGACCTTGCGGAAAAAATCAAAAATCTTTACAAGGCTTTCATCAGGTGTGTTTGATAGAAATTCATGATTCTCTGTTCATATCCTCTCTCCTTTTTTTCCTCCCAAACAAAGTTGGAGCAAAATGTTCCATCATCACTGCGCAAACGACAGCTAGTCTATCACAAAGACACACACTGCACACCGCACCCCAGTCCATTCCCACAGGATGTACATTTTCAGCATACGTTTAAGTACACTAGAAAATGGTCCTAAATTGTGCAGGGGGAGGTCATTACTCAGAACGAGATAGTGTCTTCAGGAGTTGATTAAACCAATTTATCAACATAAGCGTCCACTGTCAATATGAGAGCTCTACTACCAAATCACTACCAAGTCTATAAACATCCTTTGATATCAGCGTTTAATGTAAAACTGTAAAACACGTGAAAAAAATCATCTTACAAAAGGCTTACCTTCGACCCTGATATTCCTTCCACTGCTGCTGGGGTCACGGCCTTAGAGGAGTCTGTGACCATGCTGGGAGATCTCTGATTGGCCGCTGACTTGGACATACGGGCTTGTAACCTACAGTAAAGAAAGCATGAGTGACACGGGCAGGATGAGAAGAAGCATCAAATACTGATAGTCTTTGTCTCATCTGACAAACTACAGACACACTGGAAAAAAGAACGCTGCCCTGTGCTGAGCTTTCACTTATAAAGGATGTGACTATTTCCTGACACCGCCACACGACCTGTCGCAGCTAATGGCTCTGCGGTGGATATGTTAACAGTACAAGCTTTGTGTTTCTAACACTTGTGCGTCACTTCTCTGACACTTTGTCTGACACACCCCAAGGCACACATCTCATACACACGCAGATAACCAGCCAAAACAAACATAAAACAGCCTAAGCCATGTGTTCCAGCCATATGGAGGAGTACAACACGCACACACATACCGGCGCTTCTTTATGCAAAGTAAAAGTCCCAATCTACACTCCTCCTGACATCAGCATATTGCTAAGCATCCAGAAAAATGAGCACACAGCAGATACAGCAAGGCCTTTGAAGTTTTAATGTAAAGCTGGTCCTACATAAACAGATTTTCTTCAAGTGCAGATTAGCTTAATTTATAGATTTATGCAAAACTCTTTGAGCCTCAACAAATCACAGCCTAAAACTTTACAACTATTTAGCTACAGCCACTAATAGTAAGGAGACCAGATTTCTGGGGGGGGGCTGTGTCATCACAGACAACATCTTGGTACTATTTAGTAGTAGCGCACGCCCCTTGTAATAACCCCCGTACCCCGTAAAAACTGTTGTTCAGGACTGCTTACTTGTGCTTCCTACCCATTTGGCTACTGTAATAACTGTTGTTCGAGCCCACACGCAACATTTTTGTTCTCATTCATGAGACGCTTAAATCTGGGACATTTTCGGGGACAGTTTTGGCCGGGGACAGGTCATCCAACTCGGGGACTGTCCCCAGAAAATTTACTACTTAAAAGTGTAGCCAAAATCACGTTACCTGTGTCATTTTCGAGGGCATTTCTTCTGCAGAGCTCTAGTAGCTCATTAGAAATTCGCCTCTGAGTCGTGGGCGGAGACAGCGCTGCTCTACACACTCCTCTTTACACCAACTTGTAGCCTAACATTGTAGTAGAAGTGGCAGGCAACATAGGAGCTATTCAGCTCTCTAACACTGAGGTCTTTGGGGACGTGATGAAAGTTAATATCTTTATTAGCTTTCTTATGAGCATTGCAATCTGTTAACGCACACACTTGTTCCGCGATCCTCCTCTCTACTTCTCCAAGTCTGGCCTGCATAGAGGGGCTCCGGGGGGCGGAGCTTACAGTTCTGACACAGGAAATCTCACTGTGTCTGAACCTGCCATTTGGGTCTGTAAGAGATTCACAGCGATTTGAATTCAGAAATACTCTGAAATAAAATTTCGCCGTTATTTTTCTCATGATATGCCCTGTAGTGTCAGAAAAATGTCATATGAAAAATGATTTTCATCGGAGTGGGTCTTTAAATGACAGGTCTGAGAATAAATAAAATGTCAAAAGGGTAACCTTGAATCATTCAAGAGTCACAAACATCCCAGCTGGAAAGCTGCAGAGCTGCTCTGTAAATGCAGCTCTACCTTGTGTTATATTTAGAGGATAATTGATCACCTGTGCTCCCTGATAGCTGAAGTGCTTCAGTGTCCTGCTGTGTCTAATTCAACTCACTGAAAATATTTAGCTGCTTTTTATAACTTTCTGTTATGAAGCTTCTCTTTCTTAAATGTGTTGACATAATTTAGATATTCGAGAGGTGCAGATAGAAACTATGCAAACAAAATCTGACAGAGACTGAAGAACACTGGATCAATTACTAGTACTGCATTTCATACATACAAACTCAGCAAGATGATTCCAACGACTCAAACACCGGCATTTATGATCTATCTTCAAAAGTAGAAAGAATTAAGTTTAGATTAATGGGAATCAATTCTTTAGATGTAGAAAAATAACATCACTTGGGAAGTGGGGTGTACTTAAGTTAGCAGCAACTAAGATACTGAAAGACTTAAAAAAATAAAGCAAGTAATAATAAAATATTAATACAATACCGTCACAAGAAAAGATAAAAGAATAAAATGTTTTGCATCAGTTACAACATGCCTTTTCAAAGTGTTGCATCATGCAATCCCCAACAGACGTCTGAGTTAAACTGGGGAAGAGAATCTTCATCTGAAATCTAAAACAATTTGACAGCAAAGCCAAGATTTCACAACCACATTTCTCAGCGGGACCAAACATTGTGCTTCACTTATAACGAGTTTAAAGCTAATTAAATAGACAAGGTCAAGCTTTTGCAGGAGGTTAAGGATATGGCAGTAGCCATGGGAAACAATACACTAGAAAGAAAGATTTGGAAATGGATTTTTAAAGGAGTGATCTTTTATGTGGAGGTGCATCATTAAAAACTGGGAAACTGTGAACAGAAGGGACATCAAAGTTTCTGCTAACAAAGTCATAATGAGCAGTATTTTTCACAAATCGTGGCAGATCTGTTTCCCTCCATTTTAAAGCTGCTTTGCTGTTGCAGACATCTTGTCACCACCCTTGAATCACCTTTGGCCAATGACTTTTGGCTTGTAAGGATATTGAAAATTAGGAAAATCATTTTGGAGGATCTTCAAATTACCCTGAACATCTGTACTGCATAGATGAAATAAGGCTTTGCATTAAATTATATGTATCCATGTTTTGATATTTCACATTCACAGTGTAGCTTATTCTTGTTTCTGCAATATACCTGTGAAGAGAGGAATAACCTTTAGATGCTGATGAACTTGTCGCTTAGAGATCCTGCCTTCAAGAAAAACTAAAAGATGCAGTTGTTCTTATTAGATAAAGTACTTAACTCTGTCTTTGCTTTGTATTCTGGAGAAAACTTTTGCATTTCAATTTTGCAGATGCTGGTATACTGATGGCAGTTGTGTAATTATTTGTTGTCCTGTGGACTGATTATCATGCTTTAAGCTCCCGATCTCACAAAAAATCTTGATGTGGAGGATTTTTGTGATGTTACATTTGATTAATGTCTGATTAATGTAGTGTTTGGGGACTAATGTGCTCTTTATTATCTCATTTGTTGTGTTTTATTCTTTTTTATGATGTTATAGTTGTTCTCTGTGCTATCATGTCTGGGCCCTTTCTAGGAAGCTTATCTGGGATTTCCTTACCAAGCATCCTTGTTTTGTCATGGTTGATTTGTCTGAGCGGTATATGTTTCTCTTGGTGCAAGGAAAAACAATCACAAATGAGATATGAAATATGTTGTTGAACAAAAATATCATTTTTTGGTTCAGTAAAACTCTTGCTACCAGGGAACTGAGTGTAAGTGTCCTGTAGGCAAAAGGCTAAATACTCCACTATGGTTCAACTAATCTGAATGATCGCTTGTTCAGATTCACATATCACTTCTGAGGAAATTTCAAAAAATCCAAAAACAATATTCTGGAAAACCATTCTCAACATAATCTGCAACTATAATCGACACGCAGCTGAAGTAACTCTTGTTGACTGCCACAGGCCCCCTGCATTGTGCCACAAAAGGGTTAAAAGCTGCTGTAACCCTGTTGTTCTCTCCTGCACTAAATCAGAGCTGAAAGAGATAAGCCGGAGATGTGTGTCAGAGACTAAAGCTGAGGGGAAAAAAAGTGATACTGGTAGAACAAGGAGGCGAATGAGAACAAAACTTACAGCATCTGCACTCACGGCCTGGACTGCAGCCAAGCTTCTTAACAGGATGTTTCTGTTGTATCAAGGGTACTCTGCTGTTTTATGTGAAGCTTTCATACTGTTTACCACCTCTGTCATTGGAAGAGTTCCCCCGGAGATTTGTTGTGGCATGTGGTGGAGAGGAGCGATATTTCACATTACGAAGTGCAGAAAGGGGAAATACACTAAGCTCCATCTCTCCCTGCTTCTCTTGCTATGATGGAAATGAGGGCACACTTGACATTTTTTAATCCTGTCAGGCTGTGGGTGTACATGAGGAGAGTTGACGAATTGATCACAGTGTGGTAATCCATAAAAAAGTCAAAGCCTTCAGGCCGGCAAAGCACAGGCTGATCGACCTCTCCACGGGGAAGGGCTTCCTGAAGCTCTTTTTCCTGCTCAGTCCCTGATTCGATACGGGTCTCAGGGGAACACATTGAGGCTCTTCTTAGTCGGAAGAGAGCTCGTGGTTCACGGTGCTAACCAACTTTCCTTAAAGTTATCATTATATGCAGGATGAATCCGACAGCAGCACTGAGAGAGTTAACAGGAGCAACATTTTGCAGGAACAGTGGGGTCATGCTTGTGTCGCACACACACCCAATACCAGGACTGCAGTATTTACACTCTCCATTTAACTCGACAGGAGCGCTATGAAATGAAGGCTTGAGGGGGAATGAACAAAACCACAAAATGAAACAAAAGAAATGGAGAATCATTTAAATGAGGCAAACTGTGGATGTTTACAACAACAAAGACTGCTCTGCTTTAGATCCAAGTCGAATAAATTCACTTTACAGCTATGATGCCACTTAAATGACCTACATCTGCACTTGAGCTGCTCTGCTTTTCCAAATAACTTCATATAGCTTTAGTTTGGGGCTTAGCTCAAGCAATTCACAAACATGATCGCTGAAAACCTCAAGAAAACACGAGTTGAAACGTATTTATTACATCTTGAGGTCGTGTGATAAATGTTTCTGGAGATGAAAGTTGATACTTGATAGATTATTCACTAGTTCCAAAGATTAAATATTACATCCACAGCCCTAATTTCTAGAGTATGCTCACCACCTTTGATTTTCTATTTCAAAAACACGGAGCAAAGCTGCAGCCGGTGCCCATCCTGCACTTGTATCCACATTTTGCTTGAACGCCTTTCCTCTGTTTGATGAACTTGTCTCCCAGAGTGAATGCCAAAAAAACCGAGATGAGGGCTGCAGCCTTATCGCTTTGAACAGATTCTGGGACATGCAGTCTAAAATTATGTTTGCACATTTTGATTTTGCATGCTCTTCTATGCTTGTATTGAAACCATGCTCTGCCTGGTTTGGGTTATTTTGGTCATGGTTGTTAAAGGGCAAAAATACGAGGCTATTCTTACCGTACCTTCAAATGACTGCAACTGGCATTTCAGAGTAGGAGAAAAATTCTATCACTGTTAAAAATACAGAGGAAAGACAGCTGTATCTTTAAAGCCCTGAGATCCACAGCTCAAGAGAACTTAAAAAAGGATAAGGCAAAGATTCGGCATGTTAGTGACAGTGAAAGACATGGATAAATCCCATTTAGTTTGCATTGCTTTAACAGAGTGTCTTTTAATTGGTGAGAATGTGGTGGTCACATGCCTGTCTTCCAGCCTACTTCAGCCTATAGTGGACTATAAGCTGCACATGATCATCTTACACCAGACAGCTTATATATGATCAAACACCTGCTGCCATATACTGAGCCCTAAACCTGTCATTCAGCTTTGATGGCTCCGCTGGATGAGATTCAGCTGCAGGATGAGAAATACAACAACAACATACCAAAAACTGCAAACCATCGCAATGAGTAGTGTGACCAATAACAATGTGAAGTGATGCAGCGATCTGGTGCAATTTCAGTTGACAAACTGATGAAAATGTTGATGTTTGTTCATGTTAGAAAAGTGTCATTTAATCAGCAGAAAACCATCATCCACAGACAGATTTGAGAGGAACGATATAACTGACTCGGTTTAGGGCTGCACGATTTTGGCCAAAAATAAAACCCGATTTTTATCTCTAAAACTCGATTTTCGATTTCAAGTTTTTATTCAGAGACAACTTCTCCAAACTTCACTCTAATAAGAAGTTTTTCTATCATCTCTCAAAACAAAACCACTGAAAACTATGTCGTGCATATTCCAAGCCATTAAGTGGCGCTGTAACGCTGGTGAGGAAATGCACAAAAGACAGAAGAAGAGTACAGAGCATGCATATCAAGGTTGTTTTGACCGGACAAACGCAGGCGCAATAAAAGAGTTACGCTGTGCGTCACATAATCGTTTCCAGAGAGATGCAGATAGACATCCACACAGAGATAATAACGTAGTCGTTAAAGGATTTATGCACTTTCTGACCCATTTTCAACAAGTACCATTGACAGTCACCCGAAATGCCATTTCTGCGCGAATGAAACACCAATACGTCAAAAAACCTTTTTTATTTACTCCTAAATTCATTTCCGTGTGGACGGGTTGATCCCGCCTTCAGACAGTCTTTGCAGCTGGGAGTGGTTTGCTCTTCATCCAAAACTGTGAAGCTGCACCACTTCCACACGACTGACTTACACTTACCCTATTTAGCCATGAAATTATCGCCTCTTTTTGCAAACACCATGTTTGTTTACACTGGTTTGAAGGGGGAGCCTACGGTGGTCTGGAGGCACGAGACATGAAACACCGTCATAATCAAATAATCTGATTATGATTAAAATCCACTAATAGTGCAGCCCTAACTGAGTTATAAGAAAAAAAATCTGTGATCCAATATTAACACTCCAACTTCACTTTGATGAACCAGGAAAATAAAGCTTACAGGACCATAACTTGGTTGACTGACGACTACAGATTCGTGGCCCAATTGTTTTATTAACAAGATCAAAAACAAATGTAAGTGCTGGCTAATCTATTACCATAAATCCCATTAAGGCAGTAATTTGAAGAATAATAACCACCTATCCTCCCCCCACCAATGATATGCTTCATCAGTGAGGAAGTCAAGCTATTTACCAGTCTATTTTGGACGACCAAAGCATGCCCTTGAAGTAGCCCGCCTGTACATTTAAGCATGTACGCTATTTGTAAGGAGAGAAAGAAACACTCACCTGTCCTGTAAGGTGTATTCTGTGTTTTCAGGGGAAATCTGCCCGGTGACAGGGTGCCGGAACGATGTAGATCTCAGGTTGTGGCTGCAGGGGAAGGAGAGGGATGCAAAACATGGAGGACAGAGAGACCATAGATCAGAATGTAGTCATGAATCAAGTCCCTGTGCGCTCTCATCCTCCTACAGCGGTGTGTTAACAAAGAGATTAGCTTACAATGAACACCTCAGTCATCTGTAAAGATATATGTTAGCTCTGCCGCCAGGTCAGGAACCACAGCTCATATTCTCTTACTCAAAGTGTAAGGCTCAGCAATCTCCTTTAGCCAGCTCACCAGGCTTTATTGATTTCAGTTACATGGGGCCATTCATTGCTTTAACTAGAGCATGAACGTATGTTACTGCCACAGGAGAGAATAAGGAGCAGATAAGTGGCAGGAGGTGCCGGTGTGAGAAGATTTATAATTGTGCTGTGACCGTGTCTAAACTAGGAGTTCTGTCTGTCGAGCAGGTTCACACAACGATAAAATCAAAAATCAAAATCTTTTTATAATGAAGACAAAATGAAACCCAACTCTCACAATGACTAATCCCAGAAAATAATTTGACACTTTGAAGCACAGTCAGGTTGGTTTTCTTTTGGATTAATGAAAAATTATTTTCCTTCTCATCCATAAAAGAGATTTAATCAAGTTTTGGTCACTGTTGTGTTTTTTTCTCAACTCAAGGTCAAAGTTAAGCTTCTAACATTTATTGTATTTAGCTTTTGGCCGAATTAAGTTCCTCTCATAACGTGAGGAAAACCCACTAAAGCAGAGGACCTTTAAGGAGTATCCAGTACCGGTTAGTCACAATCGTGGAAGAACTTAGTAGGACTATGCACTGAATTACAACATCATTACATCACATACAGCTTGGGCTGGGCGATAAACCAAAATTTACACAAATTTACGACAGTAACGTCATTTTGCCCATATCGGTATATTCGGTGAAATAAAAAAATAAAACAAAATAAAAATGTTGCTTTTTGATGTTTGTAGGTAGGCTATGGTTTCATGTCCGTTTAAGACACTGTCCTACGTCAGAGACGTGACTCCACCCCATCCAGAGCGTATCAAGGAGGGAAAGACAGGTGAGGAGATGGAGGGCGGTTCAAAAGTTGTAGCGGCTGAAGTAGACAAAGTTAATGTTGGAGGGGGTGGGCAGTTTGTGGAGTAGTTATCGTCCATTTATCGTTATCGAGGTGAACTGATCAATATATCGTGATATTGATTTGAGGTCATATCGCCCCGCCCTACATACAGTTTTTATGGATATTTTCTATTCTCTGTGACATTGTTATCATCTTCCATCCTCACTGTACACAAACCAGTGAAGACAAATACTCACATTCCTCACAATACTGGTCAAAAAATACTTTTCACAACCTTACAGTAAAATCCTGGAGTAAATATTGAGATACAGAAACTTCACTTTCCGTAAACATAAACACAGCTACAGAAGGGAAAACTGCTGAAGTAAACATGTTTACAGTATCCCATCCAAAGTGCATCAAAGGTAAATAAATGGTTATATATCCAGCCGTTGGGAATGAACCCTGTGAAAAAAACTTCAGAGCTTAAAAAAAGCTGCAGGAGGAAACAAACAGAAAGTACAACCTCACTGCATCACCATGCAGCAAAGAGAGGGGAGAGAAAGTGAGCAAGGTGCAAAGATTTATGAGTTGACATTTCAGAAAAAGTTCAGAGGGTGTGTTGAAAAGGAATGATGCTCAGTGATTCGGCACACACATAAAAAAAAATATAAACAATCCATAAAACCAACACATACACTCCCGTAAAAAAGAAAAAAAATCATCACTCATACATCCAACACATACACACACGTATATACACACATACACTCACAAAGGGCATACAGGCTTTGCCAGTCATGTTCCTGGTAACAGCTCATAATTTCCTGAGCTGCACGGGGCACGCACAGCGCTGCACCAGCATCCCCTGTTAATTAGGAATCTGCATTCTTTGAGGCTTTTGTTTCAGCCGCATTACTTCTGAACTATTTGTCATGGAATTTCTGCAGCATCCCCAGTTTGTGTAAAAACTCTGCAGCACAGAGGGTCCATTTATTTGCACAGAACTAGCTTTCATCAACGCCTGTGACAACAACGCTGTCCCAAAAGGGGGGAAAAAAATGAACTCCTGCTGCAGAGGAGCTGTGGCACACTTTGCACAGAAACAGACTCTCGGTGGTGCGAGTCAGAGGTGGTTCTGGTATCTAATGTAACAAACAAGAGTCTGTGTGTGTACAGACTTTACACAAACCATTGATTGTCATAATATCGTCAACTTACAAACCCCCCTACAGTTTAAAGTTGTTGTCTGCTTTGAAAGATGATGGACGACAGATTGATTTGGGAGTATTTGATATTTCCCTGGATGATTCTTACTCTGAAGTCTGATCAATAACTGGCCAAATACATATAAACGTTATAGCATTGACTGATCATCACAGTAATGACAACTTGCTACATCTCAAGGTCAAAAAGAGACTTGCGTAAATAAATCTATGGAAACCAACATTTATGTTTGTCAGGGATTTATCTGAAAGCAGAAATTTGTAAAAACATAAAAACAGACAAGGGACAAAATCCTTTGTAGGTAACAGACAGGTTTACAGAGAGAAGAAACCACCTGCATCATCTCATCGCTGGCACACACTGACAAGGCACTGCCTAACACCACAAACACATTACAGGGCCCCAAAAGCAGAAACCATCAGGTCAAGTGGAGTTTGTGCTCCCATTAGGCTGATAAAGAGGAAAAAGAATGACTGGCATCTCATCTCAGGAGCTTTTCTCAGTGTAGAGTGTATGTGTACGAGAGAAATATCACCACAATGCAAACAAGAGCGAGTACGACTCTGGCTGAGGCTGAGGAAGTAAAAATGCCAGTATTGTGAGAAAACTTTATCTTTTAATAGAGACTTTACAACAGCAAGAGAGTTTTTTTTTAGTGTGTAACCTGAAGACAGGCAATTTTCAGACAAAGCTTTTTTTTGTAAAAACAGCATCACTGCAGCTCTCTCTCTCAGTTTTGCAACAACTGAAGTCCACGCTTCAACGCTGGCATGCGTTACCCATTTTTTCTTTCAACAAAAACAAGAGGCTCAGGCTAATCCCTGTCCAACACAACAGCTAAGTCTTGGCAGCAGGCTAACAGGGGCACAGCGCTGAGGTTTACACACACACCTCTCTCTCTCTCTCTCTCTCTCTCTCTCTCTTTCCCCCTCATCAAGTAGAAACACACAGAGGCTCAAATCTGCTCCACGACTCACATCAAAGATAGGAATCCCACCATCTGCTTACAGTTTCAACTTCTGCGTCTATTTAGAGGCTCCTTTGAAAAAAAAAAAAGAAAGAAACCTCCAAGCATATGGAGATGAAAACTCCTGAAACTGTACCACCACCAGCACAGCTCTCTACAACTGTTTGCTACTCGGCTTGGATGCATCTATGGTGACAGTCTCACCTGCTGCCAAGTAGTGAATCATCTTGAATCTGCTGTTATAATCTTTAGGGTGCTGTAGGCCATGGAAATCCTCTCAGCATTGTCAGGGCAGGTGGAAAACGCAGTGTCTCCGGCAGCAGCTGGCATCAACAAAGAGCAGAGTAAAGTAGAACCAGCGGGATGAGAGATGAGGAGCGCTTTATCTTCTCCTTCTTCTGCTCAGGCGTGCTGTCAGAGAGTTTCACCCCACACTTCCTGAGTGGATGGTTGAGATCTAACTCCCTCCCATTAGGGGAATACCTCAGCTGCTTATCAGATCCTCCTCCCGTTCCATTTTTTCCGTCTTCATTCCACCTCTCACTCCCACTTTCCTGGAATTAAATTAGCTAAATGTCATCTACTAAAGTGTGTGAAGGATAGAAAGAAATGTAGCCTCTGCTGAGGAGGTCAGACTATAACTTTCAGCGATCAAACCTTAAAAAATAAGATGTCCAAAGTGTCTTTTTTACTGTTCTGCGTTTCCCTCAGTATGAACCTGCTCTCATCTGGGTGGCAGCATTGCAGCTTTAGTAAGAGAGGGTGAAAACTTGTATTTTTAATTTTCTCAGTCAGTGAGATAAACACATCGGACAAGCAAAGTTACCCACAATTAGGGATGCACTGATCCACATTTTTCCACATCCGATCCGATCTTGATACCTGAATTTAGATATCTGCCGATACTGATACTATTCCGATACCAGAGCTCTGTTAGCTTTACCATCATAATATCATTATTGTTTATTTTATATGAAGCTGTAATAAACTCTTCTCTACAGGCAAATATATGTACATATGAACGTACTAGGGCCTGTTTTATCGGCGAGCTGATTAAATCGGCCAATTTGAGCCGGTTTGAGACTAATCTGTAATCCGCCAAAACTTGCAGATTTTCGCCAATATTTTCAGAAATAAAATGCGGAGAATAAGATTTGGTTTCACTTCGAAAATGTTCCGCCATTTGAAAAGTTCCCCGACTTATCCTGTAGATGGTGCAGCAACCTCATGATAATCTTCATCCACTTACTACCTCACAGCACAGCAGAGTGACAGATCTGAAGCAGGCAGCTCAGATCCGTCGCTATCATCGACTCTTAAAAAAATCCAGACAAATGCAGTGTTTTGTTGATCATTTTAGCCAGGATCGATACATATACAGCAGCTTTTTTATACTGCAACTGCAATCTCACTTAAGCCTCGTCAAGGGCGCTTTAGGGTCTCAATGTTTACATTTTCAACAGTGGTTTAACAATAACACTGACCTCTGAACTGTGTGCTACAAGGGAATCTAAACTAATCCTCAGGAATGTGGCCCAGAGGAGCAGGTGGTACCACCGTACTGTAGGCCTGTTGTCAACACTGGATCTGACCAACACTCAAACATCCACTGGACTTGGACTTGTGAGCCTGTTCTTTATGTGCTTCATATTTTACACCAGATCGTAATGATGATGTTAAAGCTCATGTGAGGCAGAAATTTTATTATTAACACTATATGACAGATATCAAATGAACACATGCTCTGCAGACTGAACGTTAGAGGGAAGACAACAGAGATATGGGATCATTTTTGGCAACATGTGGAACTGAAATTACTGTAGATGATTAAATGACCATGCATGTCCTAGGCTTTATCATCATTATTATTATTACTATCATTGTTACTATTTCCTTTCTCTTTTATTTATCTCTTTATTTCTGTGAACAGATGTCACTTTTTACTTTTTTTTTCTTGTGCAGTATGTGTACCACAATGCTGCACTGTTTAAAGTTGTTCAAAAGTGTTAAAAGTTCATAAAAGTTTTGAATTACACACAAAAAAAAGATATGACTGCTGTAAACAACCTATATGTGACAAACAGGTCTGTCAAAATGATGGGGAAAGATAAACTCAGCCTTTGTTGATGTTAATCCTGCAAAACTAAATGGAAACAGTGTTACACAAACAGTTAAAAAAACTGAGTTGGGGCAGTGCCAACTGTGTGTCCTGTCCATTGTTTATCCGTAATCTGAGCTGGTCAGAGTATTTGTAACTCATCTGGCCACTAAGACCCAAAACAGTACAGTAGACAGTACCTTTTGTGTGTATCTCTTGTTTTTATCCTGTAAATTCAGTATTTGCACGCAGCCTGAGCTCTCTGATGTGCTCTCCAGAGGTATCCCCCAGTAAGGCACATAAAGCATCTCTAAGTATGTCGACAATTTCATTCATGATGCAGCCGGTTGTGTACGAAATCACAAGACCAAGTAAAACAGAACAGCATACAGCCTGGTGTTGGCAGACCCATCAGCCAGCTCGTACTCATTTTTGCATTTTAGGTCTGGTGCTGCTGACATCCTCCATGTTTTCCCATCCGGAGAAGATGAAACAACTCAATCACAGTCCCTCATTTAAGATGACAACATAGGAGAGCTGCTTCAGGGTGTTTGTGAACAACCAAGATGGACAACTGGAAGCTCCATTAAATCCACCATCAAGGGCAAATCCACTGAACAACTGCACATACAGCGTCCGCTGATAAGAAGAGTGCTCTTCTTTTCTCTGCCTGTCACTGTCTGTTTACATTTCTGTTGCCATGTTACATCACGTGCTTCTTAATCTGATTAATTGTAGGTCTGTACAATCTCTGGGGCTTACTTAACTGGAGTACAATGAACGGTTTCAGACCAATTCACCAGGCTTCACAAAATAAGAGATGAGAAGAAATAAGAACTGCTTTGTACAAAGTGGGTGCGCAAGTCAACACAAGCCAGAAGTTGTTCACTGGAGCTTTAATTTTCAATGATATATGTAAACACCACATAAAGGAACATAGGTAAGCAGTTATCAAGAGAAAAGCACATTTTTTTCAGTGCTGCAAAAGATCTCTCCTCTCTGTCGGTGCAGTCTTCAAAATGAGTATCACAACATCAATGTAAGATCTTACAAAAAATATTAAATAAGTTAAAAAACCAGCAAAAGAAAGCACATGCTACATGGAGATTTGCACAAATTACACATATATTATTGCATTAGCTACATTTAAATTGTGAAATTAACTAACTGCAACAGAGAACATAAAACATCAATAACTATTTCATAGCCAAACCCAAAGCTATGAAATTAGAAATATGTGATCAATTTTTAATTTAGTTTAAAAAAAATTTCTGTTCCCCACTAAAGTAAATTTAGATGCTGATGTTCATGCCATACTGCTTGTGCTCAACTGCCGTTAGACTGACTACAATCATGATGAGATAATGCTGGGTATCCACCGATCAATGAAAAAGATTTTGTGAATTTGAACCCAAACCACACTGTGTGCTGTCATTAATGTCATCAAATGTAAAATTCATGTGAATAATGTGAAAACACAAATTATTGCTGTGCGACTAATTACCAAAGAACCCTTCTGGACTATCATTTGACTCCATTATTAGATCAATTCAATTAGCTGTTACATGTACATTATTAATATGACCAAGCTATTAGTGCATGTATGAGTTTTTTTTACAGGAGGAGAAAGTATGGAGAAAAAAATAGCAAATTAAGAAAATATGAGCTGCAGCTATAAACACAAAAGAGTTCAGATTCTGTGTCATGAACCGGCACTGAACTCTATGATGAAGCTCATTTCTTTGTGCACAGCCCCCACCCAGGCAGTGTGAATGTGTGACTGGACATTACACAGAGAGACTGACTTCATGGACTACCAGATCCACCCTCGCATAGCAGGCAAAATTAATTAAGCTTTAATGACAGTGGTTTGTGCACACAGTATCCAGACAGGGGAAGCCATTAAGGAGATAAGCATTCTGCAGCAGGGAACGCACATGTTGACTGACCTTTTATCAGTTTTACAGCAGAGCACTGCTGCAATCTTGCTCAGCTTCATTTCTCTGACATTTTGAGGAATAATCGAGGCTAGGGTCCCCGGAGAGTTATTGGGATTCCTCTGTCACTCACTATGCAAATGAGAGGCTCTAACCAACACATTTCACAGTGACTGCCATTGCACTCATTCACCTCTATGATAATCATCATCTTCATTGTTTACAGCCGCAGTAACCCAGGAATGAATGAACAGTATGACACAGTTTTTACAGCCTTACGGGAGAAGAGATTTCCCTGTCTATGATTGCATGTTCAGTCATCTAAAATAGTATCAATAAAACAGGAAAACCCTGGTTTAAGCTGTGTTTTTATGAAACTTGTAGCCATCCGGCAAACCACTCAAGCAGCACTGGGCAAAATGTGTTTCGATCAGGCTCCAACAGGCCCTATGGAGAGTAGAAAACAGGTGCAAGGACTTGTCAATGTCTGTAACCCTGTCAGACAGACACTTTGGCAGAAATTGAAAGAGCTGTCACCTTATTAACATTCAAAACACACACTGCTCTGACACAGCACATTTCATTGCAGACACGCTGGTCCTTAAGGCCATGCTGTTCCAAAACAAAAGCAAAGCAGCGGCTAATTAGACTGCGGTGAATGTAAAAAAAAGGCCTGTGTTGGGGCAATAGTAAAAAAAATTAGGATGCAAGAGCCACTCCCACCCCTACACAGATACTAAATGCTCTGTTTCTGGATTCTGTTCAAAAATAGATGGTGCTCATCAGTTACATCTCATTTCACGCCTGCTCAGTTGGAAATTATATTATCAAACTCTTTGAGGACAAGGAAAAAGAATAATAGAGGCTTATCTCCGGTTTACAAACTAGGCCTGAAAAATACAAGCCTTTTCATCGTCACTGAGATACACACACGGAAAATAAACAAACCGCATAAGGCCGGCTGAGCTGCAATGATAAGAAATACCATTTTATGGACACACATGCCATATTACATTCAGTAACTGACAGGTTGATCTATTGGATGGATCCCCCGGATACATGGGCCATGCATCAGGTTTGCCATGATTTGCCATCCTGCAAATGAGAAACAGACTCAGCTAGGGGTTAGCTACTCTAGATTGATGCCCATTTGGAGGCAATGTTGAGATTATCTCACAGGGAAAACAAGAAAAAATACATTATTTTAAAGTCAGGGAAAACGAGAATTCTTCAATAGTGCAAGGCTTTTCAATGAGGCTTCACAAAAGACATTTAAAAAAGAAAATTAATACACATAGGCACTTTGCTCATGGTTGAACTGTTATAAACTTGATGGAAAGTGAAAGAAACCCAGTCACTGCCTGCAGCCAGAGGGAAAACGACCCCGGTGAGAGATGAGATACCTACAGGACTGTGGGCACATCAGCACTTCCTTTCCTCTGTTGGCACAGATTAAGCTGACTGATAAATATTTATAATGGTTGATTTGAAGAACCTCATCAAAGCCATTGTAGGTTTCTCACGCCTCCAACCATAACAATAAAATGACTTTCAAAAGCTTAGGGATCAATAGTGACAGGGATATGCTGCGACAAAGTAAAAAAGTTCGGAAGTTTTCTGGAGCAAGCATTTCTTTGGGGGAACAAATCAATGAAGGGTCCCTGCAGCTTTGGGTCAATATTTAATACCACAGATTTATCCTGCGCTGTACTCACTGAATAATGATGACCTAGAGCGAGTGGGCATTTTATTTTATTTCATCTTCTCATAAACGCTAACAAGAATTGTCAGAGTCTGGAGTGTGCAAAGTGGGTCTGGGGGATGTGAGCAGGGAGAGCCTAAAACACTTTTGCACACTAAATCAAATTTAAAATTATGTAAAGCCTCACTTTTTTTTTCACCCCAAGACATTACTAGAATTTTTCCGTATTTGATAGATTTCATAACCATACCCAGCTTGTCTGCTGCTGCTTTTCCCTCAGCTCTATGCAGTCAGCTGTGGGAGTCACAGAAAGACAAATCTTTTAAGACCCACTCCAATTGTTTTTTTGTTTTGTTTTGTTGTTGTTGCTGTTTCATGGTTTTAAATGTTATCAGTGGTCTTCAAATTGTGATTATGAAATTTGTTGATAATAATTACATTGTCCTTAGTTCTGTGAAAATTGTTTTTATCTTGTGGTACTGCTGTCCTACATTTCTTTATTAAAATACTTGAGTTATTGTCTTTTTCTGTCATTCTCCATTTTTTTTCATCCTTACTTGGTTTTAAATTGTTGTTTTAGTTTGTCCTGAATACCCCTAGCCCATCAGGACGTAACATATAGTAGCAATAAAAATCATTGTTAAGTATGATAAAAATATCATAATGTTAAAATATGTTAAAATATCATAGTATAGGATGATAAAAATGTCATAGTATAGTATGATAAAATGTCATAGTAAAGTTTGAAAATAAAGTATTATAAAAATATGGTAGTATAGTATCATAGTATCATCAAAATCATATTAGAGTAAAAAATGTCACAATATAGTTTGATAAAAATATCAGTGTAGAATGATAAAAATGTCATAGCATAGTATAATAAATATGTCATAGTATAGTTTGTTGAAAAGATCATAGTTAAGTATTATAAAAAGTCAAAGTATAGCATGAAAAAAAAAATCATATATATAATTTGATGAAAGTATCTACTCTGCCATGGGCATAACAGTGTTGTAATGGTTAGCACTGTTGCCCCACATAACAGAAGTCCGGGGTTCAAATCCCGGTCAGGTATTGTATGAAAAAAAAAGGTCATAGCATAGTATGATAAAAATATCAAAGTATAGCATGATAAAAATTTAAAATTTTACTATGAAAACAAGTCATAGAATAGTGTGATAAAAATATCATTGTATAGTATGTTGAAAAACCATGGTATGATATGAGGATCTACTCTGCCATGGGCAGCACAGTGGTGAAATGGTTAACACTGTCGCCTACAGCACGAAGGTCTTGTGTTCGATTCCCCCTGAAGTGTAGTTTGACAAAATTAAATTATGATATAAAAAAGGGTCACAGTAAAGCATGATTAAAATGTCAAAGTTAAGTACAATTAAAATTTAGAAGAAAAGGGTCATAGTAAAGTTTGAAAGAAATGTCATAGTATAGTATGATTGAAATGTCATAGTATAGTTAGATAAAAATTTCACCTTTTAGTATGAAAAAAATGTCATGGTATAGTATGATTAAAATGTCATAGTAAAGTATGATAAAAATCATGGTAAAGTATGATAAAAATATCATAGTATAGGATGATTAAACGTCATAGTATAGTATGATAAAAATATCATAGTATACTATGATAAAGGTGTCATAGTATGCTTTGATAAAAATTTTTAGATTTTCATTTAAAAATATCATTGTATAGTATGATCAAAATGTCATACAATACAAGGATATAAATTTCAAATTTTAGTATGAAAAAAAGGTCATAGTATAGCATGATAAAAATGTTATAGTACAGTATGGTAAAAATTTTATATATCAAAAAATTTAGTATAATGAAAATCATGTTAAAGTATGATGAAAAATATCGTAGTTCAGTACGTTAAAATTACAGCAAAAATGTCCTTGGTTCGAATCCTGGTTAGGTAGAGTATGATAAAAACAAAGCTTGTTAAAAAAGGTCATAGTATTATTTCATTATAGTATGATGAAAAGAGCAAGGCCTACAATGAAAATGTCAAAATTTGGTTGGAAAAAAGTATAGTAAAAAGGGAAAGCAAAGTATAATATGATAAAAATGTCACATTTTAGTGTGAAAAAAAATGTCAGGATAGTATGATAAAAATGTCATAGTATAGTATGATAAAAATCATGGTCAGGTGTAATAAAAACATCATAGTATAGTATGATTAAAATGTACTATTTATGATATAAAATGGAAAATGCCATATGAAAAACAACAAGAAAAACATGATTTTTATTAGAGCGAGTCTTTAATGTACTGCCCATATAGTGAACAAACCATGTCTCTTTGATAGTATTACTCTGGCATCTTTGTGAAACCACTTTCTCTCTTTGGCCCAAATGATTAGATTACACCAAATATTTTGCATCATCTGTCACCCTCTTTTGATGCACAGTGGATATCTGCACCTGATTAAATCAAGTTCCAAGAGAGGAGGATGAGATTATGGTTACTTTTCTCTGCTGGAATCATTTTATTCCATATTAATCTGATAAAAGTGAAAGAAAAAACTCACCCTGTGTAATTCTAAACATTGCAGCAGATGCAGCAGTCTCTGTAGTCTGAAAGTTCTGACATTTGATCTAGCTTGGCAAATCTCTTCCTGAGGAACTGACAAGCTACAAGAGCGAAGAATTTGTAAGCAAATTATCTCTAACCCAGACAAAAACACACATTCAGCAAGGGCAGCAGATATCTGACAGTGCAAAACAAATGAGATACAAAACACAGCAGGGAAAGCTGTTAATCTTAACTGCAGCCGTTAGATGCAGCTGCACACGGACAATGGACAAACTAGCCAATGACGAGACAATTTTAAAATGTCTAATCATTAAGAAAAGCCATAAGCTGCTAGAAAAGCTAAATATTGCAGACTCTGATGAAATTAAGAATAGCTGTTGGCTTTTTATCCCCACCTGTCTTTTCCTCACTGTGATCAGCACATCAATATTGGAGGTTCAAAGGCACTTTCCTGTAATGACGCAAACACCAACATACTGGCACACGCCTACAGCTCTGAGAAAGCTTTATTATCAAAGATCTGAGCCAGTCTCTGATGAACTGAAGAACTCAGAGAATCACAGGTTAATAAGAGGTTACTAAATGACCTCTGACATACAGCCTCCACATGCTCCGCGGGTGCAACGCCTAGCTTTTTGATGAAATGTAGGTAGGTCATCGCAGTGTACATGGCAGCAAAATGAAAGTGACGTGTCAGCACTCGGCAGGATAACAGAAACATCTGCTTTTGTTACTGTTTACACTGGCTTTGTTAGGCTGCAGCACTGCTTTATACCCTGACGGAGCAAAGATTATTGCTGTAACCTTGTGCTTTGAGCATTTGAGAAAGTTTCCATCTGTAGTTTTGCTGCTGCATAGAAATGCATTTATTATGGCAGGTATCTTAACACACTGTCCGACCAAAACAGATTAAAAAAACAGCTCTCATCCTCTTTCTTTTTATTCATCCTGAGATTAAATTATGATTAATGAAAATTCAAACACCACTATGGTTTTAGGTGGCACATTTTACATCTAAAATTTCAACTGGAGGTGCAGCTGGCTCTGCAGTCTAAGCACACATTCATGTATGCGGCCAACCTGGGTTTAATTTCCACCTGCAGCCCCTTTCCCACATCTCTCACCCCCTGTTTCCTCAACTGGCTCAAACTGACAATCACCTAATCACTTTCAGTAGCTGACACATACAAGCTAAAAGGGGTGGGAGAAAAAATCAATACAGCATAGTATTGCGATATTTTGTCTGGTAATATATCATATCGTCTTATTTACCAAGAATCTATTTTTCAAATTAATTGCTAATATGAAGTCAAACCTACGATAATGGAAAAACAAAATCAACTGTTTGTCCAGTGAGGTTGGCAGAGGGGACATCTTAAAGCAGGAGAAAGTTAGTATAACAAATATAGAAAAGGTTTGCAAGATGTGCAACATGAAAATAAAATACTGTGTAAATAAGACAAAGATAAGGGAAAGACAAATTAGCTAAACAGTTGAAAAAATTGTATAAATCTCAATATATTGTATCACAATACTCACTGTATTGTAAAATGTTAAAAATCGCAATAATATCCTATCGTGGGGCCACTAGTGATTCCCACCCCTACTAGCTAAGCGTACATATACTGCCATTTATCACATGAAAGCAGGAGTCAAAATAGTCAGATGTCATCTTAAGCTAAATGATAGACAAGCTAGTGGCTATGGTGGTCAGTGCAGGAAAAGCAGGTGGGAGTTTAAGCACATAATTTCAGGTAAAAGTTAGCCAGTCCATGTGTGGGAAATCTCAGTATCAGACAGAAAAATTCATTCTGATATAATCTGATGAGGAACATGCATGGAGAACAACTGCTGCCTGACACAGCTATCTTAATGATCAGCAACTGCCCCCAATCTGAGTTGATGTAGCCAAATGTGCGTAACAATAATGATAATCTCAACTCAAAGTTACTATACTTCTTGCCTTACTTTTCCCATGCTGATACAGCTACTATCTTAGTGGCAACATGAAATGATTGGCAGACAGACAAGAAGATATATTGGCTTAGTCGACCGAATCTTCACCAAAGATTTCTAGGCTGTAACTGGGATAAATAGAAAGATGCGATGATCTTACCAAGCCAATCTCCATTCTTTATCCAGATCTTAATTTTGCAAACTACTGTGGTTTGTCTAAGGTTAAAGAATAAGTGGTCCTTTAAACAGACTCAGAACAATCATTACAAACATTAACTTTCAAGTTCATCAAATTTGTTTCTTTTCACAAGGACAGAAATCTTTCTGCTGTGACTTCTGAACCAGAACATCTGCTGGGGGGTTGCATATTTCTGCGAGTAATACTAAATCCAACACACAGAGCAATACCAAACACAGCTAATCACTTGGTCTTGGGATGTAGGACAGGAGGGGATGTGAAGTGCGGGGGAATGTCAAAGCTGAAAATCTCTGGTAGGAGATAGACCGAAAGGCTTGGAGACTACAAACTTCAAACCACTGAAAGTCTGTTTAATCTAAACATTCAAGGAAAAAAAAACAACTCCAAAATGATCCAACACTACAGTAATAGCAGCACAAGGTACATGTAAAGTACTATAATAAAACTTTCACAGGCAGCAACATGTTCAAAAGCCTCTCATCCATTTTTAATAACAGTGTACCAATGAAGACAAATCCCACCCTATGAAAAGGTGGCAACCAATTAATCTTTTATAATATCCCCGAGAAAGAGACTTAAGTTCATTTGAATTCGACTGACTCACCCTTGAATTCCTTGAGGGAGCTCCACCAATGTGTAGGAGGCTTAACTAGCAAAATCATGATCATCACACTGTCAGCAGAATAGAAATTAACAGTATTAAAGGGCTTGAGGTCCTGAACAATAACAGAGAATGAATCAGGCGAAGATAAAGAGACGTTAGGTCCTCCACTCCCTCTGCTTAACATGATTATTCTTACTCACAGCTCCCATCTGGGGAACTTATGAGCCAATACAAAGCAGTGCATAACGGCTACAGAAAAGCGAAATTCCTCCCAGGTCACGCATCCTGTACACACCCCATATTTCTGTCTAATTTTAACCAACAAAAACACAACAGCACTGTGTGCAGGAGTAGCTGAGCATTTAAACACACACACATGTATAAAGGGTAAGAACCCCGCTAAAACAAAAGATGCAAAAAAAGTTTAGAAGATATTTTATGTCTGTAAAGCTGGAAGATTTTCCCAGAACAATTGAGATATTTCCATTAAACAAAATACACATCAACAGACTTAACAATTCAGAAAAACCTGATGGTGGATATTTGGTATGTGCTGTCCTTTTGAAAGACGTGGTGAGGAAGCAGTGATCCAACCTACACCCTATGACTGTCACACATCATGTGTAATTATAGTGAAGCAAGATTTTTTGTCAGGTACATGTAGAAAAATAGATTTACACTAACAATAACAGAGCAGACTTTTCTGCTCATTCAGTCAGATAATACATTTACTGTATCTCTCGACTATTTCTTCAATAAGTGCCGAGGCAAGAAGGAGCGAACACAGGAGCGAACTCTGGAAAAACAGGTTCTTCATTATACTTTCATTTCACAGCATTTACCGTTTGATATTCGTACAAAGAAGACTGTCAGAGCTGTCACAGCCTCTAGTTCTGCATTCTAATGGAGATGGTGTGTAGCATTTCAACCATCTCTCCCTATGAGACACATGTGTGCATGCATATGAAGTGCCTCGTTAAGCTGCTCTTGAGGCTGTAGGAGATTTTATGGCCAGACAGCTTGTGCTGTCTTCTGCAGCAGAAGCTGGTTTAAGGTGACAGCTTTACCTTAAGGATAACACAATGAGTTACTGTTGTACTCTCAGATCTCATAATAAAGAAAAGAAACACTCCATAGAACTGCAAACAACAGTGAAGAAACGTAAAGATTGGTTATCTTTTCTGATTTATTTTTGTCTCTTGTCTGAATTCCTTTAATGGATGAAAAGACCTCGACTGAGTCCTGTTCTTTAAGATTGTCATAAATAACAAACTGAAATGACAAAAAAAAGGCATCGAAACAAAGTCAGCCTACCTGCAGGTTCTTCACACAATCTGCATGCAGCAGCAGTCATCTTGTGCTAAACCAACTCCAGGCATTTTACCTATCATCACTCTTAAAGAGCTATCCACTCCCTGAAGTTTTACACCACAATATGACTGATTTGCAGCATGACTGTATGAATCAGCCAAAATTAGGCAGTCTGTCTTCCTGCATTGCCATTCCCATAGTGAGTGCACACACACACACATACACACACACACACACACAAATTGCATATGTTCACGTTCAGATTATCCATCTGATCTCTGATTTCCGTAATCCTGCAACATAAAAAAATAAATCACAAAAAAAATTGCTACATTCAAGCTAGCAACAGTACAAAGTAGATACTAGCCACTGTTGACATGTTATAACACAAAACCAGCATGAGGCAGAAAAGTCCTTTTAACCTTTTACTAGTATAAAAAAAAAATCAGTGCAGTGCTGACATAAACAAAATCTTGTATCTCTTGAATATAGTAGTTCTTACTGAAACCAGTTCACAAACAGTTAGCTGATGGCAGGGTGGGATAGCTGGCACCAGCTGACACAAAGACACACAGTGTTTGAGCGTAATGGCACACTGAGGTGTAAATAAACGTCTGATCTGGGGCCAGTACAGAGATAAACATGGCAGAGCAGCTTATCCTGTTATTATGGATGAATGTTTGTGTTTTTGCACATTGTCAACATGCCCTTTGGATAACACATCTGTAAGAGCTACATGTCCGAGTAATAAGCTTGATCGGATTCAAACTAGAGGTACTGAAGGTTACAGTTTCCTCTTCTGTCACCCTGATGTGGAAAAAATCAGGTCAAAAAGTGAAAGGTCAGCGTGTCCATTAGGATTTTATGATCTGAACAAGGTTAATCCCTGTTTTCCAAAACCATTTCTGGATCATTTGCCAGAGGTTCTGACCAAAAGCAGGGAGGGTGATAACCTGCTATTAGCACCCTCATGCTGTGTAACATATCTTAATCCCTTACACAATCATGTCAGAGGCATTATTATGTCACCTACCCCTGAATACACCCCTCAAAAACCCAAAACTGACCGCACACGCACAGACAAACACACATGAGCTGAGGTTTGTTTCAACACTGGGTAGCTTTTGTCAGCAAATCACCAGTGGGAGAAATTATCCATTTTTTTCTGTCAATAACAGTCTAATAGTTTATACTCTACAGTTATAATAAATATATACAGTTTGTACTCTTTATTACTTTTCATTAATGTTTTGGGTTTAGTGCAGAGTTTAATAATAAAATTCCCATGTAAGCAGATTAACAGATGCTGCTGCATGAGAGAAATTTGATTAGTCTTGTATATTTTGCTGCAGAGAACCTCAAGCCTGAGGGTGTCCAGGCTGGTACAGTGCAGCACACTTAACTGCAGTGAGCCTGTCCTTACCTCACTGTTTGTTTCAGTTACTGTTAGGTATCGATAGCACAAAGGGAGAAAACACAGACATTTCCGACTTGTGTTTTCGATTGGCTGATATCTTCTTTTACACTCAGAGTCAGCTCTATCGGGACATGCAGACTGAGTCAATTCTTCATGTGTGTGCGTGTTAGTGTGTGCACATGTGATATCTCTCCTCTGCTGACTGGATGCAAGCTTGGTGTGACTTCTCTCTAATGCACCTCACATTACAGAACCTGAACAGTCACACACACTGCAGTGTAAAGACAGTGAGTGAACACATCCCCACTGGGGAGCTGGATAACAATGATACACAGGGTTAAGACAACACTGCTTCTTTATGACTGCAGTGCTGAGTGGAAATAAACAACATCACAGCACCACCACACACTGACGCCCTCTTCACCTTTACTAGGGTACAAATGCAGAGTCTTGTTATCATGCAGTATAGCAAGAGTGTTGATGTTATGCATCCTAAGTGTGCTGTGAACAGTTCTATCAAAGCACCGCAGGTTTCTTTCACATCTGTTTCCTTTTAAGTGTTAATTTATTCGATGGTATACTCACATCACAATGCAGCTTTTACAGGTTTTGCATAAAACAACCGATCCCTTCACCGCCTGATGAGACATCCCTCAGTAATTCACCAACATTTGGTTAAAACCTACTCCCATCTCTCGGGCTATCATGTTTGGTTTCATTTTATCAACAAATTAAACAGATGGATTATATGAATTAGGTGAGGCTTGGCTGGCGGAGGAACTGAATTAAGTGGCTATTTTTAGATCCCTGTATCCTGAGAGTGTGGCGAGAGCTTGTCGAGACTTAAGGGGCTTATTAAGTCAGGCATCAGTGGAGGAAGGTGGACCACATCTGGCGCACAGCTCTAAAACTCTCACTGGCCAGTAAGGCTCGGGTTTTACTAGAAAAGTCCCTCCTCCAGAATTTCCATCCCACTCACATAGACTGATCTAAATCATAGCCTGGGGAACTGAAAAGGTCATAGGCTTAACACCGAGAGAATGTACTCTCTTTTTCGACCACATCTGTCCTGTTAGGCATCATCATCAAGTCTATTCTTAGAAAAATCCAGTCCCCTTGGAATCTGTAAAATGTCTGTGGTTAAGGAGAGGTCTCCTCCTTTCCCTGCACCAATTTTAGGTGTGTCATTTTTCAGACCAAACTGGTACAGCCATTACAAGCTGCACTTAACAAAGATATGACCTCTATACCAGCTGAGCATACCAATGAAGCGCTGTGTCTCTTAGCTATATTTCACCCTTTGGCCGGAGGATAAAAATGAACGGCTGAGCTGGGGCGGAGTGGGACTCAACATTACTGGAACTGACTGGATGAACTAGGGAACATCACATCAGATGTTATCAAGCCTCAAGACCAGGCCAGAGACCAAAAACAGACAACACACAGACTGGACAAACCTGCCGAAGACTCACTGATTTAAAAATGGGCTATGATGGGAAAACGGTTCTCATTACCTTGGAGAGAGAATAACATTGATTCAAACTGGGCCAGCCCTCCTACTTATTCATAAACTGTGGTTTTGGTGTCAGCAGCCCGCTGCCTCTGTGGCTGAGGACACAGCAGGGGGGCTGACCAATGAGGGCGCACATGAAGGATGATAAATAGGCATAGTAACCTCATCGCTGTGGCTTACTAAGAGACCGTGACAGAATGATAATAAGCTTTATATCTTGTGCACAGATCTTCGTGAGGTTTGGATCAATGGCATGTTGTTTTCCATGTCACAACCTAATTAAAAGTGACAGGATCAGCTATTGAACATCTTGAAAACTGTTAGGTAACACTCTATATCACCAGAAAAGATGCACTTGATATCTAGAGATAAAGTAGGAGGCAAGTGAAAGGGATATTCCGGGGTAAAATTAATTTAGGGTCAAACACACCGCAACACCGAGTTAGACACCCCCTCGAGAGATGAATGTTGCCGATCGCTTGCTTCTCTAGTTATACCAACTTTAGTAACAACCGCAGGATAGCAATACACAGCAGTCTGAGGAGCCATAAACAAACCTCAACCAAAACGCCACTCTATTGCCACAAATAATGCTCAGAACAGCCCCTAACTTCATCAACAGTACATATAGGGTCCCAGCCACAGCACTAGCCACCAAACATCTTTTTAACTTTGCCTAATTTCTTTAGCAAAGAGACTAAACTCAACTCAACTACTCTCTTCCAGCAGCCGTTTGTTTGTAGCGAAGCCTTGGGCCAGTCCATTACGGACAACAGCAGGTTGACGCAGCTCAAGGAAGAACATTTATGATCATTTCTTTATCATTTCCTTGAAGTAATAATCATCATATTAATCATTTTGCATTGCAGACGCGGTAGTTCTTCTGCCTTAGCGTCTCTGTCTGATTGCATTTCCACAAAGAAATTATCATAAATGTTCTTCCTTGAGCTGCGTCACCCCGCTGTAGTCTGTAATGAACTGGCCCAAGGTCTCGCTACAAACAAGCGGCTGCTGGAAGAGAGTAGGTGAGTTGAGTTTAGTCTCCTTGCTAAAGAAATCAGGCAAAGCTAAAAAGATATTTGATGGCTAGTACTATGGCTAGGACCCTATCTGTACTGTCAATGAAGTTAGGTGCTGTTCTGAGCATTATTTGTGGCTATAGAGTGGTGTTTTGGTTTAGGTTTGTCTATGGCTCCTCAGACCACTGTGTATTGCTATCCTGCGGTCGTTACTAAAGTTGGTATAAGTAGAGAAGCAAGCGGTCGGCAACATTCATCTCTCAAGGGGGTCTCTAACTCAGTGTTACAGTGTGTTTGGCCCTAAATTAATTTTACACCGGAATATCCCTTTAAATTAGAGAAAAATATTGAATATTTTCAAACCGATGAGAGTATGAAGCTTTGGCTGCAGAGATCACAGAGGTTTTGCTGAAGTCAGTAATACAGACAGCACAGATACACACATACAGTACCAATGCACAGAAAATGTAATATGCAGCAGATGTGGCATTTCATGTTTGAGCCTCTTACAGTATATCTCTGTGGGTCTGTCTGTCTGTCTGTGTGTGGGCCAGGCCCTGTAGCAGCTGGGCTAAAGATTGAGACAGAAACCCGTGTAAACAAGTACATTCCTCAGAGAATCTGTGGCTTTCTGAGAAGTGCAGCAAACCTTCACGTCAGCCTAACCTATGGAAGCATTCCACATTAACCATGTTTATGAGAGGAGCTTCATAATCAGCCTGAGAGATCGCAGTTCTGCTGACATCAACACAGCAGTCAGTGACCTGTGATCATGAGGCACTGCAGTGAGCATCTCCCTCTCTCTCTCTTTCTGCCTCCCTGTCCTCTAACTCTACTCCATTAGTACACTTTGATCTATGCACTCTCAAAAGGAAATCAAAAGGTATGTAAATGCAAAACAGCCAGATGCCTTCTATGTCACAAACACAGATAATATACACACACCAGTATGGACACAAACGATCTTGCCCGCACAATTACTTTGCTGAGACTCTTAACAGCATGCAATCAGAATCACACTTTCTCCCCCTGCAGTTACTGGAAAGCTTCAACAGACACACCTCCTGAGTAGCTACGTAGCAACGCAATCCCACATATGAGCTGGGAGCAGGGCTGGGATACACACCTGTGAGTCGCACGATAGACTGGCTGCCTCTTGTAAGGGACATGTAAGGTTGACTGTCCTGGTTGGCCCAACATGCCTACTGCAGATCTGATATTTGCTGCGCTTTGCTCTGCTCTGCTCTGCTCCTCAGCGGTGCCTGTGTGTGTGTGTGTATGTATGTGTGTGCGTGTGTGTACTCCTCTCAGCTGGTAGAGCTGCTGCCGTTGCTGCTGACGTCCTCTGCTGTGCACCGTGGCGTCGATTCATTCAAAACATCCTCTTTCCCGCTCCTGCCGCTGAGGTGGAGCTAGAAATACATGCAATCACTGAACTGTCCCCTGTCTCCTAGAGCATTAGGCTTGTGACGGGTATTACTGAAGCCGGCCAAGCTCACCGATACATCATGTAAGAGGCCCCGGAGAACCAAGTAAAACCACAGGTACAAAGCATTAACCATAACCCCTAATCATATTCTCCTCCTACATATTACCTCCCTGTCGAGCTATTCTTTTTCCCCTCACCTCTCCTCTGCTCTCTCTCTCTCACAGTGCATGCATTCCTCAGCAGAGCTCGCTCTGGACGCCCTCTCTGCTCCATTCCCACTGCAGTCGTGTGGGAGAGCAAGAAGAGAGCAAGAGGAGAGACAGGGCTGAGGAGGGAGAAGGAGGAATTACAGTAGTGAGAAGAGGAAAAAAGAAAGATTTAATAAAGTAAGAAGGGAATTTAAATGTAGTCGGACTTTGTATGTCTGATTGATTTGGATCAACTTTCATAGCGTTCGAAAGGATTGATGTGGTCAAATTTTAACTAGTTTAATATCATATAAGAAATGTACCTGTATCATTATGACCTTCATGGAGGGCTAAAAATGTCACATTTGTTGAAGATGATCTACTAATAATGACTGTTTAGTTTTCAGCTCATAAATGTGGTAAAGTCAACAATCAACAGCTTTGACAAGACATACTAGGGCTACACCGAAAATTTACAGATACCGAAATTTACGCTGATAACCAACGTTATTTGGCCCATATCAGTACATTCAGTGTCAAAAAATAAATAAATAAAAGTTGTTTTTGGATGTGTGTAGGTAGGCTATGGTCTCATGTCCCCTTAAGACGCTGTCCTACGTCAGAGAAGTGACTTTGCTCAATATATCGTGATATTGATTTGAGGCCATATCGCCCAGCCCGAAGACACACTGTACCAAAAAGCCGTATCTGGGTCACAGAGAAATTATTCAAAATGTGGAGAATTTCAGTTAAGAGACGAGGCTGATGACAACGTCTTACTACAAATACCCTCTTTAAGCGAATAAAGGATAGGGGGACTGGTGAGAAACATGGTCCCCACCAGCTAAGGGCCCAAGGAGTCAACTCTCACTCTGGCAGTACCTGCACACACACACGCACACACACACACAGGTAACACATCTAGCTTCTTTTACCCTCATCCCCTGAGCTTTATCCTCTGCTGCTTGTTCTCATCCATCTACTCCTTCCTTTACATCTCATTAGCATATCCCAGGAGGAAAAGGCAAGTAAAGACCTCTTTAAAGCAGCAGAGGTGGGTCCGGCTGCTTACAGCGATCTCTATAATTTTGCAATTAGCATTCAGTAATTTTTGAACTGCATGGGAAAAAAAACTGCAAAATTCAAATGTGAAATATATGAAACTCACTGATTGTTGCTTTAAATGACTCAAAATAGCCAAACACTTCTTGCAGTTGAGATAAATCCCCTTTTGCCCCATTTCAAATGCTCCCAGTTTGTTGCATAGTCATCTTGGAAGTACATGTTGATATATTTCTACTCACCAGTCAGCTGTCAGAGGTGAAAAGCAGTAAATCCAATTCTGTCTGGAAACTACAATGTCCAGATCTGTCCTGATCCTTAGGACATACTATCAAATCCCTTTCCTGCTCTCTTTAACGCGTTGTGTCTTAGCCTGATTTAACGCTGTGCACAGTGCAACGTGGGTGTGCTAAAAGGACACAAAGCGCGGTGTCAGATTGGAGTATAACTGCTGTTTCAGCCTCTCTCTTTACTCCTGATTGCTCAGAAACACTGCCTGCACTTACAGTATGTACTGTAGCTCCACTTAGCCTCTCCTGGGGGGAATAAAACGATAACGCTCCATTGTTCAGTTCCTATATAGAAGATGGAGAAGCAGGAAAAGGGAAATACCGGATCTGCTGAGAAACCATAAAGCTTTCACTGTTTTAGTGACCACAGATTAAAGTTATTCACCTCGCCTTGTCTCGCACAGTCAATGTAAAATGCTGACCTTGGACTCTTGACTGCAACCAGAGCCCAGAGTCTCACCCCGAGTCCTCTTTATCAGCTCACATCCCAGTCAGTCTGAGAGAGAGAGGGAGGGATGGAGGATGGAGAGCAGACTTTAGCTGAGTGGCCGGCTCAGGCTGCTGCAGTGTCGGTTCAATAATCCACAGACAGACATAAAGATAAGAGCAGAGGGCTGGACGAGGGTGGTGTAGGTCGATACATGGGATGGACTGCCAGGTCAACATTCATTCCTCACTCTATCACCTACTTCTACTCATGTCCCCCTTTTCATTGAAGAAACCATAACAGCACTGTGTCTAACCGAGTCTGTCGTTTGTGCAGATCAGATCCACAAACCAAGTGAGGAATTGACTCTCAAATATGTACCAGCTGTTAAATAATATATTAAAACAAAAACTGATGCAGGAGGGCTGCAGTGGAGTACAGAAAAGGGGCAAAATGACTGAGAAGAAGTATTGTCATTAAAAAAAGTATGTATTTAATCAGGCCTGGGTTATAAAGTTGAACTTTTGGTGAAGTTGTCTCATTTTCAACACAGCTGGCAGTAAACACACGCTGGTACAAATGCTTCATTAGTGTCTGTCATAATGCAAACTTGGGACTTAAATGAAACTGCCCCTAACTGGAAATAGGCAAAGACTCAACAGCAATATCTAGTGGCCACCTACAGAACAGCAGTTCACAACAAATACACAACCCTGCATATATTGACCACCAGCTCCAGACAGGGCAGACAGAGTCCAACTGAACGAGTCCACCCTTCAATAAAACTTTAATGCGTAAAATCTGCTCTCTGTTTCGTCTCTGTGAGAAATCCTACTCTGTTACACCTGATGGAATAATGACACATGTTTGTGATGACATCCAACATGATCAAATCGCAACAATACGGGCAAAGGGAGAATCAATCAGATCGTGAATAAGAAATTAGCTTCCTATCTCTGCACTAAAGAAAATGAGATTGGATTGGTTTGTGAGAACTCACACAGCTGTGTGGTCAATGTGTTCAATAAGTGCTGCAGTGGGTGAAATTGCCCTGTGCGCCAGGATCTGCTCTCTCAGTAGCTCTGGCCAGATGGTCCTTTTCATTTATCTTTTTCAAACTCAATATTCCATTAATGGGAACAGCGATATCCAATCATGAAACTGAAAATGAGATACATTTTTCAGAGTTTATACAGTTAATCCGCTGCTAAACATATGCTTATTGAAGTGTTAGGTTATTCAGATTTCTGATGTAACAGAACATGAATGGAGTACAGCGTTGAAAAAGCTCCCGCTATGCTACAAATCCTGTGAAGAGTCAATAAACGTCAGATTAAGCTGATTCTTACATATTCAGGGTGCTATGTGGACAGAATTTGTGATTATAGGGGATTTTTCATAACGCCAGCGGTCTTAAAAAATCTAATCTATCTTGTGTCGTTACACGGCATCATTTCCTGCTTCAACCAGAACACGATACAATAACCTGATTTTCCTGTACCTGAGCCAGTCTTTGTTTTTCAGTGACTTCTCACAATAACTTATTAATCTTCTGGACACATACGCACAGTATATATAGCCTTAGCACAATTGAGTGCTTCCTGAAGGCAGGTTTAGATTTTTTTTGACGAGTGAGTTGCAACAATATTGATGTATGTTCAAAAAATCCCGCTGACTTATTATCCTCTTTAAAAGTTGGGGGAACTTTCTAGCAAACAGCTGCAGTGTTTGAATCTCCAGCAGCAGATAAAGTGAAACATATAAGCTGTAATGTAGAGACGCGTTTCCAGCTGCCCTCTGAAATACAGTTCAATATTCAATCTCTGTGTCATTATCTCTTGTCCTCACCTCAGAGAGCTGTTCTTCTCTTGAGGTGCTCAGAGTGCCACTGAGCATACCGGCTAGGTCCTGTCTTTGTCTGCTTTTGGCTGCAGGACAGGGCTGCATCGTGGGTTCATTAGAGTTGGTTTGCTGAAAACAGCATCTTTGAGGTAACATCTCAAAGTGGAGAGTGTGGATCAAAAAGTTTAACCACTGCAGGGTACCTAGAAAATGGTACAACGCAATTACAGCTAAGAAGATAGCAGAGGTCTGGGATACTCTCAGGGGGGTTACCCATATGGGCGACATATTAACATCGATCTGTTAATACAGAAATATTGATTTGTATATTTTTACACCTCCATTTTACTCTTGTTTAGGTAAAAAACACAAATACTTTGTTTGGTGTTTTTCATATAAGTGATGGTTAAAGCAGTTTTAGGAGGATATTGTGTGAAATCAGAGAGGACATATATCATATGTTGTTTTGTATTTTGTTTTTGGTATTTTTAGATTCACACAAATTGTAATGCTTTGTCAGCATAACATAATGTATAACCAAAATAAACTTCATTCATTCAGTTTCATAGTGGGTCATACTAAAACACTCGTCATGCAGTTTCTGTTGACAAGATAGATGCCTTTACTGAATATTAGTGCTTTTGATCTAAATGCAAATTTTCTATGCCTGTGGAAAATCAATGCTGTAACACTATCCTGTATTAGATTTATCACTGGTGGTGATGTGTGATGTCTCACATTTAAATTACCTCTTTTACTGCTCATCCCTTTTACAGCAAACTCTGGAGTATTAAGAACAGTACTACATCTGGCTCAGTCCTGCTCCCCAGAAAGACTCTCTTGTTTTTGTCAAACATCCGTCTTTCACCACTGTGGCTGCTAACTAATCACTTTTCTTCTCGCCCGTCTGGTGAGATGAGAACAGTGTGGGACCGGCTTCTCTGCAGTGGCTCCAGTCACACTCAGGCTCTGACAGAATGCGGCAGAAATAACTGTCATCTGAATTCAATCAGAGGGAGGGTATAACACATACAAACTCTTACTTTCCTTCAGAGGGAGGGCTGAAATACTTAGGTGCAGAGCTTCTTTCTCTGAGAACACAGACAAAAGAATAAAATGTTCTTCCTTATAGTTAGAGGAGATTTTTCTGCACTTTTTGGATGATAGATCTTTCATGTTTAAAACTGTTAGAGGCATCCATATTACACTCATGTTCAACTATTAAAAACCAGCATTGCTCTTTACTCAAAGTCAAAAACAAATCTTCACTGTGAAGATTGTTACCTTGTCTCAATCTGCCCCTCTTCTTTCTCCGAACTGACGTGCTCCAGCTCAGCAACCACCTCTGTTTCATGATCAGCCAAGTCAGTCCCCTGGCCAAGGGGCAGGCAGCTGCAACAGCAGGTCCCCATCCCAGCTCGGGCATCTCCCCTGCCGTGTTTCTGCTCTGACTCCTGCTCCAGCTCTGACTAGTAAACCAGCCTGAGCTGTGTGGACAGTAAATGACTCATTCTAGATAACGCATATCATCAGACAGGGCACACCTCAGGCTTGCAGCTCCTAATATATGCATTCAGCGCAGGGTTAAATATCACAAGTCCAAGGAAGGCCTGATGGAAAGCTTCCTCTCTGTCCTACAGCACAAACGATCACTGTACCAGACTCTCAATCTACTCTTTGTCCTCATCGTCTCTATTCAGTCTGTCGCTTTAACCTCCAACTCTATCTGTAGGCCTCACAGTACTGTACAGTCTGTATTGTTTAACTGTCACAATGCTCATTACAAATCACATGGGTATGATATGGACAGCAAACATACAGACAGAAGCTCTGTAAGTAAGAAAATACTCTAAGTGACAAACAGCTACAAGCCTATTAACAGCGGGACACAATTTCCAACACGACACAAGGATCTACTGATGATAGAAATGCTCAACATAAATCACTCTACTGGAGTGAGGCCACTCATGGATTAATGATGCATGCTTCAAGGTAAGGTTGTGTGTCTACGCGTGTCTGTAACAGGGAAATGAAGTGGTTGTAATGTTCCAGCGGCCCAGCGAAAACCATCACTCTTCACGACTCCAAAAAAACACAGATATATATTGAAGACTATTCTTGAGATGATGCACAGACTGAGACTAGAGCTGTACATCATGTTGATATTCTCTTGACCTTGAAATGTACTTAGCCTGTTCATTCACTATTTTCATTCCCTGCACAGCACACATGGTGCAATGGTGGGAAAAGCAGTGCAACAAGAAGGGGGTTGAATTCAAATAAGGGAATGAAAAAGGAGTTTAAGATAGTTCGTTAAATACTTCAAATCTGATGTTTCAGTGGGACAACATACATATTATGTTGCCAGCTCCTCATATTTAGCTAAATGTCATCAGTCTAACCCAAGTCCAAATAACAAAACCACACAGTGATGCAAAATATCCAGTAACAAGCAGATATTTCATACCGGGAAGGAATTACAGTCTACAACATGGTCCTGGTATTTCACTGTTTTTGTCCTGCCAATACTTCTACAACCAAAGTCCTTTTGGATTTATTTTGCAAAGATAAGGACGGAGTAATCTGATCCATCTGAATTCACCTGTCAAGAATGACATAACGATTTCTGAATATCTATTTCCAGCTGAAGGTCACTGTGTGGCTCATGAGAAAGGTAGAGAGAGAGACTCAGCGGTGTTTACACACAGACACACACACACAAGAGAGTCAACAGGAGTTGTGTATATGAGAAATGAGAAATCTTAAGCCTGGACACTAAATCGAAATGTATTAAATTGACAAATAAGGAGCATTTCTTATGATGGTGAGTGTCTGTGACTTTCCCTGGTTGAAAGTTTACCAGAATTAAACATCAACATACTTGCATTTGACTCAGTGTCATTTTTGTATATTGACATAATTGAATACATGTCTCAAGAAGAAAGACCAAATCCTCTAATTAATCAAACTTCATCAAGAAAGGGGGTTTTGTTTTTATCCCTATCACAGAATTTGTGTATTCTTACAATATGTAATGTGTAAAATCAACTACGCCAAGTAATATCTATCGATGAACATACAGGGAATACTGGCACATGTTAATTTTTTCGAATGCATGCTTTGTAAAAGCTGCTTGGCGGGGTTAACCTTCATCTTTTGGTCTGCTGTATGAAATCATCATGCACCTTTAACAAGAATGAAATGAACAAAAAATCCAGATATTTTGTCCACAAAGGAGACACAATGCCAACTTGACAGCCCCAGAAATGATTCGGTGAAGCTGCAATGCTCAGAGACCTCCTGTTACAATGAAGGTAAAGACTAATGGATTTATTTAAAGTCAAGCATTAGATACTTTGCTGTTCAAAGCAAAATAAACTTCACTAGCAGAGGTACTACCATAGTCTTCGGACACCACTTTCAGAAATATTGCTGCTTCAGTACACTGTGGAGCCTTATGGGGCAGTTCAACAAGCAAAGCTGGCTCTGGAGGATAACTTTGCCGTCTATAAGGTGTGCCAAAGCAGTTTGTCACAATAAGCTGGCACAACGGGAAAAAAAGAAGAAGAAGAAAAGAGTGCAAGTGTCTGGAAAATAACTGAGAGTTTATCATCAAAAGCAGAGACAAGCCGCAGCACTATGATAGACGTGTATGTCAGTACTCAGTATTAGCTTACTGAAGCACACGTACAGTAGACTAAGAGCTGTTGATGTTGATAAGATAAGATAAGAAGAACTTTATTATGTGGGATCTTATTAAGTGTAACATCCTTGCTAACTGACTGACTAACATTGAACCAAATAAAACCCATACTGTCCTGGTTTGTAGCATCTAAACCAGGTTCATATAGTACACAGACTCTCTCTCTTTCTCGGGTAGCAAAATAAATCTATAAATGTATCAATAGCACAGAGGTCTGCAGTCTTCTTCAGTAAGGTTAAACAGCTGCCGCACTTATTCTGTCCCCCGATCCACCTGTCTGCTGCGAGAAGCAATACAGCTCAACCTCATTAGTATTCAGCGATGTGTTTACAATCTTTCTTCATCACTTCCAATCACCCTGGACAAACGATTTCCAAACAACACCCCTCTGCATCCAGGGTCCTTAGAGCAAACATGAAGGGTACTTAGCATATCTGACAGCGGTGGGTACCAACTGAAATACACAGTGGAGTCACAGACTAATGTCGTTGTATTATTTTATGTGGATGTCCTTTCAGTGTGGATGCTAAATGTAATATATTGGATCAATCAATTCTTAAATGTACGCTGATATAGACAAGAAAGCTAATAGAGCCAAACCTGCAGTGTCCACAATGAGCAGCCACAGGATCTACCTGGCATATTGTAGTCTCAGCTGTGTACTCACTCAGTGGAACAAACATCTGATCATCCAAACCAGCCAAATGTTTTCTTGTCAATAATGTCTCTGCCCTGCAAACATATTGCTAGTGCTGGTGTAGCCGAGTAGGTAGAGCAGGCACAGAGGCTTTACTCCTTGTCACACTGATCATGATTACTTCCTTGTTGTGATTCAATTTAGTGTATGTCATCCCCAACTTTTCTACTTGTATGTCCTCTCTGTTTCTTAAGCCATCCTATCAAGACATAAACTAGCCTCTATTTTTTCTGGCCAGCTACTATACCATGTTAAACCTGAAATCATGCATGTAGACAAAAAACAACAGATTCATTTGCTGAAACTTCCCCCGCAAACATAGAGCTTACCAGAAAACAAAACAGGCACTTACAGTTTGTTGCAGCCTTCTGGAAGAGATAGAGGTAAAGTTGAAAATCAGTGCACTGTTCCTTTAAGTTTCAATGCATTATCAAGGGAATAAAGTCTGCGTACCGACCATTTCCAACAAGAGTTAGTGCTGCTGAAAACTTCCTGAAAAAATGGTATTTGTTGGGACTGGCTTCCTGCCTGAACCCATAGGAAGACAAGGTTGAAAAGAAATCTTCAGAAGTGTTGTGTATCTGAAATCCACTGAGCTCAAGTTATCCTGTACAGAATGGCCCTGTTTGGAGGAGCAGCTGAAAAGTTTTGCTGCATTAAAAAGCTTTTAAAAGTCACTGTTTGGTGTTAAATTGACTTTGACAATTTAAAAAAGTAATGCCAAATTGCCTAATGTGGGACAAGTTCATTTGAGGAACCTAGGGGCCAATTTATGCCCTAAACTTTCTATTGGCAATCTGTTGAAGTCAGCATTAAGCATGGATTTGCTGTGTTTGCAGAAAAACTAAGCTTCATTAAGTCAACCAAAAGATAAGGGCCTGAAGGACTGCTTAACTTTTTATTTATCCTGTATTAAAACGCCATGCAACAAACTCCCAAAACACCTCTCGTGTAATGAACTCACACAGTCCTGGTCAAAAATACTCAGCTAGTTAGAAAAAAAAATGCAAGCACAACCTAAAAATTTACGAGTGGCATGAGACTAAGAAGATAAAAAGCTTTCAAATGTAAAATAACAATGAAATACTGATGGTGTTATGACAGCAGCACATGAAGCCAAGAGTCTCAAAACTCTTTCTGATAAGATATCTGAGTTTTACATCAAACCCTTCCTCCTGGACTCTTCCACTGCATTGTAAGTCCATTGAACAATGTGAACTGTGTCCTCGACAGGACACCATTATACCTCAATGGGGTCATTTTTTACCCTCAGGGAGCTATAGAATTGCACATTTCCTATGCCTGCTGAGTGCAGTGTGGTAAAGAGTTAATCCAGCTGAACTCGGGTTTTACTTTTGAATTACTTCAATCAATCATACAATATGATATAATAACTTCAGTAATCACTTTGCTTCTTCGTCTTTATTTACCACCGTGTTCATAGATCTGAAACTAACACATGAAATTGTTTACATTCTTTTCAATTGTTCTTCCAGGGAAGCCATCTGTAACAAATTGATCTATTTAACCATATGAGGGAAGCTCAAAGTTCATGAAAGTTCAACCTTCTTTTGCTGTCCAATTCATTACCCAAAGTGAGACCCAATGCCAACACCAGTGCCTGTCAGCACACAAGTCTTTTTCATCTCTGTCATATTATCTGCAGGGACTGAAACGGGACGATTTGGGAAGATGACTTTCAAATTGGGTCAGTCCCTTGGAGATTTGCCAGAAGTATGACAGCCAGAGACGCTCTGTTTCAATCTGCTGCCACAAATGACAACAAACCTTGCCTTATTAGTTGAACACAATCTTCTCCTCCAGATCACACACTCCAGTTTAGTTGATGCTTTAATGACTGCACTCAGTAGATAATTTTTTTATCATATATAAAAGAAGATCTAGATAACTTAATCTTCATGTCATCATGTATAAATCCTTCATGTCTTAGCCAAACCTTCAGTCCTTCCTCTGAGTACCAAAAATAAACCACTGCCCACACTCAACCCATGGTTCAGGTCCTCAGACCACAGGCCGGCCAACAGCGAGGTGTAAATAAATGAGTTTTGCTGCAGCAACAGCATCAGAACAATCCTTTCATTGAGCTCCATCTCAACGAAACACCAACATCAACAAAACCTGTTGTCACGGCAGCACCATGTCAACTTCAGCCCTGGTTGAGTTTGTGGCAGAGAAAAGAAGCAGAATTAAAAACGGTGGTCAAGTTTGGCAAGGTCTGCCTTTGGTCTTAAAACTCGATTGTCAACAAGTATGGGAAACTATGAAATACATCTTGGCACAGAGTTAAACTCAGGCTTATAGGGGGTGGCCCCTGTAATTTTCAAATGATTTTTAAAATGCTGAGTTGTACTCTGTTGTAAAAACTAACATTTGTATTAGTTTTAATGGTCTAAAATTGGGCATCAGACTAAGCGTTTCAGTCCAACTTTTTATGTTTTTAAAGAATTACACAACTGAGCAAACGCCATCTTTGCTGTCACCACTGTGTGAGGTTTGCCATCCAGCATTAATAACCAAAGCAGATCTTACACCATAATGTGCAAAAACATTATTTATGAATGAGCTGCTTTTTAACCTTTACTCTGCTTTGGAGCAATGCTAGTGATAAATAAACAAGGTCTGTGTATCTGCTGGTGACTTGATTCGCTGAGTGCTTCAGTGTGAAGCTAGGTAAGCTTGACACAAGTGACACTTGCCTTTATTACGCTGTACACAAGGGGGATAAATAATGAAACCTGGTATCATACCTGGGTCAGCAATAAATCAAATAAACCACCAGAGAAAAACTGCTCCATGATAATGAAATGACAGCACTCAAGTCACCAGACAATAATAAAGGTGTGCATTAGCAGAGATGTTCCCATTGAGTCATGTGTCATAGTAAATGATCTAATATCTCAATAAATCAATCTGTTATGGACCATTCTATCTGTGATATTCCTCAGAAGTCTTTACAAGTATTATCACTTGGGGTGTTTGACAAAGACAACATCAAAACGCTGATCCTAAACTGATGTGTTACACTCGACTGTGTAATGTTTCCATAGCCATAGTCACATGATAAAGCTAAGACTGGTCTTCATTTTGGCTCAATTTGTTGAGCATCAATAATGACCGTGCAGTTTTACCTAGTCTGGCAAACATACAATGACTTGACTTTCCTCCACGCACCAGGAGAACATTGAGAAATACCCGCTGTGCTTCAGATAAGCTGTTCCTGTCTTCTGTTTGACTCCAACAAATTAGCTCTTGAAGACAAAGAAAGAGCAGTGAGCAGGAGCAAAACAGGATCCTTCCACCATGCCAACGGGGCAACAAGTTGTCGCCTGATTTAACAGCCTTGACATTTAAGCGACTATATATCACACAACTTCACTGCTGTATTGTTCTAGCGTCTTACAGAGAAAAAGTGTGTAAAAGAGGGAAACACAAAGGGTGTCCTATTCTACACTCAACAGAAATGACAGCCAACCATTTTATGTGTCTTTTATAAAAAAGCCTCTGGTTTTGGATGCTGAAATGTCTTTCAAAGACTCTATTGAACACACGGATGTTCATTTGTCTGGGTCAGAGCAACCTGTATTTGGAGATCTTTCATGTATGTCGCTTTTTTCAAAACAACAATTCTAGCCTGTGATTAACTGCACTGGTTCAGGCATATTTTTAGGAGCAGGCATTGCTAAATAGAAAAAAGTGTCTGCATTGTTTGTACAGTGCTACCAACTGGTGTCTGCAGATCTCTGCATGATGATGAGCAAACAACTCTTTAGTAACTTCAAGAAAGGCTGCAGCCGCAGGGATATAAAAGCTCCCCATACAGCCTCTCTGTTTCAAACAAATGGAGCAAACTAAAAGACCAACGACTGGACAATGGGTAGCCAAACTCCAAAACCTTAAACGAACTGAAGTGGGAGGAACCACTGCAATTCACAATGATCCGGCACCAGAGGAGAATTTGTCCCTGTTTTGTTTTCCACAAGGCTGTCTATTTGTCATCATTAGCCTGACTTAACCGATCGCTTTCATCATGATTTGGTGGTTGCTCTTGTGTCCCAGTTTTTCTCATAGTATAATTTACAGAAGCAGATTCTCAAACTCTTTTTTATACGTTTAATGGTGCAGAACTAAATGAAATTTTGATGTTTAGACTGCCATGATTTACCACTTAATCAGCTGGAGTGATTTGCTGAAAACTGTGATAGCTGATTAACCATTAAAGCTACTTCAGGTACAAGTTTAATATTTGCTCGTAGGAGCCATAATGTTGCTTTGCTTATCGGTTATCCTGCGTTCAATGACTTTTGTCTGGTTGCCATTGGTTTCGCTGGGTTTGGGTCATGTGGGCACTGTGTTTGAAACTGTACTGGGGTGAAGCGGTGAGCCTAGGTAGCCGTAATTTTTGTTGACCGCGCTTTATGTTCTTTGTTTGCAATGATACATGTCGCAAAAGGGTCCACATATTCTATCTGATGTGCACGTGTAATCATTGGCAACTGTAGAAGCATTTTTCTGTTATTAAAGCTCCGAAAACTTCAGTGAACTGTGGGTACTTCTTTGGAACAGCAGCAGTGTGTCACACAAATATACAGGACCTATCCTCTGCCTCAAAAGACTTTTCTAAAGGTACTAGGAGAGCCGCAATATTGCTTGTTCAGACTACAGCCGGTTGATGCGGCTCAAGGAAGAACATTTATGATAATAATCACCATATCAATCATTTTGCACTGCAGACGTGGTAGCTCTTCTGCCGTACGGTCTCAGTCTGATTGCATTTCCATGAAGTAATATCATAAATGTTCTTCCTTGAGCTGTGTCAACCTGCTGTAGTCCGTAATGGATTGGCCCGAGGTCTCGCTACAAACAAGCAGCTGCTGGAACAGAGTAGGTGAGTTGTGTTTAGTCTCTTAAGTGAACTGCGGGTGCTTCTTTGGAACAGCAGCAGCGTGTCACACAAATATACAGGACCTATCGTCGCGCCGCAATATTGCTTGTTCAGGTTTTTACCACTACAGGTACAATACTTTCTGCCACTTAATTAAAGGAAAGTCATGAGTTTAAATTGTTTGTTTCACAAAAAGATGAGTTTTGAAACACTGAAACTTTTAAAAAGCATAACTGAAGAACTTTTTCAATAAATCATAAAAATGATAAATAAGGAATAGAATCTTTCATTGGAGTCTAGCCCATAACACACATTTAACCCCAGTACTGTCTTGTTTAATAAATGAGTGCAGCATCTACACGGCATCGATTTTGTGCTGTCTTCTATTAACTTAAATCCTGCGAATCTTAAGTATGAAGGACATGTGAAAATCTATCAAAATAGAAAAAACTTCACAGGGCTGTCTGTGACTTTGGAAATCCCGTCCTCTCTGCTTCAATAATGCAATCATGCCATACATCTCTGTCACCACATGGTCACACCCCTCTCCTGCAACCTTTACAGTCTCTCCAACACACACATATATACACACACACTTCCTTTCTCTCACACACAGCAAGGCTGTACACCTATCTAATGGAGAGAGTAGAGGTCCTGCATGGAGGATGTGAGGAGAATTTTAATAGGCTTGATCCTGTCCTGCTAGGCACTGCCACTTCCCATTCACAATGCAGGCAAAGGTAATTGCTTTCACCTACCTGATGGGACCCCAGTGTGTTAATCCATAAACAGTACTTGTGTGCATCCATGTCAAACCCTAACCTTATATTATGTAGAAAGTAGTTTAAGAGGAACTGTTTGGAGTGCAAGTCGATGCTAAGAAATGTGTCACAACTGCACCGTATCAGGCAAAGAAAAGGGGTAGAAAGGCATTTTGTCACAAAGCGCTCTCGCATAGCTAATGGGATCAAATTGTACGCGGTCAAACTACGCAACAAAGCTCACGAGCCCACTCACTTGATGAAGTAGCTGGCTCCTTCGTCCGTGAAGCCCTCTTCCCATCCTCTTGGCAGATCTATAACACGGACAAAAAACACACTGAGCGAGTCCGCCACAGACAGAGAACACATTGCAGCACAGAAACGTCCCTCGGTATCCTCCAAATCAGATTATTTTGTCGCGTACCTGACCGTATCATGTGTCCCGAGTTAACAGGTTCACCAGTGCGTGGATGTAGCCAAGTAGTGCTATGAGTTTTATCACTGCAAGAAAGACACCTGTTACTGGGAGATAATAAAACAACAACAATGCCGAGTGAAGTGGAGAGGAGTTTTAACCCGGCTCACTTAATAAAGAAGACCCGGCCATCTCTACAAACTCCGTACGACCAGTGGTCAGGTAGGGTGTCCCGTCCAAGAGGTGCCGCCATGATCTCTCGTCTCCGGCTCGGCTCGTCCCCCCTCTCCCTCTCTTCGCAGACTTTCCCAGGGAGCCCAGTTAATACCACCACCGCTAGGGCTGCATAGTTTTTTTTAAAGGGAAAGAATGCCAGAACTCGGGACATTTTCACAACTGTGTTTTAGAGTAATTTGAGCCGGAGAAAGCGACCAACCCTCAAGCAGAGGGATGGTAGACAATTAAAACAAAACACCGACCTTTACACAATAAGGAAGCCCAGCGTGGAGAAGAAAAAAACATAATACAGAGATGTAAATGAGCTGGGTTAAGGGTGGAAGTAAAGAGTTTAGTACAAGCATAAAAATGTTTCCACCAGCTTCCCAATGCTTTGATTTTTAATAGAGTCAGTGTCCAATTAACCAAATGAAAGAGATCTACCACAGAAACAAGAGAGTTTGTCTCAAATGAAGAAATATTGAGACAACACAATTGTCATGCTGAAAGGGATATTCTGGCATAAAATTAATTTAGGATCAAACACACCATAACACAGTTAGACACCCCCTCGAGAGATAAATGTTGCCATCCTCTTGCTTCTCTAGTTATACCAACTTTAGTAATGACCGCACGATAGCAATACACAGCAATACACAAACCTCAATCAAGACACCTCTCTATAGCCACAAATAATGCTCAGAACAGCACCTAACTTCATCAACAGTACTTATAGGGTCCCAGCCATAGCACTAGCCACCAAACATCTTTTAAGCTTTGCCTGATTTCTTTAACAAAGAGACTAAACACAACTCACCTACTCTCTTCCAGCAGCCGTTTGTTTGTTGCGAGCCCTCAGGCCAATCCATTACGGACTACAGCCGGTTGATGCAGCTCAAGGAAGAACATTTATGATCATTACTTTATCATTTCCTTGAAGTAATAATCACCATATCAATCATTTTGCACTGGAGACACGGTAGCTCTTTTGCCTTAGCATCTCGGTCTGATTGTATTTCCATGAAGTAATGATCATAAATGTTCTTCCTTGAGCTGCGTCACCCAGCAGCAGTCCGTAATGGACTGGCCCAGGGTCTCGCTACAAACAAGAAGAGAGTAGGTTAGTTTTGGGGTCTAACTCAGTGTTACGGTGTGTTTGATCCTAAATTAATCTTACGCCGGAATATCCCTTTAAGTACCACCAGAGTTACCATACTTAAGAGGCATTTTCACCCAGCTAATACTAAAACCTGAGGTCAGTTATGGTGTTGTAATATGGTGTTGCAGGACTTATCCTCTTCGCTAATCAACAACCCTCATTCAAAATCTGATGACTGTTGCTCTGCATGGGAAAACTCAACCTTAACTAATACCCAAATTAAACTTCCCAAAATGTTTGTATGGATGTAGAAAATATATTTGTCAATAATGCACATAACCTTCGGCCAAAGAAACGAGAGCATCTCAGTGTCATAAGATCTATGTAAAACAGCTTGTGTGTATGCATGAATTGCTGAATGCTCATGCTTAAACCAAACCAGAAGCTTTTGATGAAGTTTTTCACCTTCCCTACAGTCACACTTTGAGGACAGAGTGCCTGTCTGGCCTTGACACATTACAATAATGCTTACACTGCATGGAGCAGACCTGCCCAAATTGCCATTACTGCCCATAAATTTCAGTGGGCTTTGTGAGGGGAAGCAGTGTTCAAAGTCATGGTAGTGTTGGCACAGGAGTTGTTTTGCTGAGTATTGGGAGTCAAGCAGCAAGGTTTCTTCTCAACATGCTGAGCAGCCTTCTATAAATACAATATCATTTATATGGTCTTGTCAGTGTAATATGATGTGTGTGAGCTTATGAAAGAAAAACTTGTCCAAAAATTACAGAAAGGAATGCAGACACCTCCCATTCGGTGTAGATTACAGAATGTCTCCTCTGATAGAATAGCACAACTGTACTGTAAGGGTGCACATCGGGAAGCTCAGTGCAACATCAGCCAACATAGTAAATATTTCATCTGTCATTCTCTTTTGGGGAGGCTTTGTTTTTACATTCTCCTGCGGTTTAAAGCTGAGTTCTTCAAACACAGCGAGAGTTAAAAAAAAAAAAAGAAATCTCAGAAAAAAAAAATCAAGTTAGCTTCTGGTCTGAAAACTGTTCCTTGTAAACCTTGTTGAAGGACTTGAAATTAAAGGGATTTCTCTGCTATTACATGGTATTGACTTTGCATATTAGCGTCTCTGTTAGGACAGAGAATACAAGATGAACTATTGAAAAATAAAGAAGTGTTACAGCATAATAACGCACATGTTTCTAAACAGAGCACAGTGAGGCAAAGAACGGTTTAAAAGTCTTTGGATAATTGCACAAAATCTCTTTTGACTCCATTGACAGCCCAACAAAGACCCTCCACCACTCCCAGTTTAACCCACTTAAATCACAGTCTTATTTTTCCTTTTATCCCTCACTAATCTGAGTTGAACTTAAAAAGATTACGCTAAGTGTGTGAGTCATGAATGCACCCATCCACTGTAAGTAGTTCTGCAGTTGGGCAAAACCAGTTTCAGCGTTTAGTAACTCCCATACATAGAAACTGTCAGTATAAACCAATAATATTGCTGCATTATTGAGAGTGTCGTTCTTATATTAGGAGTCATTTGATGCACAATTAACTTGTGTATTCTGCAACCAGCCTGCAAAATGAAACACATCACACATACTGCAGTGTAATCATTTCATATCCCCACTCAATTGCTGTTATTTGACCTTGCTTTGATTTATTATCATCCCCCACTTTACACACTACCACACACACACCCCTCTAATTCTAATTCGCACACAAATACACACATAGTTGATGCAGTCCAGTGCAGCTCTGCAGTATGGTCTCTGCTGCTGCTGATTCCTGCCTCTCGGCTGCCAGAGGCTCACAATGCAGCAAGGTGACTCAATGTTATTGTCTTCTCCTTAGAGAGCCTCCTCCTGCTGAATCACAGCACACTGAAGGTGCTGAACATGTAATAAACAGTCTCTCCTGGTATTCTGTCTTTCATCTCTTCAGTTTAGAATAGTCTGGGTCTTAATCTGTCAAGCACATGCCCGCAAAGGAAATCAATAACATCTCTTCTGAGTAGCCTTTTGTTTTCAAAATGATCCCTAAATCTGAGCAGGTAAGGTCCATAAATGATTGTGGGTGTCTCGAAGTGCCTGCATTATTACATAGCAGGGTAAAATTTGACAATGTTCTTTTTTTATTACCCAGCACATTTTATCATCAGAGAGTTGTTGATTAAAGGAAAGTGCTGATCTTCCCCATCTGCTCTCGCTTTCTGTCAGTTTCTCTTAGTTGAAATCTATGACAATGATTAATTGCCTTCCAGCTCATTGAACTATCGCACCGACACCTACAGGGCAGGGATGTTATATTTAGTTAGTAGCCAACTGATCCAGATAAAAATTGGATTCACTGTCGTGCTGTACCTGCCAAGCTTCATAAATAGCCTTTTTGGATTTTTCGCACTCACAGCTCCAGCAGAAAGCCAATGTTTTTATAACCCCGGCAGCAAATTTATGCCCCTTAGCCAAGCTGGTCTGAGCAGCTGCTGAAACAAGTAGAGATCTCATTAAAACAGTTTATACCTTACTTAAATGTGTGGTTTATAATAAAACTCAATGGACAGAACAACTAGGTTAATAAACAGGTTTTAGCTGTCCTTAATCAGGTATTTATCACCACCTGTCCTCCAACGTACTAGGCATGCAATTAATTTTATCTGGGGTGTTGTACAGTGAGTATTACATGCACTCATTCACACACAGCCACACACTCTAAAGCAGCAGTCTAAAGCTTAGTGTGCTGGATACTTGACATGTGGGATTGAACCGTCAAGTCTGCGATAAGTGGATGACCCGCTGTGATTCCTGAGCCACAGCCAAACAATGATTAATCGGTCGCTGTGTGAGTTGTTTTAACCTGCTATTTGCCTGCAGGTCATGTAACCATACACAAGCAGCTAAGTTAATAAACTTTATTACACTGTTATGCAAAAATGCTTGTGGATTTAATGAATAATTAGAGAGCTTTGTGTTCTGGTCAATTACATTTGATGGCGTCTATTAATCCACTTTGGATTGATTGATACAAAAATAATCCTAATTTTACAATGGGATTTAATTCAAGAGCTAACTCCTTTTTTATTTTTCATTTTTAGGTAGGCCTACAAATCATTTATGAGTGCATATTTAGAAAACTTCCAAAAGCTCTAGTTTCAGCTGCATTGGCAAGCTGCAGGGACCACAGAGAGATGTGTTATCATCTGAAAGTACAAGACAAGGGTCCATGTGTACTTCTGCAAGCACAGTGTGCAGGACTGGGGCGAAGGGTGAACTTGGACCCATTAATCACAGAATGCAACATCCAGGATTCAGTAAAATTAAGTTTCAAATCAGGGTTATAGCTGTCCATCTATCTTTTCTACTACTTCTTAAAATAAATAAAAGCAAACTTGTCAAAGCTTATCCCTTTTATGTATTTAAATGCAGTGGCATACTATATACATATACTCAAGACCAGAGCCGGCCCAAGGCATAAGTAAACTAAGCGCCTGCTTAGGGCCCTGCGGCCAATAAGGGGCCTCCGAGAGCAATCAAAAAAAAAAAAAGTTAATATATATAAATATTTTTTTGCATGTATGAGTGATGCTTTCTGTATGATCTAATATATATTGTTGTAAAAATAAAATAAAGTAAAAACATTGAGGCCTATGATTCTTACTGCCGATATGTCAAAGCTTCGCTACCGTTATGTGCCTTCTGCTGTGTAATGTGCACTGAGCATCCAAAGCGCAGGTAGTTGTGGGGAAAAACAATGTCGCAAAAAAGGACATATCCTTTAGGGGCAGAGAAAATAAAGTGGAAGAAGAGGAAAAAAACGCCAAGATAAAGGTATGTTTTTATGTCATAGAATGTTAATCAAAGAGATTTGTGAAGGTGCATGAATGATCAATAATCAATATTATTGGCAGAAATAGAGGGCCCCAAAATCAAATTTTGCTCAGGGCCCCATTGAGGCTTGGGCCGGCTCTGCTCAAGACTCGTGTCTATTTGTTCTCATTTGAAAAGGAGGAGAAATTTACTCATAAATCGCAAACTGACCATCAACACTTCATTGTAAATTACAATAATACAAAAAGGAAAAAAAACAAAAACGTGACGAACCAGAGAAGAACAGAATGAGAATAAACTGTGAAATAATCCTTTTAAATGACTCTACCTTCACTGTTACTCTAATTATCGTAAATAAAAAAGGACCCGCCCACCTACTCCGTTGTCAGCTCGCCACGTACTATCCAGTGCAACGCAACTTCATAGTCCCTTTGATGGACAGCCGAACTGACCAATGCGGTTAGTCTATAACACACTCAACCGACCTTGCTGACTAGCGAGCTAGCTGCCGACACTGCTCCAGCTGAGAGGAAGCGACCGAAGGAAAGCAGGACAGATGAGATTCAGGACTCAGAATAAAGTGAGTTTATGGGTGACATGTATCTATCTAATCTTTTGATATTATGTTAAGAGTTGTGGACGTGTAGCTCAAAGTTTAGCCGCTTAGACTGACAGTTTACAGCAGTAGTTTAGGTGTCTGATTCTCATTACCCAGACCTGTCAGTGTGCTAAAGCTAAAACAAGAGCTTCCTCTTCTTATTATTAGCCACTCAGTATTTTTTAACCATTACAGGCTTTAAAAACGTTTAAATTAAAAGCAAATGGGAAAGACGTACCCAAAAGGAGCCCTGTCTATCCAGTACAGCTTGCTTTTTTCCTTACATATTGTTGTAGTATTTACATTTTAATGTCATTTGTCATGTACAGATGTGTTGGAGCCGAGCCCTCCTCACCGGTTCAGCTTTGCTGCTGGTCCAGCTGCTGTGTGTGGAGGCTGTGCCCATCAGTGTTGACAAGACAAAGGTCAAAGAGGAGGAGAAGAAAAATGAGGAGCCACCAGCCAGTGTGGTAAAAAGATACACCATACACTGACTATTCTCTGAATACATAGATTGCGAATTAATCCTTTGTTTTACAGTCATAGGGAGCTATAATATCATTTCTGTACCTGTACAGATTAAATATAACTTTAATAAAGTAAAGCTGTTGTCTGCCTTTAGTAAAGCAGTATAAATTTAACAGGATTTGATCAATGTGAAATCCCACAAATCCCACATATTCACTCTTTACAGTCTCTGGACTTTGCAAGTGTTTTCTCTGTTTTGTATTTCATACTTTTTCAACAACAGCTCAAGATGTTGTAGCTTTGTAGAGTGTAGGGCTTAAAGGGATCTTACTATATAACACCGAGTTAGACACCCCCTCAAGAGATGAATGTTGCTGACCGCTTGCTTCTCTAGTTATACCAACTTTAGTAACGACCACACGATAGCAATACACAGCGGTCTGAGGAGCCATTAACAAACCTCAACCAAAACACCACTCTATAGCCACAAATAATGCTCAGAACAGCACCTAACTTCATCAACAGTACGTATAGGGTCCCAGCCATAGTACTAGCCACCAAACATCTTTTAAACTTTGCCTTATTTCTTTAGCAAAGAGACGAAACACAACTCACCTACTCTCTTTCAGCAGCCGCTAGTTTGTAGCGAGACCTCGGGCCAATCAATTACGGACTACAGCGGGGTTTCGCAGCTCAAGGAAGAACATTTATGATCATTTCTTCATGGAAATGCAATCAGACCGAGACGCTAAGGCAGAAGAACTACTGCGTCTGCAGTGCAAAATGATTAATATGGTGATTATTACTTCAAGGAAATGATAACGTAATGATCATTAATTTTCTTCCTTGAGCTGCGTCACCCGCTGCAGTCCGTAATGGACTGATCAAGGTCTCGCTACAAACAAGCGGCTGCTGGAAGAGAGTAGGTGAGTTGTGTTGGGACCCTCTATGTACTGTTGATGAAGTTATGTGCTGTTCTGAGCATTTTTTGTGGCTATAGAGTGTATTTTTGGTTGAGGTTTGTTTATGGCTCCTCAGACTGCTGTGTATTGCTATTGTGCGGTCGTTACTAAAGTTGGTATAACTAGACAAGCAAGCAGTCGGCAACATTCATCTCTCAACTCGGTGTTACAGTGTCTTTTGACCCTGAATGAATTTTACGCCAGAATATTGGGTGTTCCAGTTGAATATTGACTTAATAGCCAAACAAGGTGAGGAATCTGTATGACCAGTAAAAAGCTTTCAGTACATCAGAATTCTCACTTATTTAACGTGTCATCTAATTTGTGATTATTACAGGACACTGGACTCCACTACGATCGCTACCTCAGAGAGGTCATTGATTTCCTTGAGAAAGACCAGCACTTCAGAGAAAAGCTCCATAACACAGACATGGAGGACATAAAGGTATTCTGCTTTTCTCTGATTTTTTCTCATCATACTGAAGATTACTCCAACTCTTCAGAACTTTATCTCAGTTTTACTAAATAGTCTACTGAAAAATTAAGTAACTGTGATAAAATATTAACTGATGTATAATATTCAGAACCAGCACATCTTAAAATGCACTGTTTCATGTAAAATACAGCAAGGGAAGCTGGCGAAAGAGCTGGACTTTGTCAGCCATCATGTGAGAACCAAACTGGATGAGTTGAAGAGACAGGAGGTCAACAGACTGCGAACTCTGATCAAAGCCAAGCAGGACATAGAAGGAGGAAATGGTATGTGATATAAAAACAAATTTCTACTTAATCAAATTTTTTTTGTGTTCTACTGTAAGCATGAGAGGAAAATTCTTCATCAAAAATCTGTACGTATATTTTCATAATTATGCCATTTATTGCTCCTTGTGTAGACATTGCTGTGGACCACCAGGCTCTGCTAAAACAGTTTGAGTATTTGAACCACATGAACCCACATACGTTTGAGGTGGATGACCTGGATCGACTCATCAAATCGGTAAATTACTTCCTTACACAAATCAAATACATGTTTCTACTGAGTGATAAGTGAACAAACACAGAAAAAAGGAAACAGTACAGAGCTGTTGAGTCTTTGTGTAGTGCTGTTGTTGTGAGAGCTTGGAGATTAAATCAAGACTAAAAGTTTCTATTTCCTTAAAATTGTGGACAGTAATACTCCAAGAGCGGTTGTAGCTGCCAAGATCTGCAGTGTTATAATGGGAACAGCTAATCTCATTTGACCTCTTTTCATTAGCAGCTTAATTGTCAAGAGATTTTCATTTACAGTAGTAGATTAATTTAGACCTGCTCTTTTCCTCAAGTAAAATTCCAGCACAGGTATGCTAGGTCGTAATGGTACATAGATTGTTCTTACATAATGCTAATTTAGTCTCAAGACCTCTGAAATGTTGTCATGTTACATGTCACATTTACTTATTTACTTTTATACAGTTTATTCACACACTGATGGCAGAGGATGCAAGTTTATTTTGTTTGTGGTGTCAGTGAAACTGTTGTGAGAAATTAGTAGCTGACGATGTTATACTGGACAGAATTATTGTCAGAGGTAGGGTGACCATATTCTGACTTTCCCAAAAAGAGGACACGGCTACGCGGCGTTGTCACGGAGTCGCATGAAGTTAATTTTGAGAGTTTTTTGGGTCAGCTTGAATGTCTTTTACGCGCTTCTAACTTAGTAAGTCCACATGACACAAACTTGAAACTTCTGTACAAAACTGCGGACATTTGAAAGATTTTATAAACTTCCCCGAACAATGACAGACAAGCCTAATCAGTCCCCAAAAAAGAGGACATGTCCGGGTAAAAGAGGATGTATGGACAGCCTAATCAGAAGTGTTTTTGATACTCTACTCGGTTATTTAAGGCTGGTGTACTGTATTGCAGACGAACCCTAATAAAGACAGTGCATGCGCAGATATCTCTGTCTGAGAATGTCATGCACAAACTATTTAGAGCAGTTGTTTGCAAAGGAACTACAACTTTGGGAAAAGGAAGTCTGTTTGATTATCTGAGTACTGCACTCACAGCTTTTTAGCATGGATGTCTTCAGTTGTTGCCTTGTGGTTTCTGACACAGTTTTGATGTGCACAACTAAACCAAAAGGCCAAACAGGCTCAGCAAGTGGCATATTTAAGCAGGATATACTAGATTATAGTCCCCCTGAAGCAAATGATACATGCTGTACAACCTGCAGAAGTGTCATACCAGTGTGAACGATCATACAGTAACTTTGCTCAGTAGTTATAGAGATAATATCCACTGTGATGATGGGTTGCCTGTCTGAAGTACATGTAAAATCTTGACATGTTGGTTTTTTTTACCAGTGTGGGAAGGTTACATTGTAAAATCTCTATTTTTTGTTCTTGATCCAGCACACATGCAGTATTTCCAGAAGAGCTTTCAGCACAAGCAAATAGAGAACCCTCATTACTTTTTACATTGCTCTAAATTTACTGTTAATTTAACGTCCTGCCCTTTTTAAATTTTTTATATGTCTTGTGTTTAAGGCCACGAAAGATCTGGAGAACTACGACAAAGAGAGGCACGATGAGTTCAAGAGGTATGAAATGATGAAAGAACACGACAGACGGGAACACCTGAAAACACTCAGCGAGGATGAAAGGAAGAAAGAGGAGGAGCACTACGAGGAGATGAAGAAGAAGCATGCTGACCACCCCAAAGTCAACCACCCGGTGAGCCTACTTTAGAGTCACTAAACATCACGCACTTGATGTGGTTTCTGTAAGCCAGGGAAAAGGATATACTTAATGTCCTTCATACTTTTGTGATCATTGTTTAAAATCTTTATTATTGTGTTTTAGAAGTATAATGGGAACTTATGCCTTCACCTTGCAGGGTAGCCAGAATCAACTGAAGGAGGTTTGGGAGGAAGCTGATGGCTTGGACCCTGAAGATTTTGACCCCAAGACATTTTTTAACCTTCACGGTAAGACCTTCGGGATAATGAAGGAACAATGTCTGTCTGTTCAGTAAAAAATCTGTATTTTGTTAATTATTTTTCGTCATAATTTCAAACTATACTTGACTAAATAACCAAGTTTTTATGATGCAGACACCAATGGAGATGGCTTTTTCGATGAACAGGAGCTGGAGGCATTATTCACCAAAGAGGTACAGCCTATTTGTCTTAAAATGAGTAATGTTTGAGTGAATGGTCTTTGCACTGACTGTTTGTCACTTCGATTTCAGCTGGAAAAAATTTATGACCCCACCAACGAGGAGGATGATATGGTGGAGATGGAGGAAGAGAGGCTTCGTATGAGAGAGCATGTCATGAATGAGGTACAGTAAGTTAATCTCAGGGCCCTCCCATGAACTCTGTGCTTTAACATGCTCATAAATAAAGCCCTCCATCTGTTGTTTGTTGCATTGACTACATTCATGAATATAAAATCAATCTCTTTGCACAAGCGTCTTTATTCCTGTCTTTGTCACACTTTAGGTGGATTCCAACAAAGACAGGCTGGTCTCTTTAGAAGAGTTCCTGATCGCCACCAAGAAAAAAGAATTCCTGGAGCCAGATAGCTGGGAGGTGAGATAATGTGTTTGTCATATGTATGGTATTTAAGAATCATACTAAAACAATTTTGCCAGCAGAAGTTTTATGAATCCTCTCATATCCATTTTGTGTTTCTCAGACCTTGGAGCAGAATCAGGCTTACACAGACGAGGAGATGAGGGAGTTTGAGGAGCATCTTGCTCAGCAGGAACAGGACCTTCACCTGAAGGCTGTTGACCTCCAGAAACAGAGAGACGAGTTAGAGAGACAACAGGAGCAGCTTAACGCACAGAAAATAGAGCTGCAACAGGTAAGGAGTGGATCACTGTCATTGGAAAACTATAATAAAAGCAAGGTTTGCTTCAGGGGTTTGATTGGAAAACTATAATAAAAGCAATAAATTTAGGGCAATAATACGGAAGAGGATTAGGGCCACTGGGAAAAAAAGGGTCTGATATAATTCTTTTAAAATTATTTTTCTGAGAAAAAAAAGTCTGAATTCTAAGATTAAAGTCAAAATTCTGAATGTAAACTCAGAATTCTGACTTTAATCTCAGAATAATAGTTTAAAAAATTATATTAAACCTTTTTTTTCCAGTGGCCCTAATCCTCTTCTGTACAATAAAGTTGTTAGAAAGCACAGATTTTTGTGGTGTCTATTGTTAAATTTTGTTTTAAAAAATCCCATCACTTTCCAGTATAACATAAAATGTCTGCATCTTGATTGTTGCAGGCAGTTGAGCACATGGAACGTCTGAAATCACAGAAGGTTGAACCTCCTCCAGAGGTTCACGGTAAGTGTGGATTGTTGTGTCTTTGGGTTTGTCTTTTTTTACAGTCATACATCACAGGCAGATCTGAAAAAATAAAACTGACACTCTGTTACAGTTGAAGGAAATGCTGTCCCAGAGATACATGCAGCTGATATCGAGTTACATCCTGAACAAGTGGCTCAACAAGCACATCAACCTGTGCCCCCAGCTCATCAAGATATACCTCAGGAACACCATGAACCCCAACACCAAGACCTGGCTCAACAAGGTCTTCCACAAACACACCAGGATTTGCCCCCAGGACACCAAGAAGCACCACAAGGCCTAAATAACCTGCCATAACAGAACTATATGAACTCCCACAACCGGACTTTTGCAGCAGCTCCACCTCAGCGTGCAGAGGGGCGGTCCTCTCTGAGTATTAGACCTCATGCGCAGCATGACTTCGCGGTTTGGAGGACGGTTGAATGAAAGCGAGCAGAACAAAAGGAATCCCTGTAGAATGACTGTAATCCTTGGATTACGTAACAACATCTCAATAATAAAACAAACAATCAAGGATCAACATTTCAACCTGTGCAAACTTTGACAAGCAATGAAAAGAGAACGTTTGGTAAAGCAGTAATACAAAAGAAACTGAATTTTGTTGAGCTGTCTTTACCTGCTGTTGGAAGTACTGAACCTTTCTAGATGACAAGCTACTGTCTGTGTTAGGCTTTCAAAGGGAGTAAGGTGTGCAGAGCAAGTTTGATTTCTTCATTTTGACTTTGATTTTCAGACCAGACTGTAAGGATACCCCTCAAATCCTGAAAAAAATGAGATAAATTTATACGTTTGTGATGAAATGAATTTCCCTGGACATCAAACATTTAAAAAAACATTTTTTTTTAATCACAGGGTTCAGAAAATTTTTACAATGAGAATCCGTCAGCATACAGAGATCTGATGCTCTGAGAACTATTTACTTTTAATATAAGGACTGGATGTCGACAGGTTTCCATTAAGTCATTTAAATCCAACCTAAATTTGATCTCCTGTCATATTCAGCTGTTACTGTACGCAAAGTTGATTTTTTTACAATATTTTCTTTTCACCACAAACACCACCATAAACCCGGGTCACTCAGTGACCCTTTACTGCAGTCAAATTAGGGATCATATACTATTTCTTTATTGATCATGGTTGCTGTCATACTTTGTAGCTGTTTACACCTGATCTGTAGAATGCCTCTGCGTAAAAAGTCGTGGACACAAGATTACAGCAACGGGCCAAGTGTTGGCCATCTTGCAGCTGATCTCTACTGACCTTGATGGCTTTATTTTTTTTTTAAACCATGTCATTAATTTTGATTAAAAATAACATGGGAGGTATGGAAAATCTTTTTTCAACAAACTTTAATCTCCTCTTAAATACCACTGAAGTCCAAAACTTTTTAAGCCGGAGTTGGCTGACTAAATGTGGCCCCCAAATCGTGAACTTGCATTTGTTCTTTTAAGCTTGGCATTTTCATTTGATTTTTGTTTTTTTTTTTATGCACAAAATGTAAATGTGTGGATTTATTTATAAGTTGATCATTTTTGATCATGGTTTTCGATTTGTTTATAGAAACAGTTTTGGTGTAGAGAAGTTAATTTTATCAGTTGAGGTGCAGGCTCCTATTCTGGTGCCTGCCATCATCAAATGTTTGAAGGAACTAATGGATTGGTTAAATTAGTTCTGTGAATATGAAGAACTTATCATTAAAAAGGGGCAATGTTCTGAGTTGTTGATGGAAAAAAAATCACCTTTTACCTGTCATTTTGCTTAAGATTTGCATTCTGTTGACGATTTATTTGGCACCAGGTGTTACATATTTCCTTTTCATCTTAGCATGGCTTACTTTCCACAAAAAATGATGTGGTTTATTTAATTGCTGTGCTTTCCAGGTTGATTTTTTTGCTGTCCTGCAGAAAGGCTTCATTGCATCCAGTGTTTGAATTTTTCTGCCTTATTGTGGATATTTGAAAAACTTCTATAGAAAACATTTCGTTGCCGTTTCATTTGATTTCTGTGTGCCAAGTGATCCTTTGAGACAGTACTGCATCATTATTTGCACATAATGTACGGATAGTGTTTCTTACTGCTGGGTAAATTTCAGTCATTTGAAAGACCTGTACACCTCAGTTCAAGACAATAAAACAGTTATGACCTTTTACGTGGTGTGACAGATTTTATCCCCTGATGAACGACTTAATATCAGACCCTTTAAATACCATGCAACACAGCCATCAAGTATGGTACATTTTTACAATTGGTAAATTGATAATGAATCAGCGTTTGGTTTCTCTTTGCATTCACCTGTGAAACTTTTTTTGACCCCTAATTTTGTAATTATCAGATCTTTTCTCATAATATAGAAGGATCTTGAAATTAGACTATCAATAGGCATGTTTACATGGGCGAAATTTCCGATCATGACGTGCATATACATGCACCAAGCTTTATTCAGATTAGAAGCATTTGGACATGCGCAGAGTTGTCTGATCTCGCCAAAACAACTGCAGAAGAAGAGTTGAATTTACGCCTGTGCTGTCCACAAACGCGTCCGTGGTTCACTCCATCCAATTCAGGAGTTTTTCTCCTGTTAAATGTTGTCACTAGATGGCGCCCTTGCGTGTTTTGTCAAAGGTTGCACTGTGCGCAGATGTGACATTATTACGCTGTACATACGCCTTGTTATGTTACCATGGGAGCAGACACGGCACCTGCAGTTGTGTTTGATGCCAGAGTGTTAATAATGAAACCTCCTGTACTGACCTCAATAAATAAAGAGTGAACGTCGAGTTAGGTAAGAAAGTCATGATCGGAATTAGTGTTTATATGGATGCATTTCGGAATAACAATCGGCATAAACCACCCCTCTTGATCGGAATACATTTTCTCTCCGATTGAACTGAATTGAATCAAAATATTCCGATCTACATGGTTACATGAAGTTTTTTTTTATTCCGATCGGGCATTTACTCCGATTATTTGTGCCCATGTAAACACAGCTACTATGTGAAGGGCCAGTGACAGGAAGTTCCCTCCTCAACGAACCACTAGTTGAGAACTTACGCTCTTCAATCGAACATTAAAAGTAAGCAAAAGTATTGATCTCAAATATTTACCAAACAGGAAAGTGGTATCGGTAAACGGTGGTAATAGAACACAACTTTATTGAAACAGTCTCAACCACATCAGCGTACAAAGAGGTGATGGCCAAAGAAGTGTCAGGGGTAAAAAGAAAAACCGAACAAAATAAAAATAAAAAACATCTAATGCCTTTATGAAAAGAGGAAAAGTGGCTGACAGCACAGGGCAGAAAGGAATCATTCTCATGGAATCAGATTGACAGTGGCAGGGTATTTTTTGCATTTATTTTGTACAAAAAATAAATTAATGAAATCTTTCAAGTTTACAGGAATATCTATATGTTGTTTTATGTCACACAGCGTTGCTGATAACCCTACGTGTGGTGAAGTTCAGCGTTTTGTGTTAAAACAATTAGAGGATCTAGACAGACCGAAGCAGGCTGACTCTGATAAGTAGGCCAGGAGTTAAAAAAATAACATTACTGATGAGAAACGAAACATTGTTAAAAAAGTGAGCTGGGGAAAAAATAAACATTCAAAAATCCTGAATGTTAAACGTGGCGCAACATTTTTTTATGGTCCTTTGGATCCTTTAGGATCTCATCGCTTGAGCATTTCCTCGAGACAAACCTCGAGGGCCTTGGGCAGCTCCCCGCTTGTAGTTTTGCTGATATCCCTCCTTCAATAGTAACATAAAAATAGTTATAACTATGTGAGAAACAAGAATTTGTAACATCTAGACGTTTTAAAAACTGAAAAAGCTACAGACAACACATCAAGTAACAGATGACATACAATATAAGTTTACATAGTTAAAGTGTCTCTAAGATGATGGGTCAAAGAAGACTTACCCGTTGGTAGGTATTACTGGAATAGTCCCGAGATGTGTTGAACTGGATTTGACCACAACCGCTGTTTGGAGTGTTTGAAAAAGGAGGGCGATAGGCATCATATCCCCCTGCTGACATTGTACATGAGAATTAGTGATCGACAAAATGCAAACAGGAATAGAGCTAGAATTTATCATTATTTTATGAGAATTTTTTGTGTCATTACTTTGAATCAGAAGGCCACAGACACTCCTTTTCCTCTGGGAGACAGTTGTACAGGTTTACCTCTAAATCCATTGGACGAGCCTCTGTATCCATTTATCATGCCTCGGGCATTCCTGGGTCCTCCTCTGGGCACAGCCCTGCTGTTGTAAAAAGACGGTCCTGACTGACCAAATCCTGCGCCCGGGGAGGACTCTTCATGACCTGCTGCTGAGGACAGGCCCTGGTCTTGAGGCTGGAATCCACTGACAACTAGACAGGAGCCAAAAGGAAAAAGGACTTGATAGGCAAGGGTGCAAAGGTTCATGATCATTTATGCTGCTTTGTCTTCAGTCTTTCCTCTCACCTGACTGTAGTGTCTCCTGGGGGATGTCCGGCTGGTCCACAACACTCTCTGACTGGCTGCTAAAGCCAGGTCCATAGCCACCAGGGAACTGGCTGGGCTGCTTCAGAGGATCTGCTGGGCCATCAGTAGATGGAGGTACAGGTGCATTCATGTTAAATACCTAAAAAAAGGGACAGAAAGATCTCTTTATTTTTGTCTGTACCAAAACAATAACAAAAAAACAACACCACCGTTCAGGAAAATCTGGGGATCAAGGTCTACCGAAGGTTTCCCTCTCTAGATGGAGCATCAAAAACCATGTTTTACCTGACATTAGATCTAATGTTCACTCACTAACAGATCAAGTATGGTACCTCAAAGTTGCATGTATTGACAAAGTCCAAAAAATATTCCGTCTTAGTTTTTATTTAGACCCAGGTAGTGAGCATACCGCTTGCACTGACTGGAAGGGTGCGGCGTTGACATTGATGCCTCCAGTATGGGAGGGTTTGGAAACAGGTGGGAAGGCAGAGGACAGGGGACATGGGGCTTGGGACGGCTCAGATGAGAGAGACATTGAAGCCTGGGGAAGGAGGGAGGAAGGAAGGAAGGAAGGAAGGAAGGAAGGAAAGAAGGAAGGAATTCGGACAGCAAAGAAACAAGGGTTGCAGAGAGGTAAGTGGGAAAAACTCAATGTCTGAGCTTTCATCTTAGTTTGTAGCTTTCTATAACTATGAGATGCATCCTCTATTACTCTAAAGTGCACTGTACCATTTTGACATGTCACATTGAAAACACTTTAAATCTGGCTTATTCTATAACAGAAATCTAAACTCTCTACTCCTCTCATCATTTACATGACGCACTGCTCCTTTAGACAAAACTTCCTCAAGTTCTGCCTCTCTACTTACTTGTGAAGATTCCTGTGACCCAGACACTGCGTTTGTTTGGGGAAGTCTGGACTCTGAGAGGGCTGTTTAAAAGAAAAAAGAAAACCACTCAAAACCTGCTTTTGTGATAATATATCCTCGTTGTAATATAGTGGCCTGCTTCTATGCCAGAGTCTGCTCAGAGTGGAGGTAAATTCATCGGTGCTCACTTGGAGGGCAGCCTATTTGCTGCAGGTCAACAGTCTGCACAGATTTCATCGGCTGGGCAGACACGATAGCGGGGTCCAGAGCTTGACCGTCAAACTCCAACACAGAGTCCTAGAAGAACACAATGGGAGTTGATGTGTCACTCAGTCAGGGATCAAGTTTACAGGCAATGCTCTGACAACAAATGACCTTCTCCAGTTTAAATTGACCAAGTTCAGGGCTTTCCACTGAGCTGATGGGTACATAGGGTGGCTGGACACCACAGTTTGAACGATGACTTTTACCTGCATGAAGTTGTACGTTCCTTGCATCTGGGCCATGAGGTCTTGCACTACCTGCTTTCGAACCAGTGGGTCACAGACAGGAGTTGGAGGGGCATGGTTCACAGTAACAGGTGGTTCAGTCGCCACATGGGCAGGTGCCTGGTGCTGGAGGGCATTCATCACCTAATCAACACAAAGACACATTTGACAAACACATAAGAGACAACGACAAGATTGGGAAAATATGCTTAGCAACATGAAGGATACTGTTGCAGCATACTTGCGCCTCTGCTGTCCACTCCTCCACTTGGTCTTTGTTCGTACTGCTGTACGTAGTTTCTGGAATGAACTGTCTGTTTATGAACTGAAAGATAAGAGCGCAGAGTGAAAATGTAATAATATAAGTAGAAAACCCCTTTAATCTTAAACCTTGTGAATTTTTAATCGTCCAGGAAATATTCTGAGATCTCACCTCTGTGGTTTCCACTTCAACTGGCTCAGGGTATTTTACAGAAACCGTTCCTTCTGCAGAAAAGAAAATTTAGGAACTGTTTTCCTTTCCAGATCAAATAATTATTCAATTAATTTGCAAATACACGTGCATCTGATAATGCAGTATTCTGAAGATGCAAGAATTTGTTCATTAAAAATGTGTCTGATAGTGTGTTTGTGAAAGAAGAGATTGGCCTTGAAGCTACTTTTCATCTACCCAAGAGGGGGGCCTACAGGAAATGTTTGAAAACCACTTAGCTAATGTGTTGTTAGTTACCGGGCTCTGATGGCTGCATCCCAGACTTTGACTCAGCCACTACAGTCTGCTCCTCACGTTCTTCTTCCTCCTCACATGTCCCGTTCTGATGAGTTTGTGCTCTGTCAAAGTAACCACTCAGCAGCACTTTGTCCAGAGTGTCCTTCAGTGACTTGTCTGAAACAACACCGAGACAGATCCCATGAAGGACACATGGTTTGACGATATTTAGAAATCGCATGTGTGGTGAGTGAAAATACATACATGTGGTCCCTGCCACGGCCTTGTCTCTGCCCTCCAGCAGTTCCCACAAGTGCAGTGATGCCTCCTCATATTGGCCAGTCAACCTGCAAGTTTCACAACAGGGTAGATAAACAAAAAATGGTTTTAAATTATTTTCTTGACAAACTAGCAAATATCTTGCGCACATGCATATATTTGAAAGGCATCCTGATACAAACCTGACATCGTAGTTCCTGTCAGGTCCCACCAGTTTGTAAAACTCATCAAGCGATGTGAGGTCAGCATCAGTAAGTAATGAGGACCCAGTGGCGTCCGGCTGTTTGAGGTCCTGTCTAACACTGTCTTCTCCCAACTGGTCCAGTAAAAACTGAAGCTCCAATACTGTCTTCAGTCGCCGCTGCTCCATCTCCTCACGCTGCAGCTGTTCCCGTCTTGCAGACTTTTTCACTGCCTTTTGAACCTGAACATACAAACAAGGTCATACAAGATTTTGATGCAAGAAAATCAACGCTTTTCAAGTTTGCATAGTCCCTCTGTGCACATCACTGATCTTATTAAATGTGTAATCATAAGTTTCAACAGGAAGTATTGTTTTGGAGTTTTTAAAGTGCAGGCAATATTTGGATCAAGATAGAAAGCTACAAAAATAAAGAGAATAAAAACAGTTTCCTCATGTAGAAGTCAACAAATGTTAAGAACTACATCTAAACCTCTTGAAATAAAATGGAAAAACCAGCAACATTGATGGTCAATGAGGGCTCACCTCTTGGCCCAACACAATGAAACTCTTCTGCAGTTCTCTGGCAAACTCCAGGTTGTTGATGATCTCTTGGTACTTCGTCAGAGCTTCCTGTAGGTAAAAAGTTGAATAAAAATTAAGATTCTCTGAATTTAATTAAATATAAATTAACATTTTGATACAGGTATTGGTTTGAAACATGTGTATGTTTATCCATATCACAATATGGATAAACACAGAAACTGTTTTCTTACCAACTGATCATGGTTCAGATTTTCCCCTTTATTCTTCTTTGCCTGGTAGTCATCCAGTTTAGACTGAAAATAACAGGGAAACATCACGTTCATTGAGATAAATGACAAAAAAGTCAGATACAAAAAAATCACATCCAGAAATAAATCACTTACAAATAGAGCAGGGCATGTTTGATTGTTTAGTTTATATGCAAATGCAAATTTAGTCAATGAAGATCCATCCCTTTTCACAACATATTGCCCTCAACCTTCAATTAAACCAATACCTACTTAAAGAAAATACACAACTCATTTTTTCCTCTAAGATTTTAAATACAGTTTGTGTTTTCTCCAAAATCAGAGCAACAATATTTGTCAAACTTCCCTTAAAAAAAAAGAAAGATACCATTCTCTGACCCTGTTTGAGGTCAAACAAGACAAGAATGTGTTGGTAGTATCTTACTGATCTAACTAAAATTACCTTCTTCTTCTCCATGTTGCGAACTTTCTTATCAATCACACCGAGAACCTGCTTCATGGTTTCACAATGACTTCCATTTCCCAGTTCTGGCATGGCAGTCTGGACAGCACTGTTACCAACCGTCGCTGAAGGCATCTATGGACAAAAAATAATGTACAATACAGATTAAAAGGTTTTAATTTTGAAGATGTTGGTTACATTTTGGTTGAATCAATAATCTGGGCAGACACCACAGTGACCTAGAAATCAATGTTTGGTTAACAATTACACACTGTCCACCATAAAACCAACTGCTAAATATGACCAGTGAGTGGGCAGCTGTCAGCTTCTCAACAGCCAGAGTCCAAATGTAGAAGATTAAAGTTTTACCACATTACATCACTTGTGTGGGCCTCTTTTGCAGGTAAATGGACAGTTTAGAAAATTTTGAAAAGAGAGATTAACAGGTCATATTTCAACAGTTAGGGGAGAGTCGGGTAAGTTGAACCAAAGGGTTAACTGAGCCAAAGGGTAAGTTGAGCCACCCCCTGTTGCTTGGAAATGGTAGAAGAAATTGATCATGTGACCAAATATTTAGGAGATGGGCATCAATTCATGGAGTCTGTGAAGGTTAAAAGCACATGGGTGAAGAAGGGGTTAGATATTTATTTCCAAAAAAACATTTTTCACTCTTTAAAGTGAATTTAGCCTGAGGTCAGAAACCTGGCATTAAAGTCCACCATTTTAGCTTAGAGGACTAATAAAGTCATAATAGTCGTTCTGGGGTAAGTTGAGCCAGTGGCTGAACTGAGAAAGTAAAGGAGTCTGATGAGAGGATCAGAGATTCAGTTCAGATTGTTGAAATGTTTTACTTTTTCTTTTCAAAAATACAGCTGTGAATGTTCTGAATCATTTAAAGGCATTCTCATGTTAAAATGGCTTTTTACAAAACAGCTTTTTAGCAGTTATATGCAATAATAATAAAAAGAATTATTGTACCAGTCTAATATCGTATAATAGATAAAAATACACATGAATGTGAAGAAGTGACTGTTATTTAGGGAGAGAGAAGGTGAGGGAGGGCTGGGGTGGAGAGTGAGGGGGTAGTAAGGATATGGCTCAACTTAGCCAGCTCCTATGGTCAACTTACCCCATACATACACAGGGTAAGTTGACCATAGGAGACCACTTTTTTGTCATGCTATATTATCAAGACAGTTATGTTTACACTCATTCTGTCGGGTTTCAGGAATGAACAACATCTTGAAATATATGCAGATACACTAGTTGGAGACAAAACTATGATTGTCTTTGATGAAGTGATCTGAAATATGAAAAACGGCTCATCTTACCCCACTCTCCCCTATATGACATTATCTTGGTTTAACAAAAGGATGATTCAAGCTCGACCCAAACCCAAAACACAATCAGGGCCAGCTGAGGTGGTACCGAGGTGATGGTGCGGATCAAGTAGACTGTAAATGACCCCACGATCAAATAATGCGGCTGAGGTTTTGTTCCTTTAAAAACACTCCTAAGGTTACACACACTGACTCAGGACTATCTGTGGACTAATTCGTGAATTTGTCGGAGGAAGTAAACCCAAGTTAAAAATGTGGGCCTTGTAGTCAAAGTTAAAAACCTCGGTTCACTTGGACTCATCCAGCTAAGCTTGTTGACAGATGCTAGCAATAACCGTCTAACGGTCAGTACTGGAGTAACGGTTGGAGGCGTTAACTCGAGATTTGAGCTGCGGTGGAAAAATAACCTTTTATTTTTAAGAGGAAAAGCCCAATTTTTCCACATTAAACCATTTTAATAAACGGTCAACTCTGGTCCTAATCTCCTTGTCCTATTGTTAGCTGAGGAGCTAGCAAGTTAGCTTTCGTTGTGCTGCGAATACGACCGAATGCGAGTTTAAACATAGAAAATATAAACTAATTTTAACGGACATGTAGGAGAAAGTTCCCTTTAAATGTCTGATTGTTAAAAAACAAAAAAACAAAGACCATCTCAGGACGAGGCGACAAACACCTCGAGTAAAGATGACTAAAGACGGTTTTTACACAAAAGGTTCATATAGAATTGGTGTCGATGACACTCAGCGCTTACCTTTATACTCTTTGTCTTCAAAGAGATTTCCTCGGTTTGATTTATTGCCGCTGTATGAGAGCCGTCTGTATGTTTTACTTTCAGTGGTGTTTTTCTGGAAGGATGCTCAGTCTCTCACCAGCCAATGGTTCACTAGCTGCTCTGAGCTAACGGGAGCAGCTACATGGACCCCTCCGATGACCTGAACACTGCCTGACAGAAATTAAACTGTAGGGGAGAGTGGGGTAAGATGAGACATTTGTTCGTATTTCAGACCACTACATCAAGTCAGTCATAGTTTTGTCTCTAACTAGTGAATCTGCATATATATTCAAGATGTTGTGCATCCTTGCAAACCAACAGAATGAGTGTGAACATAAATGTATGATAATATAGCATGCCAAAAAAAGGGGTCTCCTATGGTCAACTTACCCCATGTATTTTTTTTTAATTTTTTTTTTCATTTATTACTTTTTTTCCCCAAACATGTGCGTACAACACCAAAAGTAGACTGAAAACAAACAAATATAACTATCGAGAATATTCAAAACAACAATAAAAATAATCAAAGCAAAAAAACTAAAAGAAAAAAGTTAAAATAATAATAATAATAATGCCAACCCAACTTGTCCGAAAAGGAGTAAAATGAAGCTTTTTTTTTTTTAAACCTACCCCTTCTTCTTTACTCAATAATATCAGTCAGTCTTCAGCAAAATGAAATTATATTAACAAAATAATACAACATAAATAGAATAAATAACATAAATAGAATAAGTATGGGCGAATGGGGTAAGTTGACCATAGGAGCAGGGTAAGTTGATCTCTACTACCCCAACCACTGTCCACCCCAGCCCTCCCTCACCTTCTCTCTCTTCCTAAATAAAAGGCACTTCTTCACATTCATGTGTATTTTTATCTATTATCTAAAGCCATGTTCTCTTTTAACATGACAGTGCCTTTAAGTGATTCAGAACATTCACAGCTGTATTTTTGAAAAGAAAAAGTAAAACATTTCAACAATCTGAACTGAAACTCTGATCCTCTCATCAGACTCCTTTACTTTCTCAGTTGAACCACTGACCCAACTTACCCAATGTGAAGAAGTTCACTACTCTCCTTGACATAAAATTGCAAAGACTTTCGGGATTTCATCGTCTGCATTACATAAAAACATTTGAATATTCAGAAGTTCTGGAAAAATCTTTATTTCAAAAGGGACATGGCTGATAACCAAACACTCATTATAGCCAAGATCTGCAGGCCAGCTGGCAGCAAAAACCTACCTGATTTTGGCACAGGCTTCAAAATCACATTAGAACAACTCTGTGACCACAGTTCACCTCTGCATCAGTAAATACAAGTTTAAAGCTGTCAGCATTAGTGATAGTATACTGATGCAGAAGTGCACATGGCATGGGTGGCTACACATCTGGGGGCCGCACGCTGGGGAGGTGTGACAGAGAGTGGGAAATGACCATAGGCTAAAATTGAACCCAGACTATCCATTTGAGGCATGGCCTGGATGTGTTTAGACGACTCAGACTTTGGACTATTCTTAATGAAATACAAGGTTGAAATGATATGCAAACTATCAAATTTTATTCTTGTGTTTAAAATGTATAGCTAAGCTAAGAGTATCAACTATGGATCAGTAATGTAACAGTCATTTACCCATAAAAAGTCAAAACACAATAATGTCAGTGATATCTTGTAATATCTAAGCAAATGATAAGCATAAGAACAGACATGAGTTTGAAGTCAGTTATCATCTCCTCTTTAACAGAAGATGCTTGTATGAAATGTTAGGATATGTTGTATGATGAGGGTGAAGGATGTGGACAGCCGACAGAGGAAAATTTTAAAGGACTTACAAAAAACCACCAGGAGATGGCACCAGTGTCCCAAAGACTATAGTCTATAGAGGGGTGAGGTTAACTGTAAAATTAATTCCAACTCAAAATCTGTCCTTCTGTGTCAAATGCTGCTCTGATGTGTGTTCACTGCTGTGGTGTTGATGTTTAAATGATTTTTCCATGGTAATTTCTTCAGTTGAAAGTGAGTACAGTGGGCAAAATAAGCCAACAGCAGTGTAGTTCTATGCAGTTGTTGGAAAGGAGTTTACCCAGCAAGTAAAATTTATCATTTAAAAAAAGTCTGTCTAGCACAAGGCTAAGACTTTACATCAACATGACAAAACCTTGTACACTTGTGCTAACTGTGGTGCTGATGTAAATTATACTGTAAAAAAATTGTTGACAAATAACAATAAAATATACATTTATCACTCTTTTTATTATTCGTATCTACTTTGACTTTGAAATCTCAAGTTCCTAAATTCTACATTGTGTGCTTGTGCTTACGTCTCCATGTCTAGCAGTAGTGAGGTGGGGGTGCATGGATATCCAGCTTCTCTGTCTGATGTGGCCAGCTGACTAATGGCCACACATCCATCAGTGCTCCTCTCCTGCAGCTCATCTGAGTGGATTAAATATGTGCAGGGGATTTATTGGCTGAAAAACCACAAGAGCCCCACAAAAACTCCGGCCCCAGTCCACTTGTAGTATAACCAAGGCAAGCATAAGAACCTCCCTGACTTTCCCTTTCTCAGTTTCTTCTCTTGTATTCAAACTTACTTTTCAAGTTTTATCTGTGGCCTTTTTTCACGCCCTTTTCATACTCTGACACCAGATCTTTTCTATCATAAGTTAATGCAGAGGTGAAATAAGGCTTTGGGGTGTTTTCAGACTTGTTTCGGGGACAGGGTGAAGGGCTTTTTCCACTCACAGCTTCTCCTTAGTTTGTTGGCCAACATTAATAATTCATGGCCCACATGTGTAACAGACAGATAACAAGCATCTCCACTTAACAACCATCATTATCATTATTAAAGCCGAGGAATTTTATTCGCCAACTTGCAATTTGTGATTTTTGCAGCTGAGGTTTGATTTTGGAGAATGCTTCAAGGGTGGATTTGTTTACAATGAGGCCCTTCGGGAAAAACAATGATTAGTTCCTCCAGTCCTTTGCATTTGAAAACCAAATGCACCATTTTCTCACTGCTTTGTATGTATGAGACCAAACCAGTGACGCCTTTGTAAATCCTATATATTCATGATCACATGCTTTCTTTTTAAGGGTTCAAGCGCAGTTGTTGCAAAACTTGATCGATTTTTTTGTGTGTGGCTTTGAAAGTTTTGATGAAGTGTGGCAGCAGCTGTAGACAAGAAAAGGATCCTGCAGGTAATGACCACAGACATCCATCCAGGTACACATCCATCCATCTGTTGAGTGGCTCTTGGCTTAATGCTGGATGTCTTCTCAGTATTATAGAGGTGCTCTTTGACTAACATTTGTCCTTACTGCTGAAGTGTCCGAAAACAACATAGCCTCAACATAGTCTCTTTGACTGTAACATGTTATAAAACACAGTGTAATAATTGAAACAGTAATAGTTTGTGCTCAATTACATAAAAAAGTAATGTTCCTTCTCATATGGCGGCCACATTTGGGTTCACATGGATGATCACATCAACTATGATTTATATCCATTCTCATTTATATAAATCTGTGGTAAACTCAGAGGTACACTAAATCTCCGTCTGTGTATATACTGTGAATTCTTACTGCTGAAGTGTGACAAAAAAACTGCATTTTATGACCAAGTAAAAGCTGGTAACACCAACCACAAAACAAAACAAAAGTCAAAGCATGTTTAATTCATAAGAATCTAGTTTCGAGCTTTTCCTCCAAGTTTAAAGTGTTCCCAGTTTCCAGTTGTTTGCATGTTTAGGTTTTCTTTCACCACAAGTCTTACTCTGCATGACAAAGCCACACAGGAGTCACCAAATTTAGGCTATCCATTAAGGACATTATGGTTTGAAATGTGTAACATCTGCTGAAAAAGTGACAACGAGTTCAGTTTATAACATCTGTTCTGCATATCATGTGTTCTATAACAGGTTTTTGTTTTAAATGGTACATCTACAAACTTATCCTGAGCATGAATTGATTTATAAAGTCCTTTGTTTGAAGAATATTTTTGATGTTCTGCAAAATTATCAACCCTGCTGACTGAAATCACACAAATGTACACGATCTCTGACATTATACTTAATAACTGTGGCTGTTTGTTTCAAAGTCTTTGTGAGAGCTGTGAAATAAACTTTCGATATATATCAGTCTTGGACAGCTGTTTGTAAGATGGTGTTTACGTACTGGAAACGCCGCTCAAGTGGTGCAAAAGGGGGTGTTTACAATGACACATGCATAGTCATTTTTGATGTTTTGTGTATTGAATTTAATCCATCAGCTCTGTCCATCAAAGTTAGCTAACAAGAGTTGAGGCCTCAACAGCATGTTTTTCAAATTAATATCCTGAAACGTAGATTTAAAAATTTTTTATATTAGTCAAATAGACAGTTTTTAACGAGAGGGGAGAAAGCAATAAGAAGGCGGAGGAAAGGTAAACTCTGACCTTTGACTTCCTGTTCTGCATTGCGTGACTAGTGTTGGCTCCTGAATCCCAAACCTCAGCACTGGGTCAGTCTAAACCTGGTCTGCTCAGTGACAGGAATCCAACACACAAACTGATCTTATCTGACAGCGTGAAACCAGAGCAGACCCGGCAGCTCTGTCCAACAGAGCCCGGCCCAGAGGGCATCATGGGAACTCTTTTAGGCCAGCTTGGGGATGAGACACCAACAGAGGTTCATAGACTTTTGTTCACCTCTGAAACTAGATTTGATTTAAGATCTGTCAGTCAAAGCGGGACAGTCATCCTGTCATATGATCAGTGGAAAGTGTCCAGACCATCAGTACTTCATGCAGGATGAATAGAAGAAAAAACAATTCAAGGCTTTGTAATTGTTATTAGGTTTTCTGCTTTTTTAATTCAGTGTATTTAGAGATGAATTCCAAAAAACTAAAAATGAATGTGCTACTGTAAGATTTCTAAAAAGTTGATTGATAAGTTTTCAAATTCTAAGTGTCAAATAAGCTGATAAATGTTGAAATGTATTCTAATCCAGATCCATTTAAGATCAAATTCAAGGATTATAAAATCACTAACATGATAGATCAGTTAAAATAGTCAAAAGTGAAATAGGCATACGCTACATCCTCTGTGATTCTCAGTGGGGTTGACAGGAGACGAATCCACCGCTTTGAAATATTTTGTGGTTTCGGTTAAAACCTGATCCATTTTGCTGTAAAGCAGATG